TGCATTTTTCAATTTCTTAACATTTTTTTTTCGCGAATGGCTACGATAAGAGACGATCGCTACAGTTGGCAACTTTTTTATCAAAAATTCTGTTATTTCCCCAAATCGAATTCTAGTATTTTGGAGCTTTTTAAAAATCCAGAAGCTACAATGATTATATTCTTGTTCAAAAAACGTCAAGAAACACCAAAAACGATTGTCTATACTGGTGGTAAATTTCAAATCCCTTAATTTTTCGAATTGTTGAAGTCTTTCAGAATAATACTTGCAGAGTTTTATGCCTAACCTAATGTTTTTATGTTTTAAAATGTAAAAACAATACAAAACCGCCAAATTTCGGCACCTAAAATGGGTGTTTCTGTAGGTTTTTCTGGGTGGATAACGTTCACCAGCACCATTGGGATGTTGTGATGACTCATTCAACGACGATCAGGCTCGGCTTCTCAAGATTGACTTTTCTTGAAGCTTTATCCTGCTACCCGAACGATAAGCTTGGCAGGGAAATGGCCAGCCGGACCTAGCGAGCTTACACAGCACTCTTCCCCCACTCAAGTCGTAGTTTATAGTCGCTCCCCGTCGCCGCACACCACCCGAAAAATTCTTCGTTGTGCGACTTTGGCTTTGCAGATGACTCAACGATGTTAGCGAATTACACAATATCGGACTGTTATACCCTTTAGGATAGGCTGGATCCATTTAGCCACTTCCACGGGTTCAAGCGGCTTCTTCTCTTCGTCAACTTTTTGTCAAACGTTTTTCCGGATGACTTATGAAGCCTGAAATTTCCGCCTTCCTGAAAGACGTTAGAGAATCGCACCTTATAGGATTGTTTCTGATTTCTAAGGTTGGCTAGATCGATTTAACCACTTCCACGGGTTAAATTTTTGACGACTTTTTGGCAAGCCGTTTTTCCGGTCAATTACCGACTCTTCCTGCTTTTTGTTTTTCTGAGATCTGTACGAAGGAACTTTTATTGCAAAATTGCTCTCCTCTCCTATACTTGTTTTCATAGCTAAGCTTTTCCTAAATTGTTTTTTCCAGGGTATCCAGGAGATGGCAGCAGACAATGGTTTTGCGGGGAGAAAAGTCATAAAAATGGTTTGCTTTCCCGTTCTTCAAAACTTTTCTTTAGGAAGACCTATGGCCAGAGCTGCGCGGCGGTCTCGACGACATTTTCAATGAGCGCCGCATCGACAAGCAACGCTACATGAAGCTCTACACGACCGTCTACGACTATTGCGCCAACCTGGGGACCACCGGCGAGGAGCGTACGTTTTTTTGGGCTTGGTGTTATAGCTCGATTTTTAGCGCCCAGCGTGGGGCGTCGAGCGCGTGGCGCCAACTCGCAGAACACGGAGCTGGTCGGCAGCGAGCTGTACGAGAAGCTCGCCCAGTATTTTGTGACCATGGTCGATCGGGTGTATCAGGTATAGGTTTTTGGTTCTTTCGCGTTATCGGAGGGTGGGGAGGGGTCTTCTATGAGTCGAGAAAAGCCGATTAACCTCATCGCAATCGAGTAATTTAATAGTGTTTTGAGTGAAAAACGATATTTCAAACCAAGAACTATCTAAAAGCCAAAAATTTGGATGTTTGGTCCGTAAATCTACATTTTTCGCATTTCCCTTAAAATTTCGTAACGTTTTCACGTCTGGAAAATGGCAAAAACAGCGTAGAAACAACTGCTCAACCTATCGTAGAAAAATTGTTGACCCCCCGATCATGCGATAGCACAGCTTTTTCCAACAAAAGACAAATAATCACTATCCTAGGCGACGGTCGAGCTCAACGACGAGGAGCTGGTGCTCCGATACAACAATTTCTGGGAGCGATACCTTTTCTACTTCAAGGTATCTTGCTTCCCTCTGCATAGGCAGTTTTAGGTCACTGACGGCATTTTCCGATACCTAAACCAGCACTGGATCAAGCGACAGCTGGACGATCGCCGGGAAATGGTGTATTACGTCTACACACTGGGCTTGGTGGTTTGGCGAGACCATTTCCACATTAAAGTCGCCGATAGGGTACGCTCAGATGCTTATCATTGATTCGGTGCCCTAGATTCTTCGTGGTCTGCTCGCACTGCTCCAGGCCGAGCGAACCGGCATTGCCATTGACCGGAGTTTGATTCACAAGCTCGTCCGCTCATACGGTGTGTCTTTTTAGGGTTTGATTCCCTGGTGATCTAAATTTCGATTCTTGGCCGATATTATGAGTGTTCGTCTATCCCCCGCTTTTTTCCGATGGCTCCCAGCGATCCGACATCGTTAGGAAACTTATTTACACCCATTTACTAGAGTTCTGAATCTAATAAAACCGAATAATGGGCGTCAAATCCATTCTGATTGGCCTATTTTTCTTGCTTTTCCCGCTTGCTCCTCATTACATCTTCCTTTTCAAAATTCATTACCCTAAAAAGCCTTAAAAACAAGTATTGGGTAGAAATTTAGTTTTATTTTTTAATTATCGCAAGGTGTTCCTTTTTCAGCTTTTCCAGCTTTTGCTTTTTATTCGGCCCTCAGAGCTCTAATAAAAATAGGTAATTTAGTTATATAGTGTTCCATCATTCTCAGCCTAAAACTTCACAAAACTACTGCAAAAATTCTAAAAATATAGGTGTTTAACGTTTAACGAAACGCTTGGTTTTGACCGTAGTCTCGGAACCGCTTTTTGAGATCAGATTGTTCAGTTTTTCATTTTTTTTTGCGTGGTTTGGTTGCATTGCGAATTTACCTTCTGTTTCTACGCATCCTTCGATTTAAGACAAGTTTTGATGTCCGCTGCCGAATGTATAAGAATCGAAATTTCAATTTATCTTGTCAATATTCGTGCAGATTTTTTGCGATTCGTTTTGCCCGTTTTATCATACTTTTTCAGTCACGCTTGGCATCGACGACGAAAATATGAGCGATCGCAGCCAACATATGCCCTCCAGTTGCTATAAGGTATCCGATTTTTATTACGCCCTCAAAAGTTCTCTAGTTTTACGAGGAGCGATTCGAACGGCACTTCCTCCAAAGCACCGAAGAATACTACACAAACGAGGCGGAAAAGCTGCTCGAGGACAACTCGTTCACCGCCTACATGCGACAGGTGGAGCTGCGCCTGAAGGAGGAGGACGAGCGGTGTCTACAGTGCTTCCCCCAACGTACCAGGGACCCCTTGGCCTCGCGGTGCGAGCAGGTAAAGTTTTGTCGTGGGAGGGTGCCGGTTCTAGACCGTTATCGGGTGGAAACCACTTTTTTCATTTGCCAGGAAAATATCAACTATAATAATTTTGTATAATCTAGTTTTATAGTGTTCGATTGCTAAAAACTTATAGAAAATATTTTAATAAATTTGAAATTTTGACCTTTTTTAGCCACATGCGCTTTTGGCCAACGTGTCAAAAAATGTTCGAAAATTTTTACAATTTTTTTATACTTTTTATATCATAAGTATTTATATATCGCTATACGGCCGCGCGGATTCGCTTGGAAAATTTTAATTGAAAAACTATTTTAATTCAGGTCCTGATTCGCCGCAAAATCGACCTCTACCAACGCGATTTCGGGCCGCTGCTCGAAGAGGGGCGTGATGAAGACCTTGCGCGGATGTATCAGGTAAAATAGATGTTGAGTTCGTTGGAAACCGCTTTCCTAGTTGTGCGGTCGTGTCGAGGATGGGCTGAACGAGTTGAAGCGAGCCCTCGAGAACCACATCACGCGCAAGGGGCAAGATGCGCTTTGTGACGTTGCCGCCAAGTCGCCGAATGTCGGTTTTTAACATTGTTGAGCTTTCCTGATCATTTTCTGCTCCATCTATAGATACGGTGTAAGCCAAATCGAGAGGTTCACCTAGTTTTTGTCGATTTACTTGGCGTGGAGCGGGTTTTGTAGCAGGTAGCCCTCGAAAGAGCGGATTCTTCATTCTTGCCAACTTGATCTGCAATAGCCGAAAAAGTGTCAAAAATCATAATGCTTTAATTTCGAAAATTTGGTAAAGTTGACATTTCAGAATTTCGACATTTTTGCATAAAATTTGGAGGATTTCCCGGGAAATTGACTAAATTTCGATAAGGTTTTCGACATTTTATAGGAAACCGATGTCAAAAGGGAGATTGTTTTTCCCATAGCCCGGGCCTTGTTTTTGGAGATATTTTACTGCTCAATTCTTTTCTTGCAATTATCTGCCATTTTGCAGGATCCACGTGAATTCATGCGGGCCGTCCTCGCCGTGCACCAAAGATACAACCAGCTCGTGGCCAAGTCCTTCCAAAACGAGCCCGGCTTCACCCAGGCCCTCGACAAAGCCGCCGAGAACTTCATCAACAAGAACGCGATCACCGACCACTACGCCCAACAAGGAGCACAACAAGCCCACGCCAAAGTGCCCGAGCTGGTCGCCCGCTTCTGCGATGTGCTCTTGAAAAAGTCGAAGGACAACCCGGACGACTCGGAGATGGAGGAACAGCTGCAGGATGTGATTGCCGTCTTCAAGTACATCCAGGACAAGGACGTCTTCCAGCAGTTCTACACGAAGCTCCTCTCCAAGCGCCTCATCCACAATCTCAGCTCGTCCGACTCGGCGGAAAGCTCGATGATCTCGAAGCTGAAGTCGATGTGCGGCTTCGAGTACACCAACAAGCTGCAGCGGATGTTCAGCGACACGGAGCTGAGCAAGGTATAAAGCTATTTGCTAAACATATTCTAAAAACATTGAAAATTTTGACATTTTCGGCAAAATCACATGAAATTTTTTTTAATGTTTTGTGTGAGTTTTTCGTAAAATGATTGAAATTTTTCATAAAATTATGCAACTACTAGCGAATAATAAAAATTCGCTTCCCCGGTGCTGAAATTTCAAAAACATAACCTCTAACTCCCGATTTCCAGGACACTACCGACAAGTTCAAAGCCTACTGCAGGGACCGCAACCTCGACCTGGGCCTCGACTTCAACGTGATGGTGCTGGGGATCGCGGCGTGGCCCAGCTTCACGATGATCCAGATGCAGTTGCCACTCCAGCTGACGAGCCTGGTCGACCAGTTCACCAACTTCTACAACGGGCAGCACACGGGGCGCAAGCTGAAGTGGACGTATCAGCACTCGCGCGGCGAGCTGACCAGCCTCAGATACGCGAAGAAATACGTGTTTTTGGTGAGATGAACTTTTTCGCATATAACATCACTTTATTTTAGTGCTGGACGACGCAGATGGCGATTCTGATGCTCTACAACGACCAGGCCTCCTACACGCTTGCCGAGATCGTCCGGTTGTTGGGCGTGGAGAAGCAGCAGCTGTTGCCGATTCTCGCCTCGTTGCATAAGGTATGAAAAGGCTTGAAAAGGGGTCGAAAGTAACAATTCGCGCATGCGGGACAGCTATATTGGTGGACCAGATTTCGGAGCATCTTTAATTTCTTTTATTTTCCGGTTTAGTTCGACCTGCTGAAGTCGGAAGACGTGCCGCCGGGCGAAGAGCTGGGCCCGGAAACGCCCGACCGCGCGCTCTTCACGATCGAGGATAACTTCCAGTCGAAGAAGTACCGCGTCGACCTGATGAAGATCCAAATTCGCTCCGAGGTCAAGAAGGAGAGCGAGGTCGACAAGCGGACCATCGAGGAGGACCGGCGGGTGGTGATTGAGGTAAAGCCCCTATTAGAGATTTTCACATACTCTCTAGGCCTGCATCGTGCGCATCATGAAGACGCGCAAGAAGTTGAGCTACAACGAGCTGATCGGCGAGGTAACGACTCAAAAAAAACCTTCCAAAGGTTTCGTTTCGTTTAGGTAATCGACCAGCTGACGCGCCGCTTCAGCCCCGCTATCCCCAAGGTGCGAATTGCGATCGAGGCGCTGATCGAGCGCGACTTCCTCAAGCGCTCCGACACTTCGATGAACGTTTTCGAGTATATGGCCTAAGGGTGCCAAAGAAAAAACGGGGCCTCGTCTCCACCTCATCTGCTCAAATCTGTTTTTAGCTATTGCGTTCATGTGATTTTGTTGCTGTCAATACCCCCCAAAAAATTTGCAAAGTGCAACAACCGCTAATTGCTCGGTGTCACTGCGCCCCCGGCTGTTTTTGAATTGTGTATATTTGTACGCCGATATCTGGCTATTTCTTGTTTTCCATGCTACCATTAACAAATTGGTCCCGCCGTGTACGTTGTCTGATTTCACCCGCAATTTCGTCTCTTTTTTTCGGCCGCGGCAATCGGGTTGGCCCACATGCGTAAAAGTGTTTGAAGATGATGTTGCATCATTTCGTGATAAAGCATAACGCGGAACTGTTCCATTTTTGTTGTTTGAGGATTTGTTACACGCGAATCAGTATTTTATACGAGTACCTTTCCCAAGTGTATTTTTACTAGTGAAAGGCAATACCGTTTGTCGTCTAATATTGATCGATTTTTGCTACGTGAAAATGCCTAAAAAACTAACAATGCCAAGAAAACGCCTAGACAAAAATTCTTTTCACATTTTTTAAATTTCTAAACCGATTTTTGCTTCCGGGGGGGGTCTGTTTCTGCAATGGTCCTCGTGCCCCAATGAAAAGCACTAGTCGCCCCAAATCACCGTACCCTTGCCCTGTTTGCGACACCACCACTCGGCTGGCCTCCAAAAAAGCTTGACAAATGAGATTTTTCATGTTTTCAATACCATCTTCGCTTTTAAAATACTTCTTCTAACCTTGACTTCCATCTGTTTAGATGACAAAATTGGGTGTCAGCAACGGGAAGGCGAGTCAGCCGACGAAGAAGACGAAGAGAAAGATTTCAGAGGTATTTTGGTCGTTCTTTTGGGAAAGTCACTCCCATTCAGGCATCCCCTTCAAAGCAAAATGGCGGAACTGCCGAGCCGAAGAACAAGAAAAAGGTCAAGCTCGATTCGGTATTTCTGTTTTGGTAAAACCCCCAATTTTGCTCTAGACACTACTCTCGCAAAACGGCGAGGGAGACGGGCTAAAGAAGAAGAAAAAGGTGAAGAAGGCGGCAGTTGCAGAGCCGGAAGTTGAGGTTTGTGGGCTATGGCGGGGTAAACTAACTTGATTACAGAAGACGTCAGCGCCTAAAAAGAAGAAGAAGTTGGTCAAGGCCGCGCCCGAAGCCCCGGTCAAGCCCACCAAGAAGAAAAAGAAGGTGGTCGCTGCAAGTGAGTTTTACTGGTTGGTGTTCATGTTCCTTTCTTTTAGAAAAGAAAGAGCAGCTTCCGCTTGGCGATTCTGAGGATGATGATCAGGTCGAGATGGATACAAATGGTCATGGATTCGGTATGCTGTTCTGAAATAGTTCGTAACGTCTTGTTTTTTTTTCAGGGCTGCCTGGTTTGGAGGGCGATTCTGACGACGAGGCCATGGAGGATGATTTCGGGGACAGCGATGCCGAATCGGGCTCGGACTCTGATGGTATTTTCATGGTCTACATTCGACGATTTATCTTTAGATGACGACGAGGACATTGAGCAGCAATCAAAGCGTATTGATGCCAAGAAAAAGAAACAAATGTAATTCTGCGTACTAAGTGAAAACAGTTGTTTAGCGCCGAGGGCGAGGCCGACCTGCAGCTGAACATCACGAATTCCGGCGCCCCCATCTACTCGCTGCCGCACATTGAGGAGGTGGAGAAGGAGCTGGCCACCGCGCCAAACCTCGAGAACATTAAACTCCGCATCACCGAAGTGCTGCAGGTATAAAAAATGTTTGCATGATCGCATTGCGTGATTTTAGGTGCTCGGCGACTTCAGAAATCGACGACAAGACGGAAAGAGCCGCCAGGATTATATTGATGTTTGTTTTTTTTGCAATTTTCTAGCCTTCATTTTGCCTTTTTATTTTAATGAACTGTTTTCAGGTCCTCACGAAAGATTTGTGCACCTACTACGGCTACAACGAGTACCTCATCGGCAAATTCATGTCGCTGTTCCCGAAGGGGGCCGAGGTAGAAAGGCCCTGATTTTTGCAATGTAGTTTTTTTAGTTGATGGAATTCCTGGACGCCAACGAGCAAGCACGCCCGGTCACCATCCGCACGAACACGCTCAAGACGAGAAGGTAGATTTTGACATCACGATTCGATAATTCCTTGATTCTAGAGGAGAACTGGCGAAGGCGCTGATCAACCGCGGTGTGAACGTTGACCCGGCCGCCAAGTGGACCAAGGTCGGACTCGTCGTCTACGATTCGCAGGTTCCAATTGGTGCGTTTTCAATGTTTTTCGTATTAATTTTTATGAGTATTTTAGGTGCCACCCCCGAATACCTTGCCGGCCACTACATGCTCCAGGGTCTCTGCTCCTTCCTGCCCGTCATGGCGCTCGCACCACAGCCGGGAGAGCGAATTTTGGACATGGTAAACCCCTTTTGACGACTTTTTCACTTCGAATTTTAGGCCGCTGCTCCTGGTGGTAAAACCTCACACATTGCTGCCCTGATGAAGAATACTGGCGTGCTGTTTGCCAACGATCCGAACGTGTGTTTTTCAACATCCTGGGCTCGGGCTTTATCAAATCGAATTTATGATTTTTTTTCAGATGGAACGTTGCCGGGCCATCATCGGCAATCTGCACAGGCTGGGCGTCAACAACTCGGTCGTCTCCAACCTCGACGGTCTCGAGTACTCCAAGGTGCAACCGCAAGGCTTCGACCGTGTGCTGCTCGACGCCCCCTGCTCCGGCACGGGAGTCATCTGGAAGGACCAGAGCGTCAAGGCCAACAAGGGCAGCCAGGATGTGCAGAGAAGGTAATTTTGGCTTCTGTATTCTCTATTTCACGTTTTTAGGCACACGCTGCAACGTCAGCTGATCCTTGCCGCTCTCGATTCGATTGACGCGAATTCCCCGACGGGGGGCTACCTCGTCTACTCGACGTGCTCAGTGCTGGTGAGGAATTTTTGGGGCTTTGAGAATTAGTCGCTGTCCGGTTTTGCGGGGAGGAAGAGACATTAGGTTTCCAAGCTACGATTGCCTTTTGAAAGATGCCGCAATGACGTTGAAAATTATGTAATTCGTCAAACACATGACGAGATTTTATGAAAAATCAAAATTTTTTGGTTAGAATTTTCGAAATTTTTAGGTTTTCTTGTCGGTTATAAAAATTGGGAATTTGTGCTGAATAGAACAGTACTTTACATGAATTTTTAGGTTGAAGAAAACGAGGCGGTCGTCAACTATGCCCTCAGCAAGCGCCACTGCAAGCTCGTGCCCGCCGGCCTTGATATTGGCATCGAGGGATACACAAAGTGGGTTTTCTGCCCCATATTTTCTAATCCATTTTTCTTTCAGATTCCGCGAATACCGTTTCCACCCATCGCTGTCACTCACCCGCCGCTTCTACCCCCACGTCCACAACATTGACGGCTTCTTCGTCGCCAAGATCAAGAAGCTCAGCAACGCCAAGACGGGCGGGACGAATTTGAAGGATGTAAGTATCTCTGCAATCTTGTTTGTTAACTTTCTTTAGGAGCGAAAGGAGGCCCTGGTCGCCGGAGAAGAGGCCCCGGACGGTGTCGCCCCGACCGGCTCGGCGAGGAAGAACCAGAAGCTGAAGAACGCCGAGAAGCACAACAAAAAGATCGAGCAAATGCGGGAGGATGACGGGTTCAATACGGTGCGTTTTTGCAATTTTGGTGGGGAGGGAAGCAGGCCCAAATTGTTTTTCTAAGAAGTCTAGGCGTTTTTTTTCAATGAGGGATTAGGTTGCTTTAAATAGTTTCTCACATATTTTTTTCAGGGAAAACACCTCAAAAATCGTTGGAAAATTTTAACATGCCGATTTGTCTACCAAAGAATTTGACTCGATATTTTTCGGATTTTCAGGACTTTGGATAGTTTCTACATTTATTTATTATACAAACGATTATTCTAAATTTATTCTATTGGTTTCGTTATTAATAAAATGCAGCTACATTGAAAGGGCAGAAAAGCTATTAGGAAACTTCAAAAATCTTTCCCATGTTTGCAATTTTGGTCGGAAATGAGATTTCTGTATTTTAAAAAATTGGTACGTTTTCAGGTTTAGCGATTGTAAAAATAGGCCCTGCCTTTATTAGACGTATTGACGCCTAAGGCGTAAGGAGAGAAAGAATCGCGGCCGGTTAAACTCTTTCCTTTTAGAAAGGCTGGGTGCCGAAAGCGCGACGCGAAGCCCCGACGCACAAAGTGCGCATCAACAAGCGATCGCTGGCCAAGACGAGCGGCAAGTCGGTGCGGCAGAAGCGCAGAAAGATGATGGAGAAGCGCAACCGGGGCGCCCAATTTGCCGAATGATTGATTGATTGATTGGTGGATTCGTTGTTTTTTTCGCTTGTTTCGTGTTATATCGCACAGTTGTTACGACTATTGTTGTTGTTGTTAGTTTGTTTCGAAAGTTATCAATAAACTTGGGCCATCAGAAATTTTGGAAGTCGTTTATGTACAGAATTTACAATCAGTAGGAAAGTTTTTTTAGTTGTTTTTCTTTTTGGAGCGCCGTGGGTCGTCTGGAAATGGGAACGTTGCTTTAATTATGCCTTTCTACTGATACCTGGATACATTTTGTAGAATGTGACAACGGCGCCCGTCAACAGCATCGTGAAGACGAGCATCCAAAACGTGAAAATTTCGCCCTGATGGAAGGCCTAAACGGGTTATGTATTGTTCTAAAAGTGTAACTTACTGGTAATTCCAGCGCGGGATTTTGCGTCATAGTTTTAGAAAAAATAGGATTTAGCAGGTAAATTAGTAATTACTGTATTAATTAAGGACTTTTTGAATAGTTTATATGCCGTTCTTCAAAACCGGTGGATTTGTTACACCCGCCAATGGCCATCGATCTCGAGGGCCCAACCTCTCAGCCCCCTCCTCTTTTGGCCCGCTCTCTCATCTAGGGCCCAGCCGCGAGCTACACGACATGTTATTCTGCATCCAGGAAAGCTAGCAGAGATCGTTTCGGACTGCGCATCCATAGGGCATCCTAAAAGCACCCCTGGAGTGTTTTTTTGTGAGCTATCGACGCCAAAATGGGTCAGGACAACAATAGCGAAAAGAGGGCGATTTTTGTTTTCAAAATTGAGCCTTTCCGCAGATCCTTTTCCCGCCAAAAAGTGTGCAAATTCGCGAGGAGTTTGCGACTCCACCAAAGTTGAAAATACGGGTTTGGAGAAGAACGTGTTTTTTTTCAGAGGCGTGTAGTAATAAAAATTTTAATTGTAAATTTTAATTAATCATAAAATTTTGGGACAAAAATGTTTTTATTTTGACCTTTCGGATCTTTCCAGTGCGAATCGAAAGCCGTGGCATTTCGTTTTCTAAATTCAAAAGCTTTACTTCTTACTTTTCCCGAAAACCGCAAATTTTTAGGGTGCGATCGAATTTGGAAAATCTGGTTTTCGGCTATACAAAAACGATTTTTTACGCAAAACGTTTAGTGTCGCGAGAATAATCATAATTTTATCAAAGTCACAATGATCTTAATCTGTAACAATAGTAATTGTCTCGGCCTTCAAGGGTTTTCGAACGATAAGAATCATTGCGCTCCGACTTTTTCTAGTGAGCGGCGGCACATGAGGACATTTTTTTTGTCTACATTGTGAGTTTTTCGGTGTACTTTCAAAATACTGTTGTGTTGTTGTGTGTGTCGAGGCAAACAGATGCAGGCTTTTATTTTACTAGAAAATTGGGCGCATATTGTTGCCGTTGCCGTGGGGTTGGCGGGGTGGCTTTTTAGGCGCGGCACTTGAGGGCCGACTTGGCGGGCTGGGTGAACGAGTCGTCGTACTGCTCGAGCGAGACGAAGTCACGGCGGATCCTGCAAAACAAATCCGGGTTAGCGAAATTCCCTGGCGATCTCTGCTAGCCTGCCTTTGGGTGTAAATTCATTTAAGATAAGACTTTTGCTAGCTTTTTAGGCTCAAAATTTCGTTCTCCCAGTTCAAATTTCCGCAAGAATCTTTGCTAGATTGCCTTTTCGCGGCGGTCCAAGGATCCAATGATCTCTGCTAGGTCGCCAGTGAATTCCGGTTCTGGTTCGTTAGCGGGGGAACCTTTTTTTGTCAATAGCTTTCTCATCTTAAATACCCTTCCCCCCGCTAACGAACCAGTACCAGAATCCCTGCTAGTTGTCCCATTCCCCAGTGACCTTTGCTAGCTCGCCCTTTGGTAGTAATCACGATTCCTCAAGAATCTCTGCTAGCCTGCCACATAAACCATTCAAAAACGCTTATAAAACTTACTCCCTGGTGAAGCGGCGGGCCTCCTTGGACTCGCGGGGGAAGCAGACGAAGCGGAGGGTGACCTTCTCGGCCTTGAACGGCTCGCCACGGGGGCACTCCTTGATGGCGGTGCGGGAGAAGCACGTCTTCTGCGAGTACTCGATCATCTGCTGGCGCTCGATGGGCTCTGGAAAATTTCAGATTCCTCAATGATCTTTGCTAGCTGCTTTGGTGGGAAATCCGAAATCTCTGCTAACTTGCCCTCCTCGCTATCCCAAAGAATTTCGGCCAATTCGCAGCGGTACAAAATCCCAACGAATCTCTGCTAGCTTGCCCAAAATCCCTTCGTAATCCCAAAGAATCTCCGCTAGCTTGCCCTTGCTCTGCTAGCAACCCTGCCCCGAAAATTCCCAAAGATTCCCTGCTGCTCCCCCCACTCACCCTCCTCCTCGGACATGGCGCGGGACAGCTCGACCTCGTCGAAGGCCTCCATCTCCTCAGAAGACGACTGGTCCATGCGGCCGTAGTTCTTCTTCTCGGAGATCTTCTCCTCCTCGATCTCGCACTCCTGATCGCGGGCAAAGTACGAGCGCTGGAACTCCTCGAGGTCGTCGGTGTGCTTGTTGTCGGCACCGCGGAACTCGTCGTGGCGGTCATCATCGTAGTGGCCGCAGAGTCCGCACTGGCGGCCCTTCAGCTCCTGCGACAACTCGACGCGGACGACGCGACCGTCGAAGCGGACGGACAGCTAGAGAAAATGGTTGTTCTCGTTCTGGTTCTCTCTCTCTCTCTCTCTCTCGCTCTCTCTCTCTCTCTCTTTCTCTCACTGGCTCTCTGTCCCTCGCTGTCTCTGTCTCTCTCTCTCGCTGTCTCTCTCTCTCACTCTCTCTCCCCTAACCCCTTGAAGACTCACCTTCTCCAGATCAACCTTGTAGACGCGGTCGGCCAGCTTGACGATGTCGTGCTTGGCGATCGACTCCTCGCGCACGTTCTTTCCGTTGACGACGAAGCGCATCTCACCGTCCTCCAGGAACAGCTCGATCGACTTCTCGTTGTCGACGATCTTCAGCTTCTTCTCCTCTCCGTTGCGGCCGACCTTCTTGACCAGGACGGCGAAGGTGCGCTCCTGAATTTTGTGTTTTGTTTAAGCTTGGGCCGCTTACCTCAGAGCAGTCCTTGGCGACGACCGAGTAGCAGGTGGTCAGCGGGTTCTTGAAGAGAACGTCATCGAAGGTGCGGATCTGAAGTGGATTTTTTGGACGTGACCGTAAGACCGGAAAAAGCCCGGGTTTCGACCGGAACCGTGTCGGGTGTTGACCGAAATACCTTACCTTTTCGGAGCGGACCTCGCAGTGGTCGCGGTTCAGCTCGTGGACCTTGTAGGAGCGGACCTCGACCGGGTGGAACAGGTTGAGGAGGGGCAGACGGTACGGCATACGGATAGACTCCATGCGCACCTGGAAATTGTCAAATGATCTCGGCTAGCCTGCCCCTTCGATTCCCAAATGATCTCTGCTAGCCTGCCCCTTCCATTCCCAAATGATCTCTGCTAGCCTGCCCCTTCCATTCCCAAAGGATCTCTGCTAGCCTGCCCCTTCCATTCCCAAATGATCTCTGCTAGCCTGCCCCTTCCATTCCCAAATGATCTCTGCTAGCCTGCCCCTTCCATTCCCAAATGATCTCTGCTAGCCTGCCCCTTCCATTCCCAAAGGATCTCTGCTAGCCTGCCCCTCCATACCTTGTTCTCCGGGGTGTTGATGGTCAGGTTGATGTAGCGGCGGTTCTCGGGCTCAACCTCAAGGAGGACAGAGACACGGCCGGCCTGGCTGGTCTTCATCTCGACGTCGGTGCTCCAGAAGTTCCAGACCTTGAGCAGTTGGAAGACCTACAACTCCACGGTAAGCACCATCCAATGCTCATCTACATACCTGCTCGATGGCGTGCTCGTACTGCTTGTCGAGGTTGTACTCGGCGTCCAGCTTGTACTGGTTCAGGTAGCCGGCCTCTTTGAGCAGCTTGAAGCTGTCCAGCTCGGCGCGGGTGGCCTGGAAAGGGGATGCTCAGTGTGCCAAGATCGCAGATCGCACCTTGTCGACGAGGGAGATCCACTTCTTCATCTCCTTGTTCTGCTCGCCCTGCAGCTTGAGAACGACCTCGTTGGTCTTGGCGCATCCGAAGGTGGCCTTGAGCATGGCGTGGAACTCACGCTGCTTGCGCTCCTTCAGCTCGGTCAGGGAGGAGACCTCCTGGAAAATGGGTGTTGAGAGAGAGAGGGGGAGGAAGAGCGAGAAAGAGAAAGCGAGAGAGCGAGAGAGAGTGAAAGACTGAGAGAGAGCGAGAGAGCGAGAGATAGCGAGAGAGCCAGAATAATCCCTCACCTCGGGGTACATGGTGTAGAGGTTGGCCTCAACGTTGCACTCCTCGCGCTCGCCCTTCATCAGGGGAGAACGGCGGCCGGTGACGCGGATGTGGCACTTGGAGAACGACTCCTTCTCGCAGACGGCCTTCAGCTAAAAGATGATCATCATCAAGGCGACTGTCCCTTCGCTTACCTCGAGCTCAGCCTTGCGCTCCTTCTCTCCTCCGAGGGCCTCGACGGAGAGCTTGGTGCGGTGGGAGACGGCCTGGAATTCGGAGCATTTAGGCGTACACTGGCATTGTTGAAGCTTCAGCCTAAGCCTAAGCTAAGCCTAAGCTGAGCCTAAGCCTAAGCCTAAGTCTGAGTGCCCTACCTCGACTCCAGACTTGCGGGTGTTCTTCTTGATCAGCTCCTCGCGCTCGGACTCCTCGAAGCTCTCCTCGGAGACCTGGAAAAGGAGATGGTTAGAGGGAGAGAGAGAGCGAGAGAGATAGAGAGAGCGAGATAGAGAGAGAAAGACGCTGACCTGCTCGACGGCGAAGTGCTTGCGGTTGTCGTTGGTGAAGAACGAGTCGAAGACGGTCCAGTCGGGCTGGGCGGCGTCGACGAAGAACTCGGTCTCGGAGCGGATCTTGTACTCGCGGGGCGACTCCTCGGACGGGACCGAGTAGATCTCGATCTGGAGATGAACATGGGTTACTCAAAAATGGGTGTCAGAGTTGCAAATGCGCTCTGCTGGCCTGCCCCTCCCAACTGACCATCTTCTCGGAGGCGACGAGCGGCAGCAGGTTCTTCTTGTCGTACTGGGTGGGCATGTGTCCGGCGACGCGGAAGCCAAGTCCGAAGAGCTGAAGACGTTCAGGTTATGGACACGGAATTTTGGGGAAACCGATCCCCTTAAACTTGCCGAACTTGATGTCACCCCTAAACCGTGCCCCATCTAACCGTACCTCCTTGCCGTAGACGTTGTCAATCTCCTTGTTGAAGCGCTCGAAGCGGGGGATGGTGATGGCCTTCTCGAGGGGCTCGGCGTACTTCTCGGTCTCGGTGGCGACCTTGCGGACGAAGGTGGCGGGGCGGGTGAGGACCTTGACGAGCAGCTTCTCCTCGCGCGGCGCCTTGAACAGGGTCTCGACGGTCAGCTTCTGGTTGCGGTACTCGGCCTGGAAATTGGGGGTTAGCAACGGATTTCGGAGGGTCTGAGGGTATTACCTTGATCTGAGCATCAACGGGCAGGCGGAGGTGGACGGACTGTTGGAGCTTGAGGCCAGTGTGGACTAGGGGGGAGAGGACCATGGATTGGGTGAGGTGGGTGAGGGCCAGCTGGGGCTCTCCCTTGATCGTGACCTCGACACCCTCCAGACGGCGAGACTCGCTCTTGGGTAGGAGGTCGGCCTTGGCGCGGAGTTCGACGGAGGCGACGAGGGGCATCTTGGTGTTGATCTTGACGGGCATACCGAAGGTGGTCGGGATGACGCGGGAGATCTGAAATACGGCGCTTGAACGGCTCGAAGTTGAGCCCGTAAACGCAGCGTGCTACGGACGACCCAGAGAGAGAGAGAGAGAGAGAGAGAGAGAGAGAGAGCCAGAGCCAGAGCAAGACACTCAGTCCTCACCTCGTAGAGCATGGAGGCGGTCTTGATCTTGAGGTCGGTGCCCTGGGCAAGGACACGCTCGAGCTCTCCGAGAGACAGCTTGTCGCCGGAGACGGCGTTCTTCAGCCACTAAAAAAACATTGATGATCAGCGCTTCCGAGGCGTTAGGCTCCAAACCTGGGTGATGACCTCCTCCTCGACGGGGATGAGGGCGTAGTCCATGTTGCGGTAGCGGATGTAGACGACGGCGTGGGGGTCCTGCTCGGCCGACTCGGAGTGGGGGCGGGAGACGATGTTCAGCTTCTCGAAGAGTCCCTGGAGAGTTTGAGCATTAATGGAAGCGAGAACCCCTTCCATTCCCAAATGATCTCTGCTAGCCTGCCCCTTCCATTCCCAAATGATCTCTGCTAGCCTGCCCCTTCCATTCCCAAATGATCTCTGCTAGCCTGCCCCTTCCATTCCCAAATGATCTATGCTCGACTGCCCTTTCCATTCCCAAATGATCTCTGCTAGCCTGCCCCTTCCATTCCCAAATGATCTATGCTCGACTGCCCCTTCCATTCCCAAATGATCTCTGCTAGCCTGCCCCTTCCATTCCCAAATGATCTCTGCTAGCCTGACCCTTCCATTCCCAAATGATCTCTGCTAGCCTGCCCCTTCCATTCCCAAATGATCTCTGCTAGCCTGACCCTTCCATTCCCAAATGATCTCTGCTAGCCTGCCCCTTCCATTCCCAAATGATCTCTGCTAGCCTGCCCCCTCCATTCCCAAATGATCTCTGCCAGCTGCCTCACCTGGAGCATCTGCTTGGGCGACTCGAAGATGGAGCGCTTTCCGCGGGTGACGACATCATCGATGGAGCGGATGGAGGCGACCTTGGGGAGAACGTTGCGGAGGACGCGGTCGAGTCCCTTCTGGGTGGCGCCAATCTGGAGTGATTGCTTCAATTCTCAAATGATCACCGCTAGCTGACCTGGAGGAAGTTCTTGTTCCAGTGTCCGGCGAAGAGAGCATCGACGGAGGCCATCAGCTCCTTGGGGAGCATGGAGTTGTTGGAGAAGACGCTGGAGAGCTCGATAGAGCCGGAGGAGAGGAGGGTCTGAATTTAGGTGTTTAGTCTCTCTCTCTCTCTCTCTCTCTCTCTCTCTCTCTCTCTCTTTCTTTCTTTCTCTCGCTCTCTCACCTCATCGAAGTACGAGCGGCGAGACAGGCGGGAATACACCTGCTGGCAACGGAACTTGACGTCGGTGTTGACCAGGCGGAGGGTAAGCTCGCAGCGCTGGCGCAGCTCCTTCTCGCACGGGTTCTCGGAGCGGGCGGTCTGAAAAATGGATGTCATGCTCCCGTTAAACGCCCTGAAATCTTGCTGTCGCCACCCCTTTAAAGCCGCCTACCTGCTTGAGCATGGAGTAGGCATAGGCGGCAACGTGGACGTTCGAATCGCGGTTGATGAGGTCGGCGATCTGCTCGAGGACCTGGCGCTCGGGCTGCGAGTGGATCAGGTGGTACAGGGCGGTGATACGGAGCTGAAAATTCGGGGGTTTCTCTTTCTAACTATCTCTGTTTTGCTATTTCTCTGCTTCTCTTGCTTAGACTCTCTCTCTCTCTTACTCTCTCTCGCTCTCTCTCTTTGCTTCCCTCGCTTAGACTCTCTCTCTCTCTGACCTCACTGGGCTCGGCGCGGCTCTTGATGACGGGCATCAGGGTGAGGGCGACGCGGCGGGGGATGAGGGTGCGCAGGAGACGCAGAGAGTCGATGGCCTGCATGCGGATGGTGGGCTCCTCAGAGCGGTCGAAGATGATCTAGAAAAACGGGATGTATTGGCGCACTAATGATCCGAAATTTTTCAAAGAATCACTGCTAGCTTGCCTCCAAAGAACACGGATTTTTCCTAAAAGATCTTGGCTGGTTGCCAAGCACCCCTTAAGAGGTGAGTCTCGTTTCGTCAAGAATCCCTGCTAGCTGGCGATCGAATTTCCCCAAAAATCTCGGCTAGCCTACCTCCCCCCCCGTAAACCCGCTATTCCACACACCTTCTCGAGCATGTTGACGGACATCTCGAGTCCGGCGTTGGCGATCGTCTTCAGCGCGAGCGTCTTCTCGTAGCGGGTGGTGGCCTTGGTGTACTGGCGGCGGAGCTCGTCGATGAGCTTCTCCTTCAGCTCGCGGGGGCAAACCTGGAAATTGACTTCTTCTACGGGTTCATTAGGCTTTTGGTCATCTACCGGATTTTAATTACTTGCAATAGATGTTGAAGCCTAAAACCCATAGTCAAAATCTGACCTCATCGCGCTCGTGGGCCCACTTGTCCTTGTTGGTGCCGCAGAGGCCGTTGATGAGCACGCCCTGGGTGAGGCGGATGGACTGCTCGAGGACGGCGTTCTTCTGGCAGACTGGAAACAGCAGATAAGAAAACCGCGAGAGAGAGAGAGAGAGAGAGAGAGAGAGAGCACCCACCGGAGTCCTTGACCAGGCGGTTCAGCTCGTCGATGATCTGCTCGGAGGGCAGACGCATGGTGGAGAGGGTCTTCATCAGGTACGAAGCGCGGAGGGGGGTGATCTGAATTCTCAAGTGATCTCTGCTAGCCTGCCCCCTCGATTCCCAAAGGATTTCTGCTAGCTGCTCACCTCCTCGTTGATGGTGAGCTTGATGATGTAGTCAACGCACGACTTGGTGCCGGCCTCGGCGACGGCATCGATCAGAAGGGTGGAGATCGTCTCCTCCTAGAATTGGCGGAGTTAGAGAATGACAAGAAAGAGAGAGAGAGAGAGAGAGAGAGAGAGCGAGAGAGTGAGCCGGAGAGAGAGCGAGAGAGCTCCAACTGACCATCTTGTTGGCCTCGCGGTGGATCTGCTCGATCTGCTTGTAGGTGCAGCGGCGGAGGATCATGACCAGGCGGGAGAACATGTGGGTGCTCTCGACCTCGACTTTCTCGCGGACGAGCTGCTCGAGCTCCTTGAGCGTCTTCTTGGCGGCCTCAACCTGAAGGTGTCAGTTGGGTGGAGCGGTTGGAAGCCATTCAGCCGGAATCGACCGTTTGGGTCCGATTTGGCGCGTAGCGTATCTCATTCTCACCTGCTCGTAGTCTCCTCCCTTCTGGGACTCCTTGAGGTACTTCTCCTCGCCGGTCATGGCCCACTTCTCGAGGGCGCGGCCGATGTGGTTGGAGTGCATCAGGGACGTCTTCTTGGCGGCGGAGATCGTGGGCATGCGGGTCTTCAGCTCACCCGACTCGAGCAGGGTCATCTTGGCGACGACCTGGAAGGGGGTTGCTCGATTACGGCATGAAAATTGGGGTCCGGAAACATGGATTTCTAGTCAGGAACTTGAATTTCTGAAAGCATGAGCATGAGCTGGAGACTGAGATTGAGGCGGAGGCTTCGCTTAGGCTTAAGTTAGGCTTATGCTTAGGTTAGCCTTAGCTTTAGGCTTAGGCTTAGGCTTAGGCTTATGCTTAGGTTAGCCTTAGGCTTAGGCTTAGATTAGGCTTAGGCTTAGGCTTAGGCTTAGGCCTATGCTTAGGTTAGGCTTAGGCTTAGGCTTAGGCTTAGGCTTAGGTTAGCCTTAGGCTTAGGCTTAGGCTTATGCTTAGGTTAGCCTTAGGCCTAGGCTTAGATTAGGCTTAGGCTTAGGCTTAGGCTTAGGCCTATGCTTAGGTTAGGCTTAGGCTTAGGCTTAGGCGGAGGCTTAGACTTAACCTGCCATTCTAAAGGAACAGCGACATCAAACCGTCTCGTTACCCACCTCGGTGTTGATGAGCGGCTGCTCGTCGGAGATGGGGGCGTAGACGTACTTGGAGGACAGCTCGACCTCGCGGATCAGGAAGCGCTCAGACGAGCCGAGGACGCGGAAGCGCATCACCTAGAAATCGGAGTTTCCGGGTGCATACGCCAGTTTACGGTGTTCTGCTGCTGCTCGGGGAGGGCCTTGTTGATCTTGTTGACGTGGACGTCGCACTCGCGGCACTCGTCGCTCAGGCGGACGTTGTAGACGGCGTGGGGACGGCGGCTGCACTTGGCGAAGTCGATCGACTTGGTGTAGACGGTCTCCTCCTCCTCGGTGCGCTCCTGGAAATGGTGTACTGTTGGGAGAGAGCGAGAGAGAGAGAGAGAGAGAGAGAGAGAGCGAGAGAGAGAGGGAGAAGGAGAGAGAGCGCTTGTTTACCAATTTACCTCAGACTCGCTGACTCCGTCGATCTTGGTGTAGACGACATCGCAGACTCCCTCGAGGGTAGTCTGGAATAAAAAATTTTCTGGGTTTTTTCGAGAAATCCGGCATCCTCATGTCACCCCCCCCCCTTTAAAAAATCCGTACCTCCTGGAGACGGTAGTTCTTCTCGGTCTCGTCCTCGCGGCTGTTCTCCTGGTTGCGGCTCAGGTGCAGCATGTTGAGGGCGGCGCGCTTGAGGTTGCGGGACCAGGTGGGGTCCTGCTCGTCGAACTCGAGCTCGGAGACGGAGAATCCCGACTCGAAGCGGAAGCGCAGGGGGAGCTCGAGGGCACGGCGCTGCTCCTCGGTGATCTCCACCGGCTCGAAGAAGTCGGTGGCGGTCAGGCGCGAGGCGGAGCGGATCGTTTCCTGGAATGGTAAATGGTGTGCTGGGCTACTTTATTCCAAAAAGAATCTCTGCCAGCCTGCCCCTTCCATTCCCAAATGATCTCTGCTAGCCTGTCCCTTCCATTCCCAAATGATCTCTGCTAGTCTGCCCCTTCCATTCCCAAATGATCTCTGCTAGCCTGCCCCTTCCATTCCCAAATGATCTCTGCTAGCCTGCCCCTTCCATTCCCAAATGATCTCTGCTAGCCTGCCCCTTCCATTCCCAAATAATCTCTGCTAGCCTGCCCCTTCCATTCCCAAATGATCTCTGCTAGCCTGCCCCTTCCATTCCCAAATGATCTCTGCTAGCTTGCCTGGGCGGAGAAGATGTTGAAGTGGCGGAGCTGGATAAGTGCCTGTCCCTGTCCCTTAATCTGGAGATGAACACGGGAGGAGATGCGCTGGGCGGCATGCTGAGAGCCGTCAACCGGAAGTCCGGTGGCCAGCTGGGAGTCCCAGCCGTAGACGAACTCTTTCTCCTGGGCGAACCATCTGGAAACCCGCGGTCTCAAAGATCTCCAAACATTTTTGAAAAAAACTTAGTTTTTCAAAAAACACGGAGTGCACTCAGTTCCACAAAAATCCCGGCTCGCTAACGCCGAGATGACTATCGTAATACTCCAAATGAATACCACGAAGTCGGAAAAAAATCTCAGAAATCGCCGAAAACCGACTAAAGGTATCGAAAATCTAAAAAATGCAGCATCAGCTATCCAGAATTATAGCTGATGAAAATGTTTGGAAAATCTAGAAACATCGCCGAAAAGGGGCTAAAAATTGCCCGAGCTACCGTACCTCTGGTCGACGCCGCGGAGGGGCGAATAAGCGGCAAGGGCCAGTCCGCACAGGGCGGCTACCAGGGTGAGCTTCATCTTCTCGGATGGGGAAGACGAGGAGACCCCGGTGTCGAAGTGAGGCTATGGATCCGGCCATCCGTTTTATACTGCGCCCCCTGCCTTATCTTTGCTACGGTATTTGGAGGAGAGAGAGAGAGAGAGAGAGGGAGAGAGAAAGAGAGCAGGTACTGACAGGTCACTCAAAAAGTCGAAGACGGGTGTCACTCCTTTTGGAGGTCTCCCCGCGGGGTTCAGCGCTTCGCAATGACCTGACAATCCCAAAAACGGGGGGCCATCGACCATTCCGGGATTCGAAATGATTCCGGGTCCTGATGAGCGGGGTTTGCAGAATTTTGTAAATGAATTAGTTAAAGGAAGTCCGAAATCTGCGTGAATCTTCATTTCGCCGAATTTTCACTTCGCTGAATTTTCATCTCGTTTCATTTCGCCGAATTACCTATGAAAATCTATGTTGGAGACCTTGGAATCTACGATATTTTGCCCCGCCTGCCAAATGGTTTTGTTGGAGGATCAAGAAGATAACTTTACCTTCGTTGAAAACAAGTTGAAAACTGATTTTTGACTGAAGAAGAGGACAGCCGAGCTATGAAAATTCGGCGAAATGAAGTTTCGGCGAAATGAATGTAAATCCGAAACCTGGTCCACGCCCTTACATGGAGACGTTTTTAATGCGAATGGATTTTTTAAGTCGAAACCAGGCCTGTTTTATGCAGAATTTTGCGCTGATTCCGAACCTGTTTTCAACTTCCTGTTTCTTTCTTTAGGATTCGCGGGGGGACCAAATTTTTTTCGGCACAAGCCTAGATTTCTTTATAGATAGCGGATGCGTTTCTAAATCGTTTTTAAGCAGTCTTAATCATAAAAACGACACACATTTTAATTAAAAAATTCAATTTTAGGTCGAACACCCCTATGACCCCAAATGACCAAATTTTCGACTTTTTCAAACATTTTTCTAACTTTTTTGAAAGCTTTTTTCTACTTTAAATATTGTGGAAGCTTATTAAAAACAATTTGAAAACATTTTATATTCGATTACTAGGTCAACCGGGAATAAAATACGTCCCTTCAGCATAAAAAGCGGTCAAATCGCGCTAAAAATGTCGTGATTTTCGAAAATCGGAAAGTAGTGAATTCCGCAGCTCGACGGACGAGTGCTCTCGATAGATACCTAAATCGTAAAAACCGGACGCGTCGGCCGACCGCTAGAGGTGGTCTCTTTTCGAAAAATCTGGGTGTTCTGACTGTTTTAATATTGACTCTGGGCCAATAAAAAATTTTTGGACTGGTTTTCGGCCTCCTTTTTCAGCGGGTTTGTGCAGCAAATCAGTTTTTCAGAGCGTTTTTTCCGATCGGCAACACGATGGACATGATGGTGAGTGATTATCAGTGATTATCAATCGATCCCTGTGCTGAAAAATTGCCTAAAAACTTGCGAAAAACGCTTCCTCGAAAAAATTTCCCGGATTTCCAGACCCACTTACACTTTCACGATGATTGGCATGCCAAAAAGCCTCGGGCACTTGGGGACCTTCAGAAAAACTTATCAGCCGTCCAACGGGCCCGCGACAAAACGATGAGTGAACGGCTGCCATTCTGAAGGGTGGACGCCGGCGAAATGCGGGTGTTGAGTGACAGGTGCATGGGAAAGTGATCCCAATTCGAGGTTCTCACACAAAAATGTAGTGCATCGAGTGGCCCAAAAAAGGAATACCAATCAGAATCTCGAAAATCAGAATATCGAATTTTCAGAATCTCGAATTTTCAGAATCGCATCTTTTGTCGAAAATAAAAAAATAAAGGCTCGTCCAAGCGACGCCCTTCACGATTGCAAATTCAGCCAGGAACCCTAAAAGTGAATTGAAAGCGTCATGAAATTCGCCGTTCTGTGATTCTGTGGTTGGCCCCCGTTCCGAACTCCCGCCGGTGCTAATCTTTTAACGGGGGGGGGGGGCGGTTTCGCAGCAATTCCGTACGTACGGTTTACGTTTACGTTTTACTGTTTCCGGCTCCCCGGACGCCAAATTTTAGGCAGGTATGCAAATTGTTAACAAGATCTAAACAATCTTTTTTTAGTCAGTTCTCCGTTTATTCCAACCTTTTTCCGGATTTGACCCCCGAACCAGCCCGGTGGCCTCGCGCCTATTTGCTGACCCGACCACCGTACACCCCGGGATTTACCTAGCATTTCCCCACCCCGTCGGACGAGAAAATGCATATAAAACCCGTCGAAAAATTGCGAACCGTTTCAAGTTTTCTATTCTATTTTTCTTTTCTTATTATTTATTTCTTTTCATTCAGGAAAGATGTAGAAATTTCGTTTCTACATGTCTCTTACCTGTGCACATGGGTGACGACCTTGACTTAGCGATGGGGGAAGCCACGAGTCGTTTCAGCTTTAAGTTTCTTGGTTTTAACCTAAGCCTAGACTTGGCTTAGCTTTATCTATGCTCAATTGGGCTTAGCTTACATTGATTTTGCCCCAAAAGCTCAAAAACCTGGCTATCTAAGGCTTAGCTGACGCGCACGCGCTTAGCTTCGCCTAACTTGAGCTTAGACATGGCTTTAATGAAGCTTAGCTTTAGCATGGTCCTTAGATACGCTTCAAGCTTAAAAACTTAGCTTTTAGCCTCATGTAGTCCGTCCCGTCCCCATGGGCACAAGCACCCTTCACCTACAACGATTCTCCTTCCAAAGACACCTCTAAATTATCTTTTTCAGAACTTGGGGCTCCGTCCATATTCACCGGTTGGACCGAACGAAACCGCGCAGCCGACGAGATGGCCAAATTGTGCTTGAGTAAGTTTGAAGCGTTTTTTGGGACTTTGTCTTACGGAATTAGTTGGCCACTATAAACTTTTACAGAAAAGGCCACCAAGCGCAAGAGCTTCGCAAAACAGTACAAGATCCAGAAGAAGGTAAAGGAACATAAAAGGAAGACGCGCCGCGAGCAGAAAAAGAATAAGCAAAAGGCGGCCACCAAGCCGCTGACGGTACCGAACGCATGTCCCTTCAAGGAGGAGCTGTTGGTGGAAGCTGAGAGGTCACGCGAGCTGCTTAAGGAACAACGCGAGGTTGATTTTGTTTGTAAAATTCGCTTTTGAACACACGAAATTACTTTATTCGTTTTGTTTTAGGCGAAAAAAGAAGCCGCCCGCCTGCAAGACATCGAGCGTCGAGCAGAGAAACGCAAGTTGCCCACGGACACGATGGAGAGCCTGGCCGCGCGCGCCGAGTTGCAAGCCAAGAAATTTGCCAATGGCAATGAGGTCGCCGACGAAGGCCGGACCGCTAATCTCGATGATAAGAGCGTAAAAGTATGTGTTTTGTTTTAGTTTTAGGCAATTATCTGTTTTAGGTATACGCGGCCGAGGTGCGCAAGACGATCGAGACGGCCGACGTAGTCATCGAGGTCCTGGACGCGAGGGACCCGCTCGGCAGCCGATCGAAAGTCGTTGAGCAACAGGTAGTAGTTTTTTAGGTTTCTGGAATGTAGTTTTAGGTGGTCAACGCTGGCAAGCGCCTCGTCCTGCTGCTGAACAAGATCGACCTCGTGCCAAAGGAGAACGTGCTCGCCTGGCTGAAATACCTGCGCCAATTCTACCCAACCATCGCCTTCAAAGCCAGCACCCAGGAGCAGAACAGCAAATTGGTACGTTTTTGGTTTTTCTGGTGCGTTTATAATGTCCTTCAAAACAAATTTTTCATTTCAGGGTCGTTTCGGCGGATCGAACCTCTCCAACTCGTCGTCAGCCAAGTGCATCGGCGCCGATCTGATCATGAAGCTGCTCGGGAACTACTGCCGCAACAAGGACATCAAGACGAGCATCCGCGTCGGCCTTGTCGGCTACCCCAACGTCGGCAAGAGCTCGGTCATCAACTCGTTGAAGCGGAAGCGCGCGTGCAACGTCGGCGCCACGCCGGGAGTCACAAAGTACATTGCCTTACTTCCGATATGGCTAAATCGTTTTAGACAAATCCAAGAAGTCGAGCTCGACAAGAACATCCGCCTGCTCGATTCGCCCGGTGTCGTCCTCGCCACGAAGAGCCAGCTCGACACCGTTGAGGTGGCGCTGCGGAATGCGATTCGCGTCGAGAGCCTTGCCGATCCTGTTGCCCCCGTGCACGCCATCCTGCGCAGATGCTCAAAGGAGACGGTACTTTTTTTTACCTTCGCACGGAACTCGGATCTTCCGGAAAATACCCTTTCGTTCTGGCAATTCCATGGACTCGATTGACTAGATTTTTTTTCCAGCTGATGCTCCACTACACGATCGCCGAGTTCGACTCGTGCGACAAGTTCCTGTCGCTCGTCGCACGCAAGCTGGGCCGTCTGAAGAAGGGCGGCGTTGCTGATGTCGACGCGGCTGCCCGACACGTGCTTCAAGACTGGAACACCGGCCGCCTCCGGTACTACACGCAACCCCCCGAGCAGGTAAAAACTTAATCATCCGCTTTGTCATTCTTTCATTTCTTTTCAGCCCGTCGTGCATGAGACGACCGGTGCCGCCGAGATTGTGCAGCAGTTCAGCAAGGAATTCGACATCGATTCGCTGGACACGGACTTGGCCAATTTGGTCGAAGGTAATAGAGTTATATTGTTCGAATCTACCTTGAATTTTAGAACTGCCCATGGAGACGTCCAGCGATGTGGCGACGGCGTATTCGGGCTCGGAGGCCGCGGTTAGCGAGCGATGGGGCGAAGAGGGAGAAAGCGAGGATGACGACGAGGAGATGGACGACGACACAAAAGGTACATTTTGCTACCCTTATTCTCGGCGATTTTGTCGGATTTTAGCGTGATCCCAATTTTTCAGGCGGCAAAGTCGTCATCGAGGCGGGCGCAAAGAAGGCGAAGCCCCAAGCCGAGCGCGAGAAGAACGTGATCCCGGAATCGTTGGCCCTCGGCGGCAACGTGCAGCACAACCGCGCCATCAAGCAGGCCGTCAAGAAGCAGAAGCGCCAGAACAGGAAGACCGGTGAGGATTTGGGCGAGTGGAAGTTACCAATCTTTTTTTCAGCGCAACGAGCCGACGCGCTCGCCGACGCCATGGACGTTGGGCTGTCGACGAAGCAGGAAGAATACGACTTCTCAATGGCCTAGAAGCTCTCGATTCCTTTGTTTTCCCCCATTTCTCCCGTTACATTGTTGCCCTTGTTGTTGAGTTGTTAGTCCCTTACGGTTCGCGGACATATATTCTTTATTGTTCCCCCCAATTGTTTGTTGCCTGGTTTTGCTCTCGTTGATACCCTTTTGTTGAACAATTTCTGCACAACTTCTAGCAGCGCACACCGCGCACCCAATTTGTCAGCCAAATAAACGATTCACAGTTGCAAGGATTTTCAATGCCGATATAGCAGTATTTTGTGAAAAATACGTAGCACATTTTGACGAGAAAGCATTTCACTTGCGTTGTTTTCGAAATAGCTGCATGACCTTCTTCATATTTAGGATGACTGGACAAAAGCTGCTTCGAGGCTTGGTCTGCTTCCTCGTTGGGAGCAATCGCTTGCGCCGCAGGCTTTGAAACGAAGCATCGCGCTACGGCAGGCGAGGAAGTACGCTTTTAGTTTGGTTTTGCCACTGCCGCTGAACGTTTGGCTTCGACGAAGAGGAAAGTAGCCTTCCGCTGACCCGTTACGTGAACTGGCTGCTTCCTTGGCTTTCGGCTGGTGCAACTGTCCTTCCGGTCCGACCCTTCTCCGTTGAGATCGAGGAGTGAGAAGTTTTTTTGCTGAAACTCCCGACCCTGTATTTCAATCTTGTTAACAATTTGCATATATGCTGAAGATCTGGCGGTCCTGGGAGCGAAAAACAGTCAAGAAAACCTCACTAACAGCTTGAAAATAGCAGTCTCCACTCTTCGAGCCATTCGGACGGTAAAACTTGAGTTTTCTACTTTTTTTTGAAAAGCGCCTAGAAATGCCGGACGGCTCGCTGAAGAACTACAATCACGAGCTGCTCAAGTCGGGGCTGGTGTTGAAGACGGACCAGGGGGATCGGTAGTGTATATTTTCGATCTTTCAAAGTCCCGTTACGCTTTCAGCTTCAAAATTGGCAAGCCGATCGCGTACGGCCGATTCGGCGATGTCTATTCGGTTGATGGAAAGTGGGATAAAATTTTAAGTATAGTTTTCCGGGGGTTTTAGGCCCGGCGGTCCGACGATCGCCATTCGGACCGAGTTGCCGGATTTGCCGGAGGAGTACGCGCAAATGGAGGTTGTTTGGAGGGAAGAAAAGTGATGCAAATTTTTCTAGACCATCGAGAACATCCTGTCGCTGGCGCAAAAGGAGCGGAAGGCGTGGAAGGAGCACTTGCCGGTGTGGGTCTGGATACGGGGCGGGCGGCCATTTTTTTGTATAAGTCTAGGAACGCCTATTAACTTAATAGAAAGCATTTAAACCACGTTTTTAGTAAAATGACGCTATATTTCACCTAGAAAAACTATGTCAAAATTATCGCAAATTTTTCAAAGAAAATTTTTGTAAAAAACGGCCGCTTTTGGCCGAAAGCCCCTTCTTTTTGTGCTTTTTAATAAAAATTTTGGCATTGAGGAATAGTAAAGGCAGTGAAAGATAAGCTTGCTATTTATACATTTCAAAAAACGCATCCTTAAAAAAATTTTTGCCCTCTTTCAGGCTCTATGGCAAGGGGGCAAAGCCGTTGCCATTCCTCGTGCTCGAGGCGTACCCGCTGCGCCTTGACGAGGTCATCTCCACGATCGTCTCCAAGAATCAGGCGCTTGACCGCGAGTGAGAGATCAAGCTCGCAATATCCTATTGATTTTTGTGTAGAAGCGTCTGCTTCATCGGCCTGCACACGTTGCGCGCCATCCAGGAGCTGCACCGGCTCGACTACGTGCACCGGTAATTGGGCCAACTTTTCGGAGCCAACCTTTCTAGCGATATTCGACCGGCCGTCTTCCGCTTTCGGAACCCGAAGGCCACCCCGTCGGGGATCATCTTGGCCTCGCTCGGCTTCTGCAAGCCCAAGATCAAGCCCGGGTCCGGCGGGAAATATAAAGTGAAGTGGGTAGTGGTTCAAAGTTCCCTGTACCCCTTATTCCAGCCAAATCCCGCCCCGCACCCGCGCCTCGGCCACGACCACCAAATACTGGAGCATGCGGATGGAAGAGGGGGCCGATGACTACTTCTACAACGATGATCTCATCTCCTGGTTCGTGAAATGGATTCCGAAAAGAGCAGGCAAATCACTTCCCAATCCCTTTGAAAAACGGGGCAGGTAGATGACCAACATTTTCAGGGTGTTCATGTTCGCCGACCTGTGGAGCCCCGGCTCGCTGCCGTGGGAGATGACCAACGACCAGCAGCAGGTGCTCCAGATGAAGAACGACCTCGTGGCGCTGGACGATTTTGGGGACTATCTAAGTGAGGAATTGAATTGAGGGAGCGAGAGAGAGAGAGAGAGAGAGAGAGAGGGCGAGAGACAAAGAGACAGAGAGAGACAGAAAGCGATAGAGCGAGAGAGAACGCAAGACTTCCAGAAAACGACACGTGCATCGCCATGCTGCAGGAGATCTCCCCGATTTTCTTGCACATGCTCCGCTATTTGACTGTGAGTTACAAATAGGCTTACTTGGGCTTTGATCTTTAGCTTAGGTTTAGGCTTAGGCTTTGGCTTGAGTTTAGGCTTGGCATACGTAGCCTTTTTAGGTGGGGCTCACGGTCAAGGATCCGATCGACTACGAATACCTGGCCTACCTGTGCAAATCGAAGATTATTATGGTGGGAGAGAGAGGGAGAGAGAGAGAGAGAGAGAGAGAGAGAGAGAGAGAAAGAGAGAAAGAGAGAAGGAGAAAAACTTTCAGAAGCATCGCCTCCAGGACTTCCCGACCAACGGCTGCTGGGCTGACGACAAGTGGACGTTCAGCCCCGAACTGAAACGTCCGAAAGTGGCAAGTTTTTTTTTCGAACCCTTTACCGAACTTTTTTGTATACATTTACAAATGCCTAGTATATTAATAGAAAGCGTGCTAATAATTTTTCAAAGAGAAAGACTATCTAAAAAAATAAAAAAAACGTTCAAAAAGTCGACTCGCTAAAAATCGGCCTTTTTCGGTCGAAGAATCGATGCTTTTACAATTTTTTTGCTAAAAATTTGTTGAGTTTTTCACGCTCAGAAATAGTAAAAAACCATTGAGAAACACCTCCACAATTTATATTAAGAAAAAAAATTTGCCCCCCCGATAATGCGAAAGAACCCAATCGTGGTTGACCCACCCCTCTATGTTCAGGGCGACGCCGAGCCGAACGCGGCCATCGCCCCGACGGGCAAGCCGTCGAAGGAGCGCACGATGACGATCGACGTCGACAAGCCGACCACGGTGAGTGGGGTGCGACATTTTTGGGCTGTTTGCCCCTTCAAAAGTTGACTTGCAGCTCTTGGGCGAAGCCTCCGGCTAAGCCCAAGCCTGAGCCTGAGCCTAAACCTAAGCCTACCCCAAGCTCAGCTTAAACCTAAGCTTACGCCCAGACCTAAGCCAAAGCCTCCGAGTTCTAAGCCGGCCCAAGCCAACGTCTAAGCCTGAGCCTAAGCCTAAGCTGAAGCCGTAACCAAAGTCCAAGCCTAACCCTAAGCCCAAGTCTCAACCTAGCCCGAAGCGCAAGCCTAAGCCCAAACCAAATCCAAGCCTAAGCCTCTAGTAGTCTTCCAAAAAATTTCCGTTTTCCAGCAACACGGCCCGGATAACCGCTCCGGCAAGCACCGGCGTCGCCGCCCACCCGCCGAGCGTACGGAGGCCGACTCCGTTCGGTGAGTTTCTTGACTACGGTACCTTTGCTGGCGTATAACAACGCACACAATCTGCAACCCGCCGTAATCTCCTCATTTCAGTCGCGCCCTCAAGACCACCGAGGAGCCGTCGGTTCGTGTTTTTGCCGGATTTTAAAGAAAGAGAAGCTTGTTGCGGATTGCGAGGCGTATACTTCAACTTAGGAAGATGCGGCCGTTCCGGCTCGTGCTCGCTTCATGAGCCGCGAAATTGCCTCCGAGGGTCGTAAGAAGAAGAACAAGCACGGATCCAGGGCCGGCAGTCGCGAGGTAGCAGAGATCATTTGGGAATGGAAGGGGCAGGCTAGCAGAGATCATTTGGGAATCGAAGGGGCAGGCTAGCAGAGATCATTTGGGAATGGGAGAGGCAGGCTAGCAGAGATCATTTGGGAATGGAGGGGGCAGGCTAGCAGAGATCATTTGGGAATCGAAGGGGCAGGCTAGCAGAGATCATTTGGGAATGGGAGAGGCAGGCTAGCAGAAATCATTTGGGAATGGAGGGGGCAGGCTAGCAGAGATTTCTGCGGAATCTACCCTTAATTCCTGACATTCTTTAGGCGACGAAGGAGGTGAAGGAAAAGGAGACGACCAAGGAGAGCCGGAAAGAAAAGGAGAAGGAGATCCCGACGATGACCTGCGAGGCGAGCAACATGAAGAAGATTTGAGCACCACCGGCTCGTGCCGCAGAATTAAACCCGACGCACAAAGAAAGCATCATATTCCGATTATACAACATTGAATAAATCCGTTAATTTTGGGTCTTGTCTCTCACTCATATTCTCGCTCTATCGCCCTCGCGCTCTTTCTGTCTCCCTCACTCGTTCTCTCTCCCTCTCTCTCACTCTCTCTGTGTCTCTCTCGGTAATACTTACACGCTTTCTGTGTTGTTGATCGTCAATACAATTTATTCACAACGAGATCAATTCTTCGGAATACTGTACAAAAATAAATATCACCTTAAAGGTTGTATTACCGAGAGATCGATGCATTAAGAAAAGCGGTAATCGACAAAATCTCTTAATGACATAAGTCCCTTGATTGGCCTAGTCTCCGAAAAGATTCTTGTGCTTCGTTTGATAGTCGCGGAAGCAATTCTTGAACACCTCGAACACCTGGAAAAATGCGGTTGTTTTTACCGGGGCAGTCGAGCAAAGAAGATTTGGTAAGCGATAAAAGCTAACCTGCAGACAGGGCAGATAGTCGACAATATTCGGCGGTGTGTCCCGGTGCGTTTGGCAAAACGGCAGGCATCGCCCACCCAAGAAGTTTGACAGCCCGCCAAGAGCGCAGCACTCGGTATGGTCAGCCTGAAAGCGGATTTTTTTGCTTTTAAGCTTCTGTGTCGCTTCCTTTAAAACACTCGAAATCCGACAATCACCCCCTTCGATCGACTAGGTCTCGACAGCTAAGCGACACTCCAAAAATAGATGGAAAAGGCTACCGAATGAACCTTTTTTGAGAACTAGCCCATACGGGGGAATGGCATATGTAATTTAGTTTGTCCCGCAGCTGTCTAGACCTAGCCGGCGCCAAGAAGTCAAATCCCGCGTCTCCTAGTCCCTTTAAAACTCTTACCTTTGACGAGGCGCAGTCGAAAGCTCGGCCGAGCTCTGGCCCCGGGCATTGCAGTGTTAGTACGGCAGTGACAAGCTGAAAGAAAATGGGCCATACTCCCAAATGATCTCTGCTAGCCTGCCCCTTCCCGAACACCCACCGACTTGTCTGTAAAGGTGTCAAAGTTGCACAGCTGCGAGCAGCGGGCTGAAAGCCGCTGCTTCCGGCAGCACAGCTCGAGCTTCTCGTTCGACGACAGGGCTAGATGAGATCGAAGTGGGAGAGTTCTCGGAAAATGTCTCCGCTAGAGGTCCGCGAGAATGAGGTGAACTCCACCGGGCGAGCGGTGAGCTCCATCTGAAAATTCTCGTGAGAAAAGAGAGCGAGCGAGCGAGAGAGAGAGAGAGCGAGCGAGAGAGAGAGAGAGAGAGAGAGAAAGAGAAAAAGAGCAATAGCAAAATTCCGCACCCATACCTGCGAAAACTTTGCCATATCCGGGTACTTTTGCATGAATTCACGCAGCTTCTCCGCAGGTCGACCCCCCGCGGTTGAGCCGACATCCCTGAGGACCATGTACGGGCTGTCGTCTGGAACGTTTGGTCTTAAAGAGGCTGGGAACCGCGAGAATCGACCCTCCTATCGACTAGTTCTAGACAGTTACGCCGAAACGTTAGCCGCATTTGCAGCGATTGAGGGGAATGGGGGGGGTGAGGCGGGAAAAAATTACCAGCGCTATATAATTCAACGTCGCGAAATTTCGGGATCATAATAGCAATTCATCGAGGACATACCAATAATCGTTGCCGTGTCCACAGCCGTGGCGACCGAATTGACGGGTCGAATTTCGGCTTCAGGCCCGGGCAACGGGATCGGGGCTCTGTTCTGCGCCATCGGGTACCGTATGCCATGGCGGGCTGGCTGATCATCGGAGCTGACCAGCGGTGTGAGTGGAGGCTAAATTAAGATGAAAATTCCAGCGGCGCGCGGGCAATCAAAAGCGCGGGAATCGACCTGTAACGTCGACTGGGTCCAGACAGCTTCGCGAGACTCGAAAATGGGTTTCGATCTCATCTAGATACGCCCGAGGAGGAAAAACGTCAAAATCCCGACAGCCAAAGTCTCGACATTTAAAATACCGACAGCCAGAACACCGAGAGCCAAAATCCCGACAGCCGTAATCCCGAAATTCAAAATCCCGACAGCGAAAATCTCGACCTTCAAAACACCGAGAGCCACAATTCGTCAAGCGAAAATCGCGACAGCCCGAAAAAAATAAATTTTGAAACCATTTATGGGTAAACTGACCCGAAATAGCACATTTTTTTGGTCGGGATTAGGGGTGTCCGGATGTTCGCTGTCAGGATCATAGCTGGAACTTGCCCGAGAAATGTGAGAACCGAGAACCTAAAAGCTCTTGCATGCTTGTTTTGGCGCGTCGCGTAGCTGTCTAAATCCAGTCGAGTTAAGGGTCGATTATCGAGTTTCGAGCGCCCCTTAAAGCATCAAAACCACCTCCTCTTCCGGGATAAAACCCTCGCGATTTCGGTGATGTTTTTGAGAGGCGCCGGGAGCCGGGAAAACGAGAGGAGCAGCGGCCCGGGCCCAGTCGCGGTGCAGCTCGGCGTTGTCCTAAGTTTCGAAATATCTCTCTCTCTCTCTCTCTCTCTCTCTCTCTGGCTCTTCTCTCTCTCTCTCGCTTTCCTTGAACTTACGTCAGTAACGAAAGGTTGCGGCGGGTTGGCGGGAATCTGCCAGGACTGGAGCGGAAATCGGACGACCGGACCACCCGGCTGGCGATTGGTTGGACGAGGCCTCCAGTTGGAGTTTGGCTAAAAAATTCCTCGCTCTCTCTCTCTCTCTATCTCGCTCTCTCCTTCTCTCTCTCTCGCTTTCGCGAGCTCTCTCTCTAGCTCTCTCTCACTATCTCCGTCTCTGTCTCTCGCTCTCGCTATCCCCAGCTTTGTCTCTCTGGCTCATCTCTCTCTGGCTCTTGCTCGCTCTCTCTCACTTTCTCTCTCTCTTTCTCTCTCTAGCTCTCTCTCGCCTCGGAAAATAAAGCTTTTCCCTACTTTTTCAGGTCTTACAACTTTCGGCGACTCCGCGACGCTCCTAGAGACGGGAAGCGGCTTTTTCTAAACAGTACAGTTTCAAAAAATCAGAATTGCAAGAATCACCTCCAAATCCCGATACGCCGTTACGGTAGGCACGGCGTTTGGGAAGGGCACAAGCCGTTGCGTCCCGGAACTCCTGATTTTTGGAAAAATTACAAAATTCTGTGTTTCAGGAAATTGGCGGCGAGCTACTGTAGCCACTACTTACAGTACGGGCGGCTGGTGGGCGGTCGGGACCTAAAACGGGCAGAAATTGGTAAATTCGTATCCGCAAATTTTACCAATAATGCCGAATGCAGTTTGTCGCTGTCCGCGTCGGAGGAGACCTAAACTTACTAAAAGTCAATTTTAAGGGCACGGAGCAGTCAAATTGTTTTGGAAACGATGAAACAGGACGATGATCTTCGGCCGATTTCGTGGGGGGGCGGCTCGCCCCCGTCGCCCCCCTCTTCTATTCAACGCTCCAACTGCTGAAAAACCTACCCGGAGAATTTTATCGCGTGGCCGTGTCGTCGTCGATTCCGTGGCCTGATTCGGATTTGTTTTGCGGATTTCAGGCAAATACCGTAGTCTCAACCGATCGTGTCGGGACCAGGCCTCGCTCAGGGGATACCGTAGTCCGCTGTGGGGGTCGCGTCACGAAAATCGGGTCCAACACGTCGCGGACAGGGGCCGAGGATGTGATACGGTGGTAGACTGGAATTCCCAAATGATCTCTGCTAGCCTGCCCCTTCCATTCCCAAATGATCTCTGCTATCCTGCCCCTTCCATTCCCAAATGATCTCTGCTATCCTGCCCCTTCCATTCCCAAATGATCACTGCTGGCCCGCCATTAAATCTGAGAAGCTTACACGCTCTCAGCGCCATTTCGCGATGGTCCACGTCAAGCGGGATGAATTCTTCTCTAGTGATGATTCTAAAAACGGCAGATGAGCAGTCTATCAAAATATTGTTTCCGTAAAATTAGGCTGTGCCATTAAAGCTCAAATTAAATTGAAACGCCCGGTACCTTTTCCCCTTGATCGGCGCCACGATGATGCGATGCGTAGGAAGGGGCGAATCTGATGAGCAAAATATCGAGCTCCCAAATGATCGCTGCTAGCCTGCCAGCCCGCACTTACCTTTCCGCTTCAAATTACGCATCAAATTGGATGGTGCTGCGCGGTTTGGCGCATCTCCATCAACGACCACCAGGCTCTCCTGAGCATGAGCGCCTTTTAGCCGAGAGAATCGACTCACATCCTCCCCCGCCTCGGCGGCTGCTGCTCCGTGAAGGATGATGAGCAGCAAGCATGCGTAAAACATCAGTGGCGCATTTCTAGGGCGGCGAAGCGGTGCTGGGCTGTTAGCGGGGGGACCAAATTTCTCCCAGTGATTTGCTACGGCCGTACATAAAAAAATCAATGGAATCTGCCAGGTTCTAAATCTTTGGCTTTTTGCTCGGAAATGTATATGAAAATGGTCAAAAAGGTCGCAATTTCGGAACTTCCAAAAAATTTTTTTTAGGTTTTGTTTTGATTTTCTAGCAATCAAATGCTACTAAATACAGTCTAAAAATACGTTACGTACTATCAACAAGCTAAACCCGCTAAAGCCCCCCGCTAACAGCCCAGAACCAGCGAAAATGCAGAAATGAAGCGAGATAGAGCGAGAGTGACAAAGAAAGAGAGATATAAGGAGAGAGAACGAGAGAGAGCGAGAGCGAGAGAAATGAGAGCGAGAGAGACAGAGACAGCGAGCGACAAAGAGAGAGACAGAGACAGCTAGTGAGAGAGAGATTACTCAAAAAAACCATCGCCAAGCTGCCAGCTAGGTGTCTTCATCCTCCGGCTTGAAGCTAGCCACGGTCAAGCGCCATTGCCACTCAAGAATAGGGCCTTCACCGCCCCTCCTTTCTTTAGCAGCGTCTCGCTCACAAAAACTGGATATACCCAAAGAAGGGCAGCGTCGTTGCAATGGTCGCCGCACGGAAAGGGGGAATTTTTGGAGGGGTCTAATCCGAATCGTCTTTTTGTTTATGGTGGATGACAAAGCGAGAGAGAGAGAGAGAGTGAGAGAGAGAGAAAGAGAGAGACACAGAGCGAAAAGCGAGACAGAGCGACAAGATAGCAAGAGCGTGAGAGAGAGCGAGAGAGAGACAGAGTGAGAGAGACAGAGAGAGGAGAGAGAGAGCGAGAGAGAGCGAGAGAAGTGGGAATGTGATCATCTACCGCGCTGCCCGGTTTACTAGCGCTAATTTTAACCTTAGGATCCTTGAAATTCATCAAAACTTGGTCTGGGTCTATAATCCCTTTAAAAAGTGCAGCCAATGAAAACGGGCGTCGAGAGGGCGCAAATTCGAGGGTGCTGCGTCTGCATATACAGCTCGACGGTCATTATCCCGGGCCGGCGGGCACAAAAGCCACCGCGAAATGACTGGTCCTGCATTCGGGTGGGGGGAGGGGGCAGACAGTCCTGGAGGAGCAGAGAAGCCGCCACAGCCACTTGGCTATGAAGATGCCTTTGGATCAGGAAAAAGCGGGGAAACTAGGCAGAAGACGGGATGAAATGTACCTCAACATCTATGGCTACTGACAAGGCGTAAAGATAGAGAACTAGCAGAGATCATTTGGGAATGGAAGGGGCAGGCTAGCAGAGATCATTTGGGAATGGAAGGGGCAGGCTAGCAGAGATCATTTGGGAATGGAAGGGGCAGGCTAGCAGAGATCATTTGGGAATGGAAGGGACAGGCTAGCAGAGATCATTTGGGAATGGAAAGGGCAGGCTAGCAGAGATTCTTTGCAATTTTCTCCTAGGACAAATCGATTTATTTTCGAGACCCTCTAGATCCCTGCCAGCCATAGTGCCATAAAGATACTCATCCCTCGAAAGCTATAACGCGCTGTGTATTCCCTGATATTTGCTTTGTTCCTCGCGGGACTCAGTGCATCACCCCCGGATACAGTATCACTGTCCCGGGTCCGTGTTTTAGGGCCCCACGAATCATCCACCGACCGAGCGGGTCATAAAAGGGGCGGTTCCAGAAGAGGGTGATACGATATCGTTGGCGTATTCCTAAATCACCCCTGCTATCCCGCTCCATTCCATTCCTAAATGATTTCTGCTAGCGTGCCTCCGGAAATACTTACTTTCTATTTCTTAATCATCGTCTATGAATTCAACAAATCTGAGCGCGTCTGGGGGCGTGAATTGGCGTAGGCACTCCAGAAATTTACGACATTTTCCTTCAAATTACTCGCGATTCGGACGCATTCCATTTTACGGCATTTTTGACCGGATTATCAGTAAGGAGCTGGGTAGAAGGAGAGAGCAAGAGAGAGAGGGAAAGACAGAGATAGAGCGCAGCACCCACCGGAAATCAAAAGCCGGCCAGGCAAAATTTTCACGGGCCGAGATCACGCGGACGCCAGGGGAATATTTTCCCGCGATAAGGCGGCTTGGCTTCACCAAAAAAATGAAGGCAGACCGTTCGCTACGTGGTCTTCCTGGTGACGTCCCACAAAAATGGGGGGTGGCAGATTACGAAGCGAGCCTCTTCGCGCTCTGCGGTATATAAAGCCGAAAAAATTTCCGGTTGACCCCATTCTTGGTCTTTTTAGCATTTTTTGTTGGTCAATTCCCACTTACGTTTCCACCAACATCTCTGCCAGCCTGCCCCTTCCATTCCCAAATGATCCCTACTAGCCTGCCCCTTCCATTCCCAAATGATCTCTGCTAGCCTGCCCCTTCCATTCCCAAATGATCTCTGCTAGCCTGCCCCTTCCATTCCCAAATGATCTCTGCTAGCCTGCCCCTTCCATTCCCAAATGATCTCTGCTAGCCTGCCCCTTCCATTCCCAAATGATCTCTGCTAGCCTGCCCCTTCCATTCCCAAATGATCTCTGCTAGCCTGCCCCTTCCATTCCCAAATGATCTCTGCTAGCCTGCCCCTTTCATTCCCAAATGATCTCTGCTAGCCTGCCCCTTCCATTCCCAAATGACCTCTGCTAGCCTCGCCCAAGCCCAAAATTTCAGCTCGTCTCGATTCCTCAAAGAATCTCTGCTAGCTCGCTGCGCAAATGAGCACGTTTTTAAAGGGAGAATAGCGCGAGAATCGACCGTTTTGATCGACTGGGTCTAGACCGCTACGTTTCAAGCCAAGAGACGCCTCCATGCACTCGGTATTTCCAGGCAAAGCTTCATCAGGCTAGTTGGCCAAATCGTCCGTTACATGTCCTTTGAAGCGGTACGTGGTTATCTAGACCTAGTGGATGGAAGGGGGTAGATCTCCTAGCTTTTCAGCCCGCTTAAAGGGTTCTTTCGCGTTATCGAGGGGGGAGGTATTGAGATAAACCAATTTTTTGCTATTAGTCCAGAGCTGCTTAGTTGTGTAATGGCGTTTTTAGGAAATTTAACTAGAGTTAAGTAAAAAATTCACCACAAAAAAAATTCGAAAAATTTTGAGTGAAATTTTGTTAGTTATATAAAACCATATATTTTGTAATTTTTAATCAGGGTTTGTAAATTTTTGTCTTTAGGAATAGTAAAAAAACCATTTTTCCCTATTTTAACCAGAAAACCTCAATTTATATTTGAAAAATTGAATCCCTGGAAAAAATTTGACCCCCCCCCAATAATGCAAAAGAACCTTTCAAAGATTTTTCGTTGATCCCTTATTTTCTGTGTACCTTTCCACAGCTCTGATCGCTCAGATTCTGTACGGAAAAGAAGAAAATATTTGGAAACTGATTATTCGGGTCACGGTATTTTGAAAGGAGCGCCTGAACCTGGGCATCTCCAGCGGGTTACGTCAGTTTATTTGCAAGTTGGAGGGGGAAAACAATGGGCTAAGAGCAAGATAACGGCTCTGTTCTGTTAATGCAGATCAATCCACAAGATTCAAGACGTTGTTGGGCGACATTAAAATGCATCGGTATCACTCGTTGAAGACGTGCGCCGAATAAACACCTTTTTTAGTAAAAAGGTTTCCGGTTTTTAAACGGAATTAGGCCCGAAGTTCGCCGAAAAACTAGACATCCTTCGCAGTTGCGAGATAGCGAGATAGCGAGAGAGAGAGAGAGAGAGAGAGAGAGAGAGAGAGAGAGCCGGAGCGAAAGATAGAGGGTGAGACCGAGAGAGCTGGAGCGAAAGAGAGAGAGAGAGCGCGAGAGAGAGAGATCCTCAAAAGCTTGTTTTCCGGAGTTCAGAATATTACTCAGTTTTTCGACTTTAAGGGCGTGACGCCGTGATAAAGCCTAGTTTGACTCAAACTAGGGCGTTTTCCGGGTGGCACCCCTCAATCTTTGACGACTCATCTCAATGGAGTAAATCGGCGGTCCAGTTTAGACGAAAAATCAGCTCTTATCTGCGGGTTTTCCGGGCTTAAAGGAGTCGGGAAACCGCCAGATTTATCTGATTTATCTTTCGCTCGATCGCCCCTTCCATTCCCAAATGAACTCTGCTAGCCTGTCCCCATCCATTCCCAAATGATCTCTGCTAGCCTGCCCCTTCCATTCCCAAATTATCTCTGCTAGCCCGCCCCTTTCATTCCCCAATGATCTCTGCTAGCCTGCCCCTTCCATTCCCAAATGATCTCTGCTAGCCTGCCCCTTCCATTCCCAAATGATCTCTGCTGGCCTGCCCCTTCCCTGCTTCCTGATCACCTATAGTACCCCGTTAGGGCACTGTTTAGAAAACAGCACCTAGAATCCCATGAAAGTGCACCCGATCAGCGCCCGAATCACGCGCCCGAATCCATAAGGTCCCGTCGGTGTTTCTGGGCGATTTCTCGTGTTTTTCCGAGCCCGAAATTGGAGCCAGAGAGAGAGAGCGAGAGCGTGAGAGAGAGAGAGAGAGAGAGAGAGAGAGAGAGAGAGAGAGCGAGACTGCTGAGACTTCGAGCCTCAGGTCTCGCTTATCTTTAGGGGGCTGCCTGACTCTCCCTCTTCTGGGCCACTCCGGGACAACCACCATTTTTTCCAAGATAACGATAGGATTCAAAGAAACCCCCTGACTCCCTCGATTCCCCTCTGAATTCGCTGGAATTGGCCGGTTTTTCCGAATTTCCCGGGCCCGGCCAGGTCACCGGGATTACTTTGCAGCTCCACCCAGTTCTCGAGGGTCCCTTATCTTCTGTTTCCACGAACACAGGAATCGTTTTCGCCTTCGAGGAGCTTTTCCACCCGTTCCTCAGTCTTTTTCGCGTTAATTTTCGGTTTTAAAGAACCTAGGAAGCGCGAGAATCGATCCCTTCCATCTACTAGGTCTAGACGCCTGCGCGATGCTCCAAATGACACTTGCAGCGTTTTAAATTATTCTCCCCCTGCTTTGGTCTGGCTGAACAAATAAAAGTGTCTTTTGGAGTGTCGCGTAACTGTCTATACCTAGGCGAAGAAAGGGTCGATTCTCAAGCTTGTGAGTACCTTTTAAAACGCTTTTACGATGCGAATTATAATGGCAAGACTAGCAGAGATCATTTGGGAATGGAAGGGGCAGGCTAGCAGAGATCATTTGGGAATGGAAGGGGCAGGCTAGCAGAGATCATTTGGGAATGGAAGGGGCAGGCTAGCAGAGATCATTTGGGAATGGAAGGGGCAGGCTAGCAGAGATCATTTGGGAATTACGGGAATTCGGACCATTTTGCTTTTTTATGCTAACAGAATTCTGCCGCTTCTGATCCTGAACTTGATAACCCTTCAAAATTCTAGCTTCCGGCCTTACCGAGACCCCATCATAAGCTAAAAATCCAAAAATAGCCTCCACAAAATTCCGATAAGGGCGCGTGTTTCCTATTTTAGGGGGGTTGGCGGTTGATTCCGGACGGGTACAAGGTACACCGGTATCAGAAGTTGAGCCAGCACTCGGTTACTGTAGCTCGATAAATAGCTTTTTCTGATGGAATCCCCCTATTTTGTCAATTTTGCAATTTACTTTGGTTACGGTACTTTCAAAATTCGCTGTTGTTACTGTATCAGGGTCATTTGTGCGCTTTTCCCTGCATATTTTGGCTACTGTACTGTGCAAAGCGTCATGTTTAACTTTTGCGTAACTTCAGTTTCTTTAATCTACTCTGTTATCTTTAATTTTAACAATTTAGGGTTACGGTAACTTGGAAAATGCACTTTATCAAGTGTCGATTTTCGAAATTATTAAAATCATTAGTTGGCGATTTTTTTCTATTATACACGATATAATTAATGTAATTTTTTTAGTCCAATTTCTAAACCACTTTTTTTCACAATTTCTGACGACTAATCAGAAATCACAAAAATCAAGCTCTGATCCGTGATAAGCCCCGGTGGTCTTGTGAAGTCCGAGATTTTTCGATGACTCATCATTTTGCCGTCATTTCTGGGCATTCCATTTCGATACCCTGAACGTTCCCGAACCATCGCAATTTCAGAAGAAGCTCACCTCAAAGAAAAAATCGACTCCGCAACGCGACTGATTACGCCAATTGCACCAAATTTTTTACAGGAAACTACAACAATGGAGGGTGTCACGGCAGAGGTGGGTGCATTTTAAAGGCACTAGGAAGCACGCGAATCCGCCCCTTTCGTTGACTAGGTTTAGACAGCTCCGAGACACCCCTGTCAACGAAAAAGTTTTGCCCAAACGGCGTGCCAAGACAACCTGGGTTTTATGTGTGGTGTGTAGTCGCGCCTAGCTGTCGAGACCTAGTCGAATGAAGGGGATCGATTCTGGGAGGCTAGCAGAGATCATTTGGGAATGGAAGGGGCAACCTAGCAGAGATTATTTTAGAACACGTTAAAAGAAAAAATTCAGATGCTTCGCCTCGCCGAACAGACCCAAATGCTCCGCCTGTCGCAGGAGATGACCAAGAAATTGCAGGAGCGGCCGTTGCCCACCCCAGGTAAGGAGACAGACTAAGAGAAAGAGAGATAGAGAGAGATAAAAAGAGATCAAATCCCTCATTTCCAGAAGTCCCGCAACTGAACCTCCTGCCGCTGCTCCAGAACATGAACTTGCCCTCGACGTCGGTGCTGCCCGGGCTGGATCTTCCGCCGTTGGATTTTAGCCTCAACCCGACACTTGTGCAGATGGTAAGCAGATAGCGAGAGAAACAGAGCGAGGGAGAGAGAGAGAGAGAGAGAGGGAGAGAGAGAGGGGGAGAGAGAGAGAGGGAGAGAGAACCAACTATATTCTTTCAGTTCTTGAACCAAATGTCCATCTACCAACTGCAAGCCAGCCTCCAACAACAGCAGCAGCAGAAGAGCGTCATTGAGATGAACCCAGCGCATGAGGTAGGTCTCTCTCTCTCTCTCTCTCGCTCTCTCTCTCTCTCTCTCTCTCTCTCCCTCTCTCTCTTGCTTTTTATACTCCTTTTTAGCCGATCCGACGCAGAAGGCTCGCTTCTGAATCGACGGCCCTGAAGAAGCAAGAATCGATGGATGACGACCAGGAGACGTTGATCGCCAGCAGCGATAAAGAGGGTACGGTAATACGGTCAGCTTTTAGAAAACGATGATTTTAGGGTGGTGCCGGAACAAGAAGTACATCAAGAAGACTGAGGACGGCTTCATGTGTACTGTATGCAAGAAGAAATACGGTAAGCAGCGAGAAATCTCTTTCTCCCTCTCCCTCTCTCTCTCTCTCTCTCTCTCTCTCTCTCTCTCACGCTCCCACTCTCTCTGTATTTAATTTTCTTTTCCAGGCCGTTACAATTCCGTGTCGTACCACGTGACCATCTACCACCGTAACCCGCCGATTCGATGTGATATGGGCGATTGCCAGTTTGCGACCCGAGAGGCTAGGTACGGTAGAAACATAATTCAATAAAAAATAAACTTCTAAGGACGACGAAAAATCCTAAATTTAGATACATCCACTTCCACAAGTACTACCGCCACGGCGTCCCGCTGCCCGAGAGCATCGATCAGGGTACGGTAGTTTGAGCCCGTCTTAGGCGCGCGCGAGAGAGAGCGTGAGAGAGAGAGACAGAAAGAGTGATAGAGAGCGAGGGAGTTGGAGCTAGTGAGAGAGCGTGAGGGAGAGTGAGAGAGCGCGGTGGGTTGCGACTAGTGATGGGGTTATTCAAATCAAATCTCGAGTCAAATCTGAGAGCTCAAATCTGAATATTTGAAGGCAAAAATTTCAATTTCAAATCGGCGGATTTGATTTGAAACCCAGTGGACGAGTTCAAATCAAATCCTGAGGATTTGATTAAGCTTCCGGTCCTTAATCAAATCTTATGGAGATGCCGGCATGCAAAACATAACAAAATCGCTATGGCCGAGCTGGCGCGAACCGGAAATAACCTTGATTATGCATACCATCATACAATTAGCATCCGCGTAATGAGCTATTGATTTTTTCGACTCCTTTCAAATTCTCGTTCAAATCTTCAGATTTGAAATCAAACCTCGAAAGTCCAAATCAAATCGCTTTGATTTGAAGTAGAGTGAGGGAGCGGCAGGCCTCCTCAGGCTTTCTTGGGCCGAATTGCATTTCCGCGCCTGCCGACGCCTGGCGGAAGCCTAAGGATTTACGCAGGCTTTTTATGCAATGCGCAAAAACATGTTAATCTGGTTACTGCATCTAAAACGTTCGTATCTTTGACGAAATAACAAATTACAAGGATGCCGCAGGTGCGAAAAATATAGGCAGGATGTCAGGAGAGCCAATTGCATCCCCCGCCCGTTCGAACCGACTCTTGACTTTTGTGTATCCGCGTGCTATTAACGTATCGTTTGTCAAAAAACAGTAACCTAACTTTGTAGAATATTCTTGGACCCAATACAGCTCTTCGACCCCCCGGAAGTTTAAAAAAAATCCTTATTTGTTCGGCAAAACTTCGAATATTCTACGACTTTACATAAAATTCCCAGATAAAGCCTGACTAATTAGAGGTCAGGCGTCATTTGCATAGCCCAGGCTCAGCCTAGGCGATGCAAATTAGAAAAGCCTGAGGAAACCTAGGCATGCCTAGGCTTTAGCCTAGGCCTCCCTCACTCTAATTTGAAGTGCTGAAACCTTATTCAAATCAAAGCGGCAGATTTGATTAGGCGGATGCAAATTAGATTTGAGATTTGAATAATACCATCACTAGTTGCGACAGAGAGAGAGAGAGAAAGAGAGAGAGAGAGAGAGAGAGAGAGAGAGAGAGCGAGAAAGAGGGCGAGATAGGGAGAGTGCGGGAGACAGAGATAGATAGAGAGCGGGAGAGAGAGGGCGAGAAAGAGAGCGAGAGAGAAAAAGTGATAGAAAATGAGAGAGAGAACGAGAGAGAGAGACAGAGAACGGTTTTTTTGTCTTTCCAGTCCCTTTAAATTATCAGTTTCAGGATCTCGTCGTTGCCCCCACTGCAAGCACGTCTCCAAGTCGCCGGCCATGCTCGACAAGCACATCAAAAAGCATCTGCAGGAGAGGTACGGTATCTGTCATTTTTGCGCCGAAAAATGAAAATCTTTACAATCCTGGTTACCGTAATCCGCCAGGGCGTTCCCAGTACACTAGCGGACTTTTAACCGGTGATTCTAATCAATTTCTAAAAATTTTAAAATGAAAAATTCCAAGTACCGTAGTTTACGGTAACGTAATCCGAAGCGTGCCATTTTAACAATTTTGGTGAAATTTAAACAGCGCCGCAACTACCGTAGCCTTGCCGCAATTTCTCAGAGCCCTCTGAACCATAAAAGTATTGACCGTCTCGGTGGTTGGGGGGCTGTTATTTGCCCTTATGACTGTCTGCGTCCTTGGGCCCTAAAGAGGCCATAAATGTCTCACGTCTCTGCGGATTCGGGGTGTCCAGAGGCGCCGAACGGAAATGTGTATCGCGGCCCGGTGTTTCATGGGTTTTAAAGGGACTCGGAAGCGAGAGAGAGAGAGCGCGCGAGAGAGAGCCAGAGAGATAGCGAGAGAGAGCCAGAGGAAGAGAGAAAGAGAGAGAGAGAGAGCGCGAAAAAGAGAGGTTCTCCCAAAAATTTTCAAAATTTCGACTTTCTGGATCTTTTAAACAACTTCAAAGTGCCAAAATGACCCTCTATCTGTCCCATTTTTTCCCGTATAATGTTGCGTCTCGGAATTTTCGGCTCCCCTCTCGACTTATCAGTTTCTCGAAATTCTGCACCCCTCCCCCCTGCGAAAAAAACGTGAATGCCCGCCATAAAGCCCCGGTTTCCGAGACAAAGGGGTGATTTTCCGGAAAAAGTCCTTTGTGCGGGAATTGCACGTAAAATTCGTAGAACTTGGTACTGTAGCAGAACTGAAAAATCTAATCAAATACGCCGATTTTCAGGTCGACCTCCAACGGCAGCGCATCGAGCCTGTTCCTTGGAGTTGAAGGGGTGAGTTGCAGAGATCATTTGGGATGGGAGGGGGCAGGCTAGCAGAGATCATTTGGGAATGGAAGGGGCAGGCTAGCAGAGATCATTTGGGAATGGAAGGGGCAGGCTAGCAGAGATCATTTGGGAATGGAAGGGGCAGGCTAGCAGAGATCATTTGGGAATGGAAGGGGCAGGCTAGCAGAGATCATTTGGGAATGGAAAGGGGCAGGCTAGCAGAGATCATTTGGGAATGGAAGGGGCAGGCTAGCAGAGATCATTTGGGAATGGAAGGGGCAGGCTAGCAGAGATCATTTGGGAATGGAAGGGGCAGGCTAGCAGAGATCATTTGGGAATGGAAAGGGGCAGGCTAGCAGAGATCATTTTGGAATGGATGGGGCAGGCTAGCAGAGATCATTTGGGAATGGAAGGGGCAGGCTAGCAGATATTTGGGAAACTGAAATTACCATAATTTCAGGGCCGACCGCGTGCCGTCTCGGAGTTGACGCCCCCGCTGACGTTGGACCCGGTGATCGACGTGTGCGACGAGAGAGAGGAGGAAGAGGAGAGGGAGCAGACACAGCAAGAACAGCCCGCCAATATGGCACGCCATCTACTGGCCGCGCCCGAGTTCTTCGAGACGAAGAGTCGCGCTTTTACGATGTAAAAATCGGCTTTTTGCATTTCTGGCTCGATTTTTTGCTAATTTTAATCATTTTAGAAGACTAGAACAATCAAAAATGATATTTATAACCGCAAAAACTCTCAAAAAAGCCCCTATATGCTAAAAAAATTGTATATACCGCCTCGATTACCCATATCTTTTCGGAGATCGTCTACTTACATTTCCACATAATAAACATGTGCTTCCCTGCTTTTAAATGACTTTTATTGCCATTTTTCGGCTTCCTAGTCTCTTTAAAGCCGAAATCCACAGCCAATTTTGCCTTGCCAATCCCTTTAAAATGCTCAGTTTTCGATTATGCATTCCTGTTCCATTCAAGACCTAATAAAATCCATCGCATTTTTCCTTACCTACCCCCTTTAAATGCTCACTTTTGCCGCGATTTAAAGCCGAAATCCACAGCCATGCTTGCCTTGCAAATCCCTTAAAAAGCACAGTTTCGGCCCGAATTTTTGCTCATGTACATGCCTTGTAAATAAATAAATACATTTAATCTACATTTTATCACATAAACCCTTAAAAAAGAAATTTTATTCGCTTAAATCATCCTTAAAAATACGTACAGCAACAAATCACAGGGTATCACGGTAGCACATAGGAAATTCAAAAAATTCAAAACAGTACTGCGGTCGGAAAAAATGGGCAAAAATTGCGAGGTAAAAATGGCAACAAAAAAATCACAAAATCTCAGCAACCAGGTGGGGGGACCGGGGTTATTGGCTACCCGCAAAAATCGAGGACACCGTATCCAAGGACTACAGTAAGCCACAAATTACCGTAATTGAGAGTCACAGTATCTTCAAGCCCGTTTCTTCAACCTACAGTAACCCAAGTGTACCGTAATTCAGAGTTTTAATATCATAAGATACCGTATCCCAGGCTACAGTAACCCAAGTGTACCGTAATTCAGAGTTTTAATATCATAAGATACCGTATCCCAGGCTACAGTAACCCAAAAGTACCGTAATTCAAAGTCACAGTACCGTAAAATATCGTATGTCAAAGCTACAGTAGCCCAAAAGTACCGTAACTCAGGGTTTTAACATCTTAAAATTATGGATCCTCAGCTACAGTAACCCAAAACCGTCGTCATCATTATTTCCAAATCTTGATAATGCCGTCGTGGTCGGCGGAAGCGAGCAAATTGTGCGGCAGTGTGCAGAGGGTGGTGATCGAGGTTCGGTGGGAGAGCGTCACCTGGAAAAAAACGGAATTTTTGCGGAATTCAAGGGATAGAAACACAAATTCGGCCATTCTTACGAGCCACCGTAACCGGGATTAAATGTTCCTGCCTTCCCGGTCGCTTTAAACGCCGAAAAATCGATACCTTTGTATCCAGCGGCGAGTGGACTCGGTCGATGGACTGGCGATCGACGGGAAGCGCTTTTTCGAAGTACCGTTCCTCCTCGCCGACGATTTTCTGGAAACGCGGAAAATATAGAGATCACCGGCAAGATAGCAGAGGTCATTTGGGAATTTGGGGCAGGCTAGCAGCAATCGGTTCCTTTGCATGATCCGGGGACCAATTTTTGTTTCTTAGGATCGATTTTTTCGAATATAAATGGCGGAAGTGTTTCTAAACCGTGTTTCACTTTTCCAAAACGTAAAAACCTTATCAAATGTGTTCAAAAATATAAATTTTTCGGCCAAAAATGACTCTTTTTCAAGAAAATATCGATTCATCCAGACAATTTTAATTTTTTAAGCTGGGTTTTTGAGTTGAAATACGAGTTTTGAAACTTATTTACTATACACATAAAACTCACGCTATCATACGCGATCCGTTGTCGAACAAATTCGCCGGACGGTCGATACGGGCCACTCAGGTATTCGCAGCCGGAAGCGTTGCTCAGATTCCACCTAAAAAGCGTTCAATTCCGAAAAAATGTAATTACCTTCTCAACGCTCCCAAACTATCCCCAGAGTACACGAATCCAGACCCGGAGGCGAACGTCATCGCGGTGGTCAGCGCCAGGCGATCGTCCTGAAGAGTTGGGAATTCTGGGGTCCCATAGCCATGGTCTAGCTCCGGGTCCAATCCGCAAAACAAGTGCTCCGGGCGGGGGTCGAACCCGCATCCTACGGCTTTCGAGTCCGATGCTCTACCTATTGAGCTACCGGGGCACGCGGAATGCCTCTCTCAGGGCAGCTATCCATGCCAGCCCCAACCGAAGAATTCGAAATCAAAAACCGAACCAAAATACGAGCTTAACTTTTCGTCTGGGATCCAAAAAACCGCGCGATTAAGGCAAAAAAAACATACATCCAAATCACGGCCTCCGGATTCGTAGTTGTGCACCTCTTTTAGTGAAGGCCAAAGTACGCGTTTTCTGAAAAAAAACATATTTTGCGAGAGAGAGAGAGAGAGTTGAGAGAGATAGAGAGAGAAATGCTGAAACCCCGACCTCGTTCCGCTGTGAATTTCGTACGAGTCGACGCAAGAGCGGCCGACGTACGCGGCGAAGACCTGCAATCAAGATTTTGCTAGTCTCGTGATCAATCGCTTCAAAAATTGCAGAAAATCTAGCTAAACAATACCTCGGTGCTATTGGCAGAATTTGTCTCTCTCCGCATCCGTTCCGGCATCGCCCACAGCCCTAGGGCAATCTTCTTCTCCTGGGTGGGGAAAGAAGCAACCTCGAGGGGGTATCTGGAAACGAGGAATTTTTGTGATCTCGGCACATAAAAATCCGAAAAGACTTATGCAAGCTCTCAGCGAAAGAACAACAAAAAAAATCGCCGCTAGCCCTCTAAAAACCCCCTCAGAATCACCGCCAGCTGCCAACGCAAGAACCCCCCGGACTTCCTGCCAGCTCTCTAAAATCCCTACGAATCTTTGCTAGCTCTCCACAAAGAAAAATCGAATATCGGCTAGTTCTATATCTAGAAATAGAAAAATCGCTGCTAGCTATCTACACTAGATCAGCAAGAATCTCTGCTAACTCACTAAAAATCCTCAAGAATCTCTGCTAACTCACTAAAAATCCTCAAGAATCTCTGCTAACTCACTAAAAATCCTCAAGAATCTCTGCTAGCTCGCTAAAAATCCCCCTAAGAATCTCTGCTAATTCTCTATCTAGAATTACCAAAGAACCTCTGCTAGCACTCCAAAAAATTCCTCAAGAATATCTGCTAGCTCTCTAAAAAATCCCTACGAATCTTTGCTAGCTCTTTACAAAAAAAACCGAATATCTGCTAGTTTTCTATCTAGAATTACCAAAGGATCTCTGCCTGCTATCTACAATCGATCCCCAAGTACCCTTGCTAGGTCCCCAAAAACAAAAACTTCAAGTATCTCTGCTAGCTGCCTACGTCAAATCCTCAGAAATCTCTGCTAGACCGCCATCCAAGAATTCTACCACTCACCTCAAATCCCACAACGACAACACCGAATTCGTGCCCGACACCACCATCCAATTCTCTCTCGCCGGGTCGACGGCAAATGAGGTCGCCTGAAAAAAATGAATAGGTTGTAAGAAACACTTCACAAGCCCTTTAAAGACAATGTAAAATCCACTAGTGCAAAAAAACTTACCAATCCGTGATTAGCCGAAAACTGGCGGCGCCAAACGACGTGCCGGCCGAGCGAGGATTCCTTCGGCAGTCTAAAGAAATATATCTATGATTTTTTTCAGATTTTGAAAGAAACTATGAAGCCGGAAATCCATAAAATACGCCACGCACCTGTAGTCGAACAGGAAAAAGTAGCCGTGATGGGTTCGGACGTGGGCCAGCTGGCCCTGGGCAAAGATTTGGGATGGCGCGCCGACCGTCGAGTCGAAATCTACCTAAAATCAGCAAATTTACTAGAGAGCGAGCGCAAGAGTGACAGAGAGAGAGAGAGGGAGAGAGAACAAGAGAGAGAGAGAGAGAGAGAGAGAGAGAGAGAGAGAGCGAGCGAAAGATTTTGTCCTACCTTTCCGGAAACCTTGATCACAGAGCCGCCGGAGACGTCAGCCCAGAAAAGTCTTCCTTGAGACCGGTCGTTTTCCGGCTCGCAGGTGGCAAAACAGAGCAGCTGACCGTCACAAGCCCAACCGGCGTCGGTGATTGCGTGAGCTGGAAAATTCCCAAATGATCTCTGCTAACCTGCCCCTTTCATTCCCCAATGATCTGTGCTAGCCCACCTAAGATTTCTCAAAGCGTACCTTTACTATACACACAAGTTCCCTCGCTTTTCGGAGCCACCGGTCCAGTGCCGCTGTATTTGTCGACATTCCAGATCTAAAACACCATGCGCTTTACCCCAAAAAAAAATTCTAAAAACCTTAATGGTGCCGTCAGCCGATGTAGATGCAAATCGATCGCCGGCAGGGTTGAGGCTGAGCCTGAAAAAAAAACGAAAATTAGCGAAACACCTGAAAAAAACTGAAAAACGAGGGAGAGAGCCCCACAATAGATTCTATGTATTAGAGATATGGCTTCTAATGGTTCTTTAGGATTCGCGGGGAGAACAAATTTTTTCGCCTTGCAAAGCCTAGATTTGTTGTACAAATAGCGGATGCGCTTGTATATAGTTTTTCAACTATTAGCATCAAAACTTTACACCGCTCAATTAAAAATTTTATTTGAGGTTAAAAATCTGTTTTTTTGGTCAACTAGACGTAATTTCGACTTTTTCAACACTTTTCTAACCTTTATTTGAAAGTCTTTCCACTTAATTTCTAGCTAAAACGCGCAAAAAAACCTTATAAAAATTTTATATTCGATTACTAATCCAAACCGAACCACAAGGAAAAAAAATTGGGTGGAAATTACGAGGCATAAAACAATGGGGGAAACCCAAGATTCTCGCTGCGTACTCGCAATTTATGAACCTTATAAATTTTACATTTCTAAAAACTGCCAAAATGTATGGAGAAGATATTGGCGGAATACGGTCATAATGGCACGTATTCTGTGGCAACCCCTTCGGCTATACGCTGCTGGAACGCCGCAAAATCCATGGGTGGGGACTAAACGGAGCTGATGAGCGATCGGAGGGAAAGAGGCGGCCAGCCCCTTTTTATACCCCCCTCCCCGGGGGTGGGCCAGGCGGGGCGCGTTTCGGGGGCGGAGCGGGTGCATCGGGAAAAGGCGGTAAACAACCAATTTTTCGGGTTTCAAAGCCCATTGACGTCAGCAGCCAAGTTTCTAGACCCAATTAAGGAAAAATGAGCCTAAAAAGCGCAAAAACAAGAATAATCGGACCTTCCTCCAGAGAAATCGCGAAAACGACTTTTTCGACATTTTTAAAGCGGCATTGAAGGCTGGAAATTTGATTTTTGGTCAGCTAGCGTCATTGGCAAGGTGCCAGCTGTAAAACAGAGCCTAAAAAACACAAAAAACCAAATTTTCGGGTCTTCTTCCGGAAAAAACCCGAAAATTACCTTTTCGGCAATTCTTAAGGCGGTATTGAAGGCTGGAAATTGAATTTTTGATCGATCAGCCAAATTGGCAATGTATTAGCTGTCAAACAGAGCCTAAATAACGCAAAACAAAAAGAATTTTCAGGCCTTCTTCCACAAAAATCGCGAAAATTACCATTTCGACAATTTTTAACGGGCCGTCCAAGGCTGCTAGTAAAATCCCAAGGCTGTTAGAATTGATGGGTAAAGCGCCAAGGACCCACAATCGCGGGGCGATAAAGAAAATGGCGTTTTGCGCCCCAAAAAACCATTTTCGGCCTTTTTTCCGGAAAAGAGCCAACTTCGCCGTGGTTTTGGTACTAAACAATTAACTGTTGATTTTCCGCATATCAAACGTATTGGTAACGGCTAGAAGTTCAAAATCAACACGGAAAATTAAAAAAATTACCTATCAGTCAACAAAATTGAAAAAAACAAACTCACGCAGTCACTCTCGCCGTGTGCTCGTGGAGATGCGCCACTTGTTTCCCCTGATTCGGCGCTGTGTGCCATTCACGAGCCTAAAAATCAAACATTACAGACCACAAAAGAACACCCACATTTAGCCCCGGTCTCGGCCGACCCGTAGTCTTGCGGAACTCGTCGTTTTTGTGCACCAGCAGCTCGCGAAGGGCCGCACCGCATGCGGAGGTACGCACTGAAAAATGAGAACTAAAGTCGTCATCAATTCCCAAATGACCTCGGCTAACCTGCCTCTTCCATTCCCAAATGATCTCTGCTAGCCTGCCCCTTCCATTCCCAAATGATCTCTGCTAGCCTGCCCCTTCCATTCCCAAATGATCTCTGCTAGCCTGCCCCTTCCATTCCCAAATGATCTCTGCTAGCCTGCCCCTTCCATTCCCAAATGATCTCTGCTAGCCTGCCCCTTCCATTCCCAAATGATCTCTGCTAGCCTGCCCCTTCCATTCCCAAATGATCTCTGCTAGCCTGCCCCTTCCATTCCCAAATGATCTCTGCTAGCCTGCCCCTTCCATTCCCAAATGATCTCTGCTAGCCTGCCCCTTCCATTCCCAAATGATCTCTGCTAGCCTGCCCCTTCCATTCCCAAATGATCTCTGCTAGCCTGCCCCTTCCATTCCCAAATGATCTCTGCTAGCCTGCCCCTTCCATTCCCAAATGATCTCTGCTAGCCTGCCCCTTCCATTCCCAAATGATCTCTGCTAGCCTGCCCCTTCCATTCCCAAATGATCTCTGCTAGCCTGCCCCTTCCATTCCCAAATGATCTCTGCTAGCCTGCCCCTTCCATTCCCAAATGATCTCTGCTAGCCTGCCCCTTCCATTCCCAAATGATCTCTGCTAGCCTGCCCCTTCCATTCCCAAATGATCTCTTGCTGGCTTTCCTCAGAAAAACGTTAAAAAATCCTACTAATTTGTGAATTCGACGTCGACATCTGGGCGGCATCAGGATGGAGCAGTTCACTGCGCTTCGGATCCACGATGACTTGACTCTAAAAGACACGTTTTTTGCCACATTTGATAATTAATAATTTAAATAAACAATTTTGTATCAAAATAAAAATATCAATAACAATTAATAAAAATACTAATTCAAATAATAACGTAGCCTTGCCGCAATTTCGACATTGTCGCCGAGCACATGCTCGTACTTGGCCACCCTCGTGAACGCATCCGAAGTCAGGTCGACGACGCCATTGTTGTGGGTGACTGTCGTTTGCATGGAAGAGCTGAAAAAAATAAGAAAATTTCCAACCAAATAAACAGTAAAAAAATCGCAAAGAATCTTTGCTAGCCCGCCTATTGTCTGAATTCTAATCCGCTTCAAATCAACATTCTCCAGAAATAAAAAAACCTACGCCGCCTTCGACTCGGCCAGCTTCGGGAAGATGGAGCGGAAGTTGGCGAGGAATTTGAGGCGCGTCTCATTGCTAAAAAAAACAGCTTTAAAAGCCTCTAAAAAGCTCACTCGGCCAGGCTGTCGACAATTCTTCGGATGCCGCCCTCGAGTCGTGCAGTTTTTGGCGGGCCCACGATTTTCTGGAGGCTCATCGTTTCTAAAAAGGCCAAATAATTAACCGGCATTCTCCGCTTCTCTCTAAATTATTTCCGAAATGCTCTCTGCTAGCCTGCCCCTTCCATTCCCAAATGATCTCTGCTAGCCTGCCCCTTCCAGTCCCAAATGATCTCTGCTAGCCTGCCCCTTCCATTCCCAAATGATCTCTGCTAGCCTGCCCCTTCCATTCCCAAATGATCTCTGCTAGCCTGCCCCTTCCATTCCCAAATGATCTCTGCTAGCCTGCCCCTTCCATTCCCAAATGATCTCTGCTAGCCTGCCCCTTCCATTCCCAAATGATCACTGCTAGCCTGCCCCTTCCATTCCCAAATGATCTCTGCTAGCCTGCCCCTTCCATTCCCAAATGATCTCTGCTAGCCTGCCCCTTCCATTCCCAAATGATCTCTGCTAGCCTGCCCCTTCCATTCCCAAATGATCACTGCTAGCCTGCCCCTTCCATTCCCAAATGATCTCTGCTAGCCTGCCCCTTCCATTCCCAAATGATCTCTGCTAGCCTGCCCCTTCCATTCCCAAATGATCTCTGCTAGCCTGCCCCTTCCATTCCCAAATGATCCCTGCTAGCCTGCCCCGAAAACCCTAAAGACCTCACCAAGCGTCTCGCAAAACAGCTTCATCCGGTTCTCGTCAAAATCCATGATCTGCGCCCACACCTGACGTGGTATCGGCTCTTTCAGGTGGCTCAGGATGGCTTTCTAAAAATTTATCAACCTATCGTAATTCCAAAAATACCTTATTGTTCAGCTTGACTAATTTCCGGGTCAAATACTCCTCGATTTTGGGCACAACGCGCCAATGCATCTCGGGCAGTGTCAGCTTTGTGTTCAGCACCACGATCAGGTCGACGACGCCAGCGCGAATCCAATCGTTCTGGAAAGAGCAGAGATTACTTGGCAATTTAAGGGGCAGGCTAGCAGAGATCATTTGGGAATTCATGCCTTACCGGATGCGCCAAAAACGGGGCGAGTCGTGGGAAGAGCTCGTTGACGGTCTCCTTCTCCAGCAGATCGACCCGGGTGAGGTGGACGATGCAGTTGATCGCCTTGACGACGACCATCTCCTCGAACTCGATGATGCCCTATAAAATGGAGATTAGCTAGAGAGCGATAGAGAGAGAGAGAGAGAAAAAGAGATACCTGCTCAAAAAGCGAGCGCAAGGCCTCGACGTTTTTCTTGTTGAACACACAATGCGGCAAGGAGTCGAAGAAGACAGCGCGGAGCCTAAAAATCAATAAAATGATTGGTATTACAATCTAACCGCCAATCCTCCCTGATGTTGAAAAAAGTGACCATGTGGTCGAGGGGAAAGCCCTGATCGGCACCTGGAAAATTGGGATATACAAAATTAAATTAAAGGCACCAGGAAGCAACGCCAAAATCGACTGCTTCCGTCGACTAGGTCTAGGCTACGTGATACTCCAAAATACGTGTCAATCTGATTTTTGATAGCCTAGGGACGCGGAATCTGGGCGAAACTCGGCGATTTATCACGGATTTTGGTGTGCCGCGTAGCTGTCCAGACCTGATTGAGGAAAGGGTTAGATTTTCGCGTTTCCTGGGCCTTTCAAGCTAGAAAACGAACCCTGAACGGCCACGGCGAATCGGTGAAGCTTCTGAAGCGATTCCCGGTCGACGAGACACTGCTTGATCTCGTTCCCCCGGGCGCACAGGTGCACAAAAATGCCTGAGATGGCCTTGAACAGGGCGGTGGCCTCCTTCTCGTGGCGGGTGCCTTCTAAAAAATACCCAAATTCGGATGTTGAAAAACTAATTAAAATAATTATTAAAAATTCATGGTAAAATAAAGATAATAATAATAAGTTTTTAATAACTTTCGAAAGACTTTTTTGAAAAATTGCGTACCATTGGCCGGCTCAGCGCCGGACACCTCGTCGTCGACAGCCGTACTTTGGAGTGAACGCGACGCGATCATGTACCTGGAAAAACGAGCGTCGGCAAATTCCGAAAATTTCCGAAATGATCTATGCTAGCCTGCCCAAATTCCAAAATGTTCTATGCTAGCTTACCCAATAAAAAACTAACCGATGCGCCGTCTCAGCAATTCTGCCCAAGCAGACGGCCAGCGCCATGTGGGCCATTGAATCGGTGCGCGTTTCGTTGGCGATGGCGTCCTGAAACCAAATATTCTTGTAAAAGAGGCGCCAGAGAGAGAGAGAGTGAGAGAGAGAGAGCGAGAGAGAGAGAGAGAGAGAGAGAGAGAGAGAGAGAGAGAGAGCGCGGTAGAGATAGTCTCTCAGCAAAAAAAAATCAAGCAAAAATTAGACAAAAAATTAATTTTGCTTCTAATCAAAATTGATCTCAATTTTTTTAGAAAGGGCAACTCAAGAGTGAAAACGTACATATTTTGGCAGTAGATATTCCATAAATGTGGCGGCCTCCTCGTGGGTTTGCGGTTCGACGGCGGCGAGGAGTTGCGTGATGGAGTGGATGGCGCGGCCGCGAACCGACGCTTCCGTCTCTACCGTCGCTGCGTGCACCTAGAAAAATACGATATTCGGGCACAAAGCTAGTTAAAATTCAGCCAAAGCTTTAAAGAAGCTTATTTTCTATCGTTCAAACTCATTTTGTCGAAATTTCAAGCTTTTTTCGCCTCGGTTATTCATCTAAAAAGCTAGAGAAAATTGTAACTTTAGTGCATTAACATGAATAAATAATAATAAATGAATTTTCGTCAAAGTGATATTTTGACAAAATGATAGCAAATCCTCTCAAGGCACTAGGCAAAACCCAAAAACCCACCAAATAGGGCAGCACCCGGTCCAACGCGATGGCCGAAGAGGTCAGCTCGGCGAAGCGGAGGAGAAGCCGCATCGCTTTCTGAAATTGTTAAAATTAAACCTCGGTTCTTTCGCATTATCGGGGGAGGGGCGAACTTTTTTGTCTAAGTCTAGAAATCTCTAGAAACTAATAGGAAACATTTTATTAGTGTTTTTCGTACTACATAACTATATTTCAACTCGAAAAACTCTCCAAAAAATTTTAAACTATAAAAAATTCGAAATTTCGGAAAAAATAGGCCTTTTTGCTGAAAAAAATGGAAATTTTGCGTATTTTTTTAAATTAAAATTTTGTACAGTTTTTAAATGCATTAGAAATACGTCCGCTATTTATATTTGAAAAATAGCAACTATGAAAAAATGGTCCCCCCGATAATGCGAAAGAACCCAAACCGCTCATTTGAATACTGACCATCTTGACGGCGTTGGCCTTCAACATGCGGAAGTTGGAGGTGATCAACGAGATCAACAGCACGGCGGCCTGCTTGTTGTTCTCGAACTGGGTGATGGCCGGCCAGACGAGAGTTTCCATGTCCGCCCAAAGCCTGGAAATATAGATTTTTAAAGTTGTCAAGAAACGCAAAAATCGACCTGTTGAATCGACTAGGTCTAGAAAGCTACGCGCTGCGCCTAAACACAAAATTCTTTTCTTAATCGCCACAGGGACATGGTTTTCAGCAAAATTCTAAGTAAATTCAAGCGTGTTTTGACGCATTACGTAGCTGTCTAGACCTAGTAGGTTTGAGGGTCGATTGCCACGGTTTCGCGTCCCGTAAAAAAAAGCCAAAAATGCTCACTTGACGATGACGTCGTCGGGTTCGAAACAGGAAATACACCGGTGGTTTGCGTCGACGTCCTCGTGCTGGGCGGCTGTCTAAAATGGGAAATTTAGATAAATTAAATCATTCTTTTTAACCAAATAAACTTATAAAACGTATTTAAACTAAAAATAAAACTTTATAAAATAAACTTTATACTTATTTCGTTAATCAAACAAAAACAAAAACTATTAATAAAACATTTTTAAAGACACTTTACAAAACAAATAAAGGTAAAACCCCACCTCTTTTTGCCTGAAAATATTGAGATAGTTGTAGATGAAGTCGCCAAAAATCGACGGAAACAGATGCGAGAATTCGGCGAGCTGGAAAAGGATAAATGAAAATCGATCAAAAAAGAAAATAAATTGATTCTTTTAATTCAAAGACTAAACAATATTAAATTCATTTAAAAAACTTTAAAGTGAAAAAATTTAGTCTATAGGCGTTGAACACTTCTTTTAAATTTCAGGTTGAACCCAATTTCCGTCAAATCCCACAATTTAAAATCTTGCTTTTCGCAAAACTCACGATAATTTGCGCAGATGGGCGGAGACTTGGCTGCTGGGCGAGCAGAATTCGGAGCAGCGGCCGGAGAGCTGGTGAGACCGGGCTCATCAGCCTAAAAATCATCTTTTTCCAGAAAAAAAATCGGATTTTTTTGCCTATCTCTCTCTCTCTCTCACACACACAAAATCCCTTACCCGTCCAAATGCTGCGCGGCTTCTCCTTGACTCATTTCTTGGTACCGGCAAAGTTCTCCATATGAAAATGGCGATTTTCCGTCGCAAAACATCTCGTACAGCACGCAGCCGGCCGAGAAGATGTCCATCGAATGCTGGAGGGTCTCTGAAAAAGTTTTCTATAGTTTTTAACTTTCTCTCGCTTTCTCTCCCTCTCACGCCTCAAAAACTCACTATAAGGCTGCTCCTCTTCACGTCGATCTTCGCGAATAAACCGCTCAGGCGCCATACAACACGTTTGCCGTCTGGACGTGTCGAAGAAGTATGTGTAGTTTGAAGGGTTGTCCTGAAAAATTGCTATTACTCTTGCAAACTATTTTTAAAATTTTGCTTTACTTTCTTTTTTGCACTTTATGACGTCGAAAACTCCCTTAACAAGCCCTATAAATCGCTACGCCGTTTAAAAATTAATCCCGAAATTATTCTTATTGTTCTGAACTCGACAAATACTTGTAAATTCGCCATAAATTTAAAGTTGTCAATTAAAGCATCAATTAATTATTTTCAAGCATTCCGACGTCAAAAAAACACTTTTGAGCGTAAGAAAAGAACATGCCTTAAACAGCTACAAAAAAAGTACCAGTGGCAAATACGTCGGCTTAAACGAGGCGAAATCAGCCAGCTGAAGCCAGTTCGAGGACGAGAGCAGGATGTTCTGACTTTTGATGTCGCCGTGGCACACGTTGCGCTCCTCACATTGGACGAGGGCCTAGAAATTGTTTGATTCCCCTTGTATTTTGTAGGTTTGGGCCAAAAAGCTCGCATTTTAGAGTCCTCACCTTGAAAAGCTGATACATATACCACAATCGCTCGGTTTCGACGACGAACGGCCGCGTCGAGAGCCGATCGAACAAGGAATATCGATGAAAATGACGGATTCCGACGGCGTAACGATTCCGTTTCTATAAAATGGCGTTTTTAACGTTCAATAAGTCTTAAATTAGCTTTATAACGACTTTCACTATCCAAAAACCGACCAAGACCCGCTGAAAAGCGCAGCAATTCGCCGCATCGGCCAATCTTTCTTTGATTGATATAATCGCGGCGCAATCAACGTCGAGCATCGACAGGTCGAGGTTGGCAGGGAAGACGAACACTTTTAGAACCTGAAATCGGGATTACAATCAGTTTCTGGAGCCAGTTTTGACGTTATGATCTCAAAAACCAACCCGTAGCCCTTCAGACGTCCGCCCTCGTGCCACTTTCATAAATCTGGTGCTTCCGAGGCTAAATTAAGAAGTTATGGCTAAAACTATACGACCAACCTCTCAATATCCGAGCCCGGCTCGACAATGTCGGCCACGTACGCCTCGACGGGCATGATCTCGGCCTGGGTGGTGGCGGAGAGCGAGTTCCCCATCTTTGCATCTATCGGCTCTAAACGAAAATTTAACGATATTCATTACTTTTATAGCTTAGAAACCGATTTCTTTTGCAAGAGTTTTGCCTTGTGATCCGGCGGCCCGTCAGATAGGGTAACGCGATGAAATTGGGAGGGCGGAGAGGGCGCATGATGCAGGTGTGCATCGTAGTCCCGCGGAAAGCAGATGGTCTTGTAAACATTAAAGAAAAAAGTCTAAAAATATAAGAAAAAGGCTATAGAAAATCGATAATAATAATTCAAGGTGATAAGAATATTATATAGAACAAAACTATACCTTAAATACATTAGAAAGACTGGAAATATATGCGAAAAAGCCTAAATAGCCACTTAAAGTTGGTTACATGGCAAAACTGCAAAATAAAAGATTTATTTTGGTTTTAAAAGGGAAATCCTGTAGCTATCTGCAATTAACATACGTTTACACCATATCTAAATGATAATTTCGACAAAAAGGCCGAAGCTGTCGATAGCAGCCATTTTTCTACGCTTAACTACGTTGATCGGTTGCTGTAACAAAAACGGTACTTTCAGAGTTTTTGAATTTTGAAAAGGTATACATTCTAGAGATGTTCCTGGTAAAGCTGGCGCTGTTGGCCTCAATTTTCGCGCTCGGCGTTTTGGGCGGCGACGAGGAGGACGAGCGGTATTGCGATGATGGCTGGACGTATCACGATGACGCCTGTTATAAAGTACGCGTTTTGAACGTAAAAACTGAAAAAAAATGTGTTTTAGTTTATTCACAAGCCGGAAAAGGTCGAGCCGGGCGTGTCGCTTTGTCCACTCGGCGTGAACGCAACCAACGACGCGGCGATCATCGAGAGGGTCCGGTTGAGCATCGCCGAGCGGATGTTCAAGGAGTATTTCCTGCTCTGCTTGGCGGTATGGTTTTTGTTACGGCTTTAAAAACTAGCTTTATCGATTAATTTTGATATCTTAATATTTTAAAAACCGATTTTGATTAGGTAATTGGGTTCTGGACTGTTAGCAGGGGAACAAATTTTTCCATGTTTCTCTACGGCCCTACAATAAAATATAGACCATTTTTATAGCATTTCAGATAGTTTTTAGATATAAAAACAATATAAAAACAAGGAAATTTTCGAAAAACTTTTTTTTTTGTGAAAAATGTATGAAAAAATGGCCAAAAAACGGTCAAAATTTTCGCATTTTAAAAATTGAACAATGAATTCTTATAGCTTTTTAGCAATGAAGAACTACTTAAAACACTATAAAAATACATAATACAGGGTGTCCCAATAAAAAAGGTCACGCTGGCATTTCGCCATTTCAAATCTGTTCGATCTGAAATTTGGAACAGAGCTGCGGAAGGGAATTTAAAATGTTCACAGAAACTTTCAGCCCGATCGGTACAGTAGTTTTCGAGTTATAACCAAAATACTGTTGTTTCAACACTTTTGCTTCATTTTTTCGGCTATCTTTTTGGACTTTGCATCAATTAACATAAATTTCGGCCCTAAATCCCTCATTCTTCTTAACATCGGGGATGATAACACCTTGTTAAAATGATTTAAACAACCAATTTCCAAAACGAATTTTACGAAATAAAAAATTTCCTGGGGTAAAAAAAGGGTCGGCGCTTCATTTTTGCCATACATTCCAAAGCTCAATTCCGACGAAATCCAGGTTAAAAACGTAAAATAAAGTTTATTTTTGCTATAACTCGAAAACTACTGTTCCGATCCGGCTGAAAGTTTCTGTGAACATTTTGAATTCCCTTCCGCACCTCTGTGCAAAATTTCAAGTCGATCGGATGTGAAATGACAAAATGCCAGCGTGACCTTTTTTATTGGGACACCCTGTATATCATCAACAGATAGGTATAGGCGAAAAAAACAAAAATTGGTTTCCATCCGGCTAACCCCCCCGCTAACAGTCCAGAACCTAAATGTGCGGTATACCAAACGGTTGCTCTGGGTCTGACGAGTCTTTTGGTACACTTTACAGCCTTGTAGAACACCAGAGAGTAGAGATACGCTAGGTCTGATTGCATTATTGAACTCGTTCCAGTCGACGGCTCCAACGTGCGGCCTCCTGGACGGCAAGGAGGTCAGCAGCAATCAAAGATCGTACTCAAAGAATAACTCTAGATCTTCTCCTGCAACAAGCCCGACAGTTGCACCTCGGAACGGAAGGAGAGCAAATTACACGTCGTGCTGTGCCAGATCGATTTGAAGTGAGAGAGAGAGAGAGAGAGAGAGAGAGAGAGAGAAGGAAAGCAAAATAAATTTTTACAGAGCCGTCGATCTGAGCGGGACGAACGAGGAGCTGGAGCGCCGGATGGAGGCCGAGAAGGACGGGTCGTTTGCGCGAAGGCGGCAGATGCTTTTGGAACGGGTTGGAAAATGCATATTTTTGCAGTACTACCGTATTCCCACCATAAATGCGCATTTTCAGCACCTTTAAATTTCGTTAAAATTAAAAAATAAAGTCTTTTTTAGTGGTTCCGCGGGAACGCGTACGCTTCGGTCGTCTTTGTGTGGCTGTTTTTGGTGGGTTTCTGGCATCATCTGGGCTGCTGCTTGCTGTCACTGTCCCTTTAAAGGGACCTGGCAGCCCGAGCATCGACGCTTCGATCGACTAGGTCTAGACAACTACGCGACACGCCAAAAAACGCGTACAAATACACTGAAACCAGATGCTGATATCGTTTTTCGGGCTCTTCCGCAGTATCGGGGGGGGGGCAATTTTTTCTACTATCTAATATAATAATATACATAGAGGAAGCGTTTTTACTATTCCTAGGCGTAAAAACCATAAAACTCGAATAAAGGCTACAACAAATTATCGTTTTTTTCGACCAAAAAATTGTCGTTTGTGACCAAAATATTGACTTTTTGGAAAATTTTGAAAGTTTTTCGTTATTTTTTCTATTTCAAATATATTTTATTTGGTTAGAGTGCAGTTTACCCCCCCCAGCCGCAACTTTTCAGCCATACATCCTATTAATGCGCCGAGTATCTCAAAATGTTCCCCGTGGTCGATTTACTATAAAAAAGTTGTTTCCTTACATCAAAAATTGTTAGAAAAATTTTTATGACAATTATAAGTCTGGGTTTTCTTTAGTTAATTTTTGCTGTTCCAAAGTGAGTTTTCGTATCTTTTGACGTACAGAGCTGTCAATAGTCCGAAAATGTAGCTCTTGCTCTGGAGAATAAGCGTACAGTACGTTTGGGTCGAAAAAATAGCGGAAAATAAAAATATTTGAGTTTTAGACTCCTAGTACATCGAAGCATAGCGGCTTAATCTTTTCAACTTTCAAAATCTTGTAAAAATTTTTTTAGCAATTTTTGCCGCAAGATAACAACTTTTTTATAGTAATTCGAGCACGGGGAACATTTTGAGATACTCGGCGCATTAATAGGCGTATGGCTGAAAAGTTAAGGCTGGGGGGGATAAACTGCACTTAAGCCTTTTATTTTACTAAAAACGCTATTAAAATATTTCCTGTTAAGTTACTAGGCATTTCTAACGCTTTACAAAAAATTCCCCGCGCTTTCCAGCCCGTTTAAATGCGAATTCGCTTACGAGTGCTAATTCGCTTACAAGTATTGTTAGGTGTGCTTCGCGCTGGGCACCGCCTACCTGAACATCAACAGCTACCGCAACGCCGGCGCCATTTTCCGGGACCAGCAGAGCCTGAAGAGAACGGTAGAGCTGAAATAGTTACGACACGTAATTTGGCGTTAGATGGAGAGCGTGCTGCAAAATGTCGCCCTCGTCGAGGTGGACGAGATGAAACGTCAGCAGTTGTTTTTGGTAATTTCGAGCTTTCGCTCCCTATCTCTCTCTCTCTCTCGCTCTCCCCCTGCCTTCTCAGTCCCTTTAAAACGCATTTTTTTCAGGAAACCCTGGCGATCGGTGACTGGAGTAGGCTGCAGGAGGAGTCGAAGGCTGATCTGCAGCGCATCGACCGTCAATGTAAGGCCACAGAGTGAGAGCGAGAGAGAGAGAGAGAGAGAGAGAGAGAGAGAGAGAGAGAGAGTGAGAGAAAGCGGGAGAGATGGATTATTCGGTGTTAAATGCAAATTTTAATGTTTCAGTCGGTGTCGCCCCCGGAGAACTGCCTCCGAAATGAGCAGATGCGGCCTTCAGAAGACCCCCAGAAGACGTGCATCATCGAAAATACGGATTACTCGTGCGAAGCTGTTTTTCTTGCATTTTTTGTGTCCGCTTTGGCGCTCTTTTTGTGATTTCTCGAGCTGTTTGAGTGGTAGAATAAATGAAAACATTGCATTTCCCAATTGATCTCTGCTAGCCTGCCCCTTCCATTCCCAAATCGTCTCTGCTAGTTTGCCTTTTTTCTATTTTATCGTCGAAAAACAGATACTTTAATAATAATCTTTATTCACACAAAATTATCGTGAAACAACCAATATTTTTTCAAATAAACGCGAAAATCAGCAAAACGGAATAGATTACTGTGTATGGCTATGTACACGTACTGTCTATGGGAGTCGAATGGAATTATTTACGAAATTGGGGTAAGGTGATGGCTTAGGCTTACTGTAAAGTGTTTTTACTCAAGTTGGAGTTTCGATTCGGGACCAAGTGCATCTTGTGCAGAATTTTTTGCTGATTCCGGATCCGTTTTCCAAATTTGCTGCGGACTTTTATTTAAAAAGTCATTTTTGGTGCAGATTGGGCTAGAAAAAGCCAAAAACTCGGATTCTGGCCCACCATTCCCTCCTTGGTTCGATCGGATCCAGGGGCCCTGAAGTACGCGCTTACAGCTCCCTACCCAGTTGGCACCATGGTGCATTGTCAAAGTACTCGCTTGCCAAGCGCAGGGCGGCGGTTCGGATCCCCGCCCTGCATCTTTCTTTTGCTTTTTGCCTAAAAAATCTAATTTTTTATAAAAAAGCCTGTTTTGGCTTTTGAGATGCTTGTCCAGCCAATCTCTAGCCAATTTCGAAGTTGAAATTGATCAGGAAAATCGAAAATGATAACGGTTCCTTGATTTTGGTGCAAAACACTACCATAATTGCTGTATAACTTTCAAAATAAAAGTCCGCAGCAAATTTGGAAAGCGGATTCGGAATCAGCGAAAAATTCTGCACAAGATGCACTTGGTCCCGAATCGAAACTCCAACTGGAGTAAAAACACTTTACAGTTAGGCTTAGGCTTAGGCTTAGGCTTACTTATGCTGAGGTGCAGGCTTAGGGCCATGGTACAATTTGAGATATCATTGAGGTTAGGGGATTTTCAAATGGCTTCTGGGATACGGCGGAGAAAGAGGGTGGGAGCACGGTATTTTTGGTATGGTAATGAGCAAGAGCGTGAACTTAAATAAGGTATTTTTAAGATGCAAATTTCTCTCCGGGGGGCTCAATTTTGACTAGTATAATTTTCGCGCGCGTGCAAAAAGAACAACAAACTGAAAAACAGGGGAAAATCACAGATTCTTATGGTGGATGCAAATTATGCCACATTGAGGAGGGAAGGATGTATAAAAAATTAAAAAAGAAAAAAAATCATAAAAATGACAAATAGAAACATGCAAAAAAAAACAAAAATACCCGCTTTGTTGTCGAGTCATTTCAACTGGATGAGGGAGGGGGGAATAGGAGCGTAGCGTAGCGGAATTGTCGAAATTATTTTTTCTTTAGGAAACAGGGCTGTCCGAAAATATATAGATTTCATAAAGAGAATCGGAAAAAAAATTATTAGCTGCAGGCAAATTTTAAATTTTTTTGATTTTTTTAGTTTTAATCTAAGGAATTCTTCAAAAAATTTGATTTTTTGATTTTTTGCATTTTCTAAAAAAATTGTAATTCATTAAAGTAGGAAAATTCCCATAAACAGGGTAATTTTCCGCAATTTTTCGAATTTTTTCAATTTTCTTACGGTAGAAATTTGAATTTGAAATTTTTGGCCCTTTCTGGGTCCTAATATGCATACAGCTTTTTTTCAAATTTCTGCAATATAATAGCTTAAGGAATAAATATCTAGTTAGCAGATCCCTGCAGAAGAAAAGAGGAGCACGAGGAGGAGCAAAAAGAGAATAAAAATCGACTACCCAGAAAGCATCAAAAACTGAAGGTAGCACCTGGGAAATGGGTGGAGCAATCAAAAATGATTTTTTCGAGTGAAAACGATGATTTTGAATAAATGAAATTCAGGACGCATTTTTTGGGATAAATTTGTCGTGTAGAGGTGCCCAATAAATGGAAAAAGATGTAGAAAATTTTGGTTGAATTTTAGCGATTTTCGCTCATCGACAGGTACTCGGCGACGGTTTGGTATAGGAAGGCATATTCATCCTGGAATGGGAAAGTGATTCTTTGGCGGTATCGCTCGATATCACGCTCTCTCCCGCTCTCTCCCGCTCTCTCCCTCTCTCTCTCTCGCTCTCTCTCTCGCTCTATCGCTCGCTCGCTCTCTCTCCCTTTCTGTCTCATGCGATCTCTCTCTCTCTCTCTCTCTCTCGCTCACGTCACTTACAATTTTTGTAAAAGTCTCTGCCCTTTGCTGTTGTATTGATCGAGCCGTTTGGAAAACGTCTATCCTTCTCTCGGCCTTTAACCGCTCCATCAGCAACGACACGGCGCAGTAGACGGCCGACTCCGCGGAGCCGTTTCTGAAAAATAAATGGTATTCCAATTTCAAGGAACTAACTTTTTCCTTTCTTACTATCCCTCTCTCTCTCTCTCTCTCTCTCTCTCTCTCTCTCTCTCGCTCCACCTCCCTCAGCTTATGTCTAAGCCTAATCTAAGCCTAAGCAAAGCCTATGCCTAAGCCTAAACTAAAGTCAACTAAGTCAAGCTGGCTACCAAATGCGTAAATGTCTAGGCCTAGTCGATGCAAGGGGTCGAATTCCGGAGATTAGTGCTCCCTTTAAAGTCCTGAGGCTTATAATTAACTTCCGAGCCTATTCGCACACTAATGGAAGCCAATAAAATCTGCTGGTTACCTGCACATGAGCACGATCGGGCCCTGGTCGATGTTGTGAGCCTGACGCTCCAGCACGGCACCGATTGTCGACAGGAGGGAAGAGGGGGAAGCTGGGACACAGCTTCCCTCTTCCCAGTCTGTATATGCGATCTGGGCCACGACTCGGGAAGTAGATGGGTCGTTCTGAAATTAAGATGTAGACGGGCATTTTCCAATGGTCGCTGCTCGGCCGGTTCGAAATCTTCAAGAATCTCTGCTAGCCCGCCTCCAATTCCTCAGTGATCCCTGCTAGTCTACTAGAATCTGGCTCACCAGCTCATTTCCTGGAAACTCTCTGCTAGTTCTCCTCTCTCTCTCTCTCTCTCTCTCTCTCTCTCTCTCTCTCTCTCTCTCTCTCTCTCTCTCTCTCTTTCAAGCGCTCTCTCTCTCTCCCTCTCTCTAGCTCTGTCTCTCTCTTCCTCTCTCCCCCTCTCTCTGTCTCTTTCTCCCACTCTCCCTCTCCTCTCTCACCTTCATCACATATTCCATGCGTCTCGTCACGTAATGCTGCGAAAGATCTTCGGATAGTAGGCTGACAGTGACCGACTGAGACTCGCGGCTGAATACCTTCGGCGTGCCCACCAATTCCGGCCAGTACTGAAACAATCAATGAAATAGCGTGAAATTCCCTCAATTCTCGGTCCCTTTAAAGGCACCGAGAAGCACTAGAATCGACCCTTAGCACTGCTTAGGCCTAGACAATCAAGCGAAAAGCAAAATTACGCGTCTTTGGTTTCCATAAAAATAAGTTTAATGGTCTTTTTGGAGCGCCAAGTAGCTGTCTGGACCTAGGCGATGATAGGGTCGATTCTTGTGCTTCCTAGCCCCTTTAGTCGCAAAAACTTAATAAATACCTTCTCCGAGGGCGCGAAAACATGGAGTGGCGAAAGCGCGACTACGGTCGCCACTTTCTTCTCGCAAATCATGCGCCAAACGTCGAAGGCAGTAGCCGGGCAGAGCGGATCCTGGGCCAGCACGTAAGGGTAGAAATACCCGCGAATCGACGACGCATTAATGTACGTTGAGTCGACGTAGCCGAGGCTCGGTTGGAGGAGAACCTGAAAAACCCGAATATCTCTGCGGCCTGCCCCTTCCATTCCCAAATGATCTCTGCTAGCCTGCCCCTTCCATTCCCAAATGATCTCTGCTAGCCCGCCCCTTCCATTCCCAAATGATCTCTGCTAGCCTGCCCCTTCCATTCCCAAATGATCTCTGCTAGCCTGCCCCTTCCATTCCCAAATGATCTCTGCTAGCCTGCCCCTTCCATTCCCAAATGATCTCTGCTAGCCTGCCCCTTCCATTCCCAAATGATCTCTGCTAGCCTGCCCCTTCCATTCCCAAATGATCTCTGCTAGCCTGCCCCTTCCATTCCCAAATGATCTCTGCTAGCCTGCCCCTTCCATTCCCAAATGATCTCTGCTAGCCTGCCCCTTCCATTCCCAAATGATCTCTGCTAGCCTGCCCCTTCCATTCCCAAATGATCTCTGCTAGCCTGCCCCTTCCATTCCCAAATGATCTCTGCTAGCCTGCCCCTTCCATTCCCAAATGATCTCTGCTAGCCTGCCCCTTCCATTCCCAAATGATCTCTGCTAGCCTGCCCCTTCCATTCCCAAATGATCTCTGCTAGCCTGCCCCTTCCATTCCCAAATGATCTCTGCTAGCCTGCCCCTTCCATTCCCAAATGATCTCTACTAGTTGCTTTCGCTTTCGAATTCCCTACCCGATTCCGGTCGTACGGTACTGCGCGAGGGTGCCGATTTTTCATCAAGTTGCTCGGGTCGTCGGCGAATTTCGTACTTTGTCGTGCTTCCAGTTCTTCTTTTAGCTTCTAAAATAAAAATGCAGGTAGTATCACAATTTTCTTTGTTTTTGTAGAAACTAGAGGGGTAAAATCGACCCCTTTGATCGCCTAGGTCTAGACAGGTATGCGGAAAAAGACACTTGCACTCGGTCGGGTTTTTGTCCCAACCTTCCCATCTGACGGTGATCCAAAATCGGATACAAACGTGTTATTTTTGTATCCCGTAGCTGTCTAGGCCTAGTGACGATGAAGGGGACGATTCCGACGCTTACGAGTCTCTTTATGAAGCGTATTTCTCGACATCACTGACCTTAAACTCCTCCTCAAGACCGGGACCGTAGTTCTTCCCGGATTTCGCGCTAAATTGAGGTAATTTTCATCGAAAATCTACCAATACCCATTCTGCAGCTTCGAGTAGTGCCCGACAAACTCGTCGACGTCCATATCGGTTTGGCCGAAGAGGTGCCACTCGGCCATCACCTTGTAGATAAACGTGTACTGGTCCTGAAAAGGAATTTTTAGTCGACAAATGATCTCTGCTAGCCTGCCCCTTCCATTCCCAAAAAATCTCTGCTGGCCTGCCCCTTCCATTCCCAAATGATCTCTGCTAGCCTGCCCCTTCCATTCCCAAATGATCTCTGCTAGCCTGCCCCTTCCATTCCCAAATGATCTCTGCTAGCCTGCCCCTTCCATTCCCAAATGATCTCTGCTAGCCTGCCCCTTCCATTCCCAAATGATCTCTGCTAGCCTGCCCTTTCCATTCCCAAATGATCTCTGCTAGCCTGCCCCTTCCATTCCCAAAAAATCTCTGCTGGCCTGCCCCGACTCCTCAATGATGACCTGCTTACCTGACTTTGCACCATGATATTTCGCTGCTGTCGCATCGAGGAGACGAACTTGAAGACGTCAATCTGAAAGCGAGACTTAGAGAGAGGGAGAGGGAGAAAGAGAGAGCGAGAGAGAGCGAGAGAAGAGAGAGAGAGAGAGAGAGCAACAAACCTCGTTCTCCTTCTCGTACATGTCCAACATCGAGTCGATGGCTATTAGCGTCCCCGTCCTCCCCACCCCAGCGCTACAGTGAACCACCACGGGGGTGTTGCTGAACTCGTCGCGGTCGCGGAGCAGATGGAGGAACCTGAAAAATTGGCTTAACGGGAGTGGACACTCAAAAACACGGACGTTGTCCGAGAAAAATACGTCTTTTTCATATTTTGTAATGGGTATTTGGCGATTGGTTGATGCTAAAATATTTGAGTTCCCGGCCCCTTTAAAATGACTCCAAATTTTTTGCGCGCTCAATACTGTTCCCTACCTACCGTAGCAACCCGATCGAGCACTCCGGCGCCTTGTGGTCGTTCCAGTTGGTGAAGTGAAATTGGGTGATGCGACGGCCGTTGGCTAAAGGTTGGAGGTGAGCGAGAACGAGAGTGAGCGAGAGCGAGAGAGAGAGAGAGAGAGGGATAGATAGGGAAACTTACTTGCTGGTGTTGATCTCCCATTCGAAACGATCCCATTTGGCAAATTTGCATATTCCGAGCCGCTGCCTTCGAGGGTTGACATGTCGGCGAGGCTTCTGGAAATGATTTTATATGCCTTCCGCAAGGATCCCTGCTAGTCTGCTCCTTAAAACCGTACCTTCCATGGTTGACCGGGATGCTGATCGGCGACAATCGACCGCTGAGCAGCTTCTCCCTGACCTCGAAAGTTCGTACGGAGTAGTCGGCGTAGTATTCGGATTGGCCGGTCGGGATCACTTCATATCGGGAGAGGCTGGAAAATATTTTAAGATGAGAGAGCGAGAGAGAGAGAGAGAGAGAGAGAGAGAGAGAGAGAGAGAGGGAGAGAGCGTGACAGAAATAGAGTGAGAGAGAGAGAAAGAAAGATAAAGAGAGGGAGTGAGAGAGAGAGAGTGAGAGAGAGAGAGAGAGAGAGAAAGAGAGCGAAATAACGAAAGAAACCAACCTCAACGGCTCGTCATCAGGCCAATACTTTGCGCACTGTTGCTTATGCCGTTCGGTGAGGTTGGCGACCTGCAAAGATAGGAATTGAACCTACATTCGAATAGTAAGCTAGCAGGGTTTCTTTAGAAAAAGCAGGGACTTCCGGGTGTAAATGCCTCTAGTGGCTGGTCCTAGATGACTATAAGAAGAACCTTTGCTAGTTTGCCCTATCCGGAAGCATTCCTGAAAACCATTGCTAGCTCGCCCTATTTCCCGTGATTCCTCAAGATTCTCCGCTAGCTTGCTCTCCTCTGGACTAGTTGATTTTTTACGCCCATCTACAAAATTATAGACCATTTTGAAAGCATTTTTCATAGTTTTTAACTCTAAAAACAATATAAAAATGAAAATTTTCGGAAATTTTTGACTTTTTGGCCTAAATTAATGAAAACCCCGAAAAGGTCAAAACTTAAGCATTTTGAAACTTTTAAAAATATTTACAGAACTTTCAGAAACTAGAAACACTATAAAATAAAAATACATAATATAAAATGGGCGAAAAAAAACAAAAAGTTGTTCCCCCGCTAGCAGAACCCAGAACCTCCCCAAGAATCTCGGCTAGCCTGCCCCAAGCTCCAAACTCACCATAACAATCATTTCGACTCCCTGCTCCCAGCACATCCTCCAGAAATCGTCGATCGTATTCGGGAGTGGCCCCTGGGCGGCGATGAAACGTTTTTGAGGATCGTAGCCATGAATCAGATTCGCGTTGATGTAATCGCTATGCTCGACGCCGTCCAGCTTCTTCAATTTCACCCGCGTGTCGTCGAACGCACAAATGTCATTGTAACTAAAAAAATCCGTCGATAATTACGCGTTGCACTACGCTACGCTACACTACCCTTGGTTCCGTAAGGATACGTTGCGCTCCGGAATAGTACATTGTGATGTACGTTGCGCTGCGTACTTTACGTTAGATTAGGAAGCTACGTTACGGTACGCTACTCTACAATGTCAGTCATGTAGCTAGGGTTGGTACGCTAGGTTACGTACGTGACGCTACGTTGCGTCACGTAACGTTACGGTAGGCTAATTACGATACGCTACGCTATATTACGCAAGGATGTTTTTCCGACTCAAAACCCACCGATTTTTTGCCGCGTTCTCTTTCTTCTTGCTGGCCGTCGCCTCGAGGTTGTAGTTGGGCATTCGCTAAAATTTGGCTGCTGTATGAATAATTTATCGCTCTCTCTCCGCTCTCTCTCTCTCTCTCTCTCTCTCTCTCTCTCTCTCTCGCTCTCTCTCTTTCTCTTGCTCTTTCTCTCTCTCTCTCTCTCTCTCTCTCTTCTCTCTTGCTCTCTCACCAACTCTCACACTCTCTCTCCTTATCTTCTACGCAAAAACCTACGCTCCATTCTTCCGTGAACAAGAAATCAGAATCCTTATGGCGGGTACGGTACTCGCCGGGGATATCTTCAGCCTTCACCGGTCCGTAGCTCGACATTTTGAGTTGGATGTGCTCGTGGCCCATCTTCTTCTTTTTACTAAAAAAAGAGCATTTTTCAAATTTACAAATGATCTCTGCTATCCTTAGCTAAAATTTCACTTACATGGCAGTGTAAGCAAAGAATGAAGCAGCTCCAACGAGTGCAAAGCACAGCAAAACCGTCAACAGGATCAGGATCGTCGCCCAGGAGGCCGAGTCTGGAATGGTAATGTTTTTCTCTCGCTCGCTCGCTCTCCCGCTCTCCCGCTCTCCCGCTCTCTCTCTCTCTCTCTCTCTCTCTCTCTCTCTCTCTCTCTCTCGCTCTCTCTTTCTCTTTCTCTCTCACTGACCTTCTCCCAGCGCGTTCAGCGACACAGGCTTGAAGTAGGAGCTGTAGGCGTAGGAGGTCCCTTTGGACACTGGGGAGCTTGGGGCGGGAGTTAGGAGACGGCCCTTGAGCCTAGATCTCGGGGTAGCTACCGTAGTCGTAGTCGGCTCGCGGTTTGCCTAAAAAGATTGTAATTTTGAGTTTATCGCCCTATCTGTTTCTCTCTCTCACACTCTCTCCCGCTCCCTCTAACCCGCTCTCGCTCTCTCGGTGCGAGACGGACCTTTGCGAAAGCGACCGAAAGGGCAGAGGGCAGGGCGAACAGGACGAGAGAGAGCGAAAGAAAGAGGGAAAAGGAGAACGAGAGGGAGAGGGCGAGAGTGAGAGATAGAGAGAGTGAGAGCGTGAGAGAGCGAGACACAGAGAAAGAAAGCGAGAGCGAGAGAGAAATATAGCGACAGAGTGAGTTAGCGACTGCGTGTCAGAGCGAGAGAGATATAGCTAGCGAGTGTGAGAAATAGAGAGAGAGGGGGAGAGAGAGACAAGCAGACAGACAGAGAGGTCCGAGAAAATCTACCTCCGGATTGTCAACTCTGACGATTAGGAATCCCGTGTAGATGAGACCTTGCCGAAGAGCTATATCTTCGCTTGAGTGACGATCAAGGTATCTAAAATATTTTGGTCTTCGTAGCAGAGCAGAGTTTTTGGGAGAGAGAGAGAGAGAGAGAGAGTGATAGAGAGAGAGAGCGAGTGTCTTTCCTCACTTCGTCTCACACGGCTCGACCCCGCTGCTGGTATTCCCATCTCCCATAATCGCCGTTTCCGGCAGGTAGCGCTCGTAGCTTTCCGCAATATAGGCCAAGTAGCTGAAACGACCTGATTGAGAAGCCTGAATAACTACAGTACCTCTTCTGCTCCTTGTCCCCAGCCACCCTCATGTTGTTCTTAAACGCGTTCTGGCCGTTGTCGATGGAGATGTCGGCGGGTGGGGGCAGCTTCTCGATGCTGGCGTTCAGGAGGAGAGGGACGATGGCCACGTAGTAGCAGCTGAAAAAAATAGGCGATAAAATTTATTTAACAATTTTAGAGGAACTGTGAAGCCTTGCTATCGACTAAAAAAGTTGCTAGTGGTGCTAGTGGTCCCCAAACGTGTTGGATTTTTACGATTTAGGTATCTATCAAAAGCTCTCGACGAGCTGAGTATATATTCGCTTTTAAACCTTGAAATTTCGCGATTATTTTTAATCCAGGAGATTGCTATGCGTTAAAAAAAATCAAAATTTACGAATCTGTACGCTTTTCTGGCAGCCCGTCGGAAGCCTTTTGGGAGCAATTGGAAAAGACATTGCCTGGATGGCGCTGAATCCGAGTTTTTGACAAAAACAACCTCCCATTTGAATCAAAATTTCGAAAACAGAGCAAAAAAATGCCGAAACTTCGCAAATCAAAGAAGATCCGCTGGCTCGCTTGTCTGAGAGCTTTCGATAAATAGCTAAAACATAAAAATCGGAGACGTCTGCGGTCCGCTTGATAGGGGAGTTTTTTGTCGAATTAGCAATGCTGCAAATTACCTTAAAAGACCCGTTAAGAGCCAAAATAACGCTTCCCACCGACTGGGTCTAGACAGCTACGCGACGCGCCAAAAAACGCGTTATTCGTATTTGTGAAGGTGCTTGCAAACTTGATCTGACGCCCCGCTCAGCTGTCTAGGCCTAGCCAATAGGGGGTCGATTCACGCGGTTTCCAATCCCTTTAAAAAGCCCTGCAAACCTGATGGGTCCACTCGTCTGGTCGGGCGGCGATCCATAGCGTAACTGGATGTTGGTCAGATTTTGTGGCGGGAGGCTGGTGGGGGGTTCGACCTAAAACCGTGCATTATTTCGGTATCGTTTCTCTCTCTCGCTCTCTCTCTCGCTCTCGCTCTCTCTGTCTCTCCCTCTCGCTTACCCTCTCCGGCGAGTCAAATTTGGTGCTGCACTGCTCGGCAAACATCAGCGGCTGGCTTTTCCCGGCCGAATTCGAAGCCCACACCGTCACCGAGTAGTTGCGGTTTGGCTGAAAAAGTCATTATTAAGTTGGTGTTTTTCCGCCTTCCTGGTCCCTTTAAAATGGAAATCGATGAATTTTGTGCAAAAACGCCTGGAAAAACGAACTTTCAGCGGCCCAAATCGGCAGAAGAAGAACGACGTCGACGAAGCGAACTCGTTGGGGTTGATGCTCTTGTCGGGCTGCTCGTTTTGGTCGAAATTCGAGCATTTCGGGTCGGTGGCTGGGGGGTAGTCGTCTGGGACGAGGGTTTCTGAGGCGCCGTCCCGGATTTTGCCCTCCATGCGGACCTGAAAAGGCTTATTGGGATTCATTTTTTTAGGGGGTTTGACTTCAAGTTCCCTTTAAAACCTTGAGGGAGAGTGAGATGGGGAGAGAGCGATGGAGAGAGAGCGATGGAGAGAGAGAGAGAGCGCGAGAGAGCGAGAGAGCCATCGAGAGAGACAGAGAGAGTGAGAACGAAAGTGAGAGGGAGCATGACTGAGAGAGAGCGATTGAGTGTTAGAGACAGAGAATGAGAGAGAGCCAGCCATAGACAGAGACTGAAAGAGAGAGAGAGAGAGAGAGAGCGAGAGAGCGAGAGAGAGTGAGAGAGAGAAACTTACAAAATACGACTGAATCCGGCCATTCGGATGCTCAGGCGCCCTCCAATCCACTTCACAGTAAAACCTGCCATCCCCATCCTCAACCAGACGAAGCTCTTGGGACCCGGGGGGTGACGGAGCTGAAATTTACGTTTTTCTGGGGCCCGGAAAGCAAAAATCGTTTCTCTGGGTCATTGACTGCTAGCCAAGCTTAATTTTCGTCCACTAGGGAGCCGGTTGCGCCTCAAAAACGAGCAGTTTTACATCTAATACCTTTCTCTTGTGTCTGAAAGTGTTCGGTCATCCGGATTGGTTCGGGCCCGGCATGAAGCGAGATGTGCAGGGTGTAGGCCGTAGCCGGAAGCAGATCCTCGATCAGCACCGGGCTCTTCGCGTTGCTGGCCGTCCAGTTCTGGCGTGTCGTGGTCGCGTGGCTCGTCAACCTGAATTACCATTTTTTGTAGATTTCCAAGACAAGTCGATTCCCAAATAGTACCTGCTAGCTTGCCCAAATTTTCAGCTGCTCGACCGCCTTTAAAGGAACCAAGAAGCGCGGGAATCGAATCTTTAGCCCTACTAGGTCTAGACAAGTGCCAGGGGCGCCCAAAATGAGTTTCCTCCCCATTAAAGGACCGTCGAATTAGCGCGCCGCATGGTTGTCTAGACCTAGTGAAAGCGGGGGGTAGATTCTGGCGCCTCCCAGGCCCTTTAAAGTTTGCATCCCAGTATGCAGGATCCATACCTGAGGTCAATTTGCATACTCTCATCATCCGTCTCCCAGGTGACATTGGCCGAGTTGGGCGTGGCCGTGATGGCAAAGTTTTTCACTTTTTTCGAGGCTGAAAAATTAGATTAAAAATTATAGCTTCATGGCATCAAGGCTACAGACTACAGAACATGCTACAGAAGATAGGGGAAAATGATGGGATGTAGGTGAGGTACGGTAGATACTGTACGTGAGGAAAGTAGGAGAATCCAGTCCGACACGATACGACACAACGACTACGCGGCACTACGCCTTACAAAGATTAAAACTCTAGTTGTGCGTCCTACTTGAAAAATTGTAGGTACGACGACTACTGTAGCTACGGTCCATACGGTAAGTACGCAGGCGACGTTAAGTACGGTAGGCGGGGGGATACCGTGGATAAGAGAAGATACGAGACGCGAGATACTTTAGCTACGGGACTGGTTCAAAGCATGAAAGATTATGTACGACACAACGACTACGCGGCAGTACACCTGACGACGCTTAAGACTGTAGTTGTGCGTCGTACTTGAAAAACGGTAGGCACGGGCGCTACTGAAGCTACGATTCATACGGTAAGTACGCAGACTAATTTCATTCGGGTAGGCAGAGCAGATAACGTAAATTGGAAACGGCGGTAGATACGCGAAATACTGTAGCTATCGTACGAGCGTAAAGTAGCGAAAATTCAGTAAGACACGATACGACACAACGACTACGATTAGGAGACATGCGGTAGGTACCGCAGGTACTGTAGCTACCGTAGTAGCGCAGGGAATGAAAAATTCAGTACGACACGATACGCACAACGACTACGCGGCACTACACTTTACGACGGCTGGTCATGCGCCAGACCTGCGCGGTGTTTATGCCGATTATTGTGTGGGGGTGTGATTCGGCGCGTGGTGCTACCGTAGCCCTTTTTCCAGCGGGATACGGGCTGGGGCCGAACGACCGCCCGGAGAAAGGGGGCTGCTAAAATTCTTCAATGATCTCGACTAGCTAGCCCTGGGTGCATAGGCCCGATTAGTGTTGGCGAAGAGTTTGGATATTTTTCTCACGATCGTTGCTATCTGGCCCTGACTTCGGGGACGGGGAGCGAGAGCGAGAGAGAGGGGGAAAGAAGAGCGAGAGCTACAGAAAGCGAGAGAGAGTAGGAGAGAGAGCGAGAGAGACAGATAGAGACAGAGAGAGCAAGGGAGAGAGAGATAGAGAGAGAGAGAGAGAGAGAGAGAGAGAGAGAGAGAGAGAGAGAGAGAGAGAGAGAGGAGCAGAACGAGCCAGTAAAACAGAACGAGCAAGAGCCCAGTGGCAGAGGGAGAGTTAGAGTCAGAGAGAGAGAGGGAGAGAGAGACAGCGAGAGAGCGAGATAGAAAGATTCAAAAACGACCCACATTTAACCTCAAACTCCATCGTAAAGTTCACTGGGGGCAATCGTATCGAAGACTGGGCATACGAGGCCAAGCACGTATACGTGCCCGCGTCAGAAAATTGCACGTTCGAGATCTCCAACTTCCAGCACGGCGTCTCCGTCAAGAAAATCAGTTCCGGCGAGTCGACGTTCATCTGGAATCCATAGAAATTAGCACTTCAACGGTCTTTAAAGGAGAGGAAAATTTTTTTAGCCTCGCGTAGCTGTCTAGACCTAGTCGATGGAAGGGGTCGAATTTCGCGTGAGTTGCGTCTTTAGCAAAGGTCTAAAACTCACATGGAACGGATGGGTCGTGGGGTCCTTTTGCACGGAGCTGTTATGGATGAAGGTGACGCCAGAATGATCAACAACTCCCGTTGGGTCCATATTCAGGCAGCAGAACATGGTGACGTCATTGCCCTTGTAGACCGAGGGGGAGGGGTGGATGTGGCCGACCACTTGCAGTTCTCCTGAAGAACGAAAATAGATCTCTCTCTCTCTCTCTCTCTCTCTCTCTCTCTCTCTCTCTCCCTATCTTTCTCTCTATCGACTTACTCTTGTCACATTTCCTAGGTGGTAGACGCTGAATTGGAAAATTCTTGGCCGTCGTCACCTCGTCGAACATCGGAGGGCACAGGCATTTTTCCTGGAAAAATGGGATTTCCGACCTCAAATGATCTCTGCTAGCCTGCCCCTTCCATTCCCAATGATCTCTGCTAGCCTGCCCCTTCCATTCCCAAATGATCTCTGCTAGCCTGCCCCTTCCATTCTCAAATGATCTCTGCTAGCCTGCCCCTTCCATTCTCAAATGATCTCTGCTAGCCTGCCCCTTCCATCCCCAAATGATCTCTGCTAGCCTGCCCCTTCCATTCTCAAATGATCTCTGCTAGCCTGCCCCTTCCATTCTCAAATGATCTCTGCTAGCCTGCCCCTTCCATCCCCAAATGATCTCTGCTAGCCTGCCCAAATGTCAAAACACGGACTTTGTGACAGACAGGATCCAGAAATTTGAAGCGTTTCCGGTAGGAGTCGTCCATCAGCAAGCATGGCGGTTTGTTGCCCCGCCGCGGCGGTTTTCGGCAGCCGAGAGGGATATCTGCAGCAAGGAGAATTTTATACATAACTTTTGAGGGCAATTCCAGCCTTCGCAGTCCCTTTAAAAGCAGTCAAAAACCTACGCTGGGGGCATGATGATGGACACATGCACCTTCCGTAGCCGTCGGCGTCTTTCCGGCACATTCCGCGGTACACGCAGTCGTAGTCGGATTGGCATACCGGGACGCCTGTAAATTGGGGGTTTTGGGTATTATGGGTATTTTAGGGGTATTAAAGAAACATGCGAGAGAGAGAGCGCCAGAGAGAGAGAGGGTGAGATAGAGAGTGAGGGCGAGACCGAGAGAGAGCGAGAGAGAGCGAGAGAGAGAGGGCGAGAAAGTGAGGGCGAGATAAAGATAGCGAGTATGAGCGAGAGAAACATAGAGAGCAGGGGCGAGAGAGAGAGAGAGATAACGAGTAAGGGCGAGAGAAAGATAGAGAGTAGGGGCGAGGGAGAGATAGAGATATAGAGAGTGAGGGTGAGTGAAAGACAGATACAGAGAGCGAGGGAGAGAGAGAGAGAGCGAGGGAGAGAGAGAGAGAGCGAGAGCGAAATAGAGAGACCGTCGTCCCGCCCAAGGCAGACTAGCTGTATTTGTTGGACCTACGCTGAGACGCCTGCGAGGGCGCTTCTTCTTGGACTTTTTTTTGGCTTCCTAGCCCCTTAAAGCGGACCTCTGTGAATCCATAGCGCGGCTGCCTTCACAATCCCTTTAATTGGGAGACAATTCGAAGACACACTCCCCCCCCCTAGCCGCCCCATCTGGCTGCGGCGGCCCTAATCGCATTGTGATTGGGGCGGGAGGGGAGATGTTGGATCGGACGGTGTGCCGCCGGGGGGTTGATAAGCTCTCCCGGCCGGAAGTGAGAGAGTTCGAGAACGCGAGAGAGCGAGAGCTAGAGAGGAAGAGCGAGAGAGAGACAGAGAGATAGCAACAGTTCGCGCAGCGCGCAGCAACCGCATTCCTGACGCGCGGAGGACCGGCTGACGCTCTTGCTCCCCTTGCAGAGCCGTCCCCCCCGATTTTCGGAATGGGGCGAAAAAAGCGTTCGCGTCTGCGGGGCGGATTGATCGAATGGCTACGATCATTTCTGGCATTTTAAAGGGACTAGCAAGGGTGCGAATCAACCCCTTCCATGCACTAGGTCCAGACGAATATGCAACGCATCAAACGACATGGAAACACGAGATTTAAGCGCGTTTCGGCGTGGCTCATGACTGTCTGGACCTAGTAGGCGAAGGGTTCGATTCAGCGATTTTATTCGATTGCGAGAGAGAGAGAGAGAGAGAGCGAGCGAGAGCCAGTGAGTGAGAGGGGGCGCGCGAGAGAGAGAGTGAGAGAGAGATACATAGGGAGAGAAAGAGAGAGAGAGAGAGAGAGAGAGAGAGAGAGAGAGAGAGAGTTTTATAAAGAGAAGGAGAGATGGAGGATGAGCAGGTGAGAGCGTGAGAGGGAAAGATATATCCAAAATCGACTCACCGAGTTGATCAGGCGTCTTTGGGGGTTCTTCCTTAGGTTTCGGGGTGCTTTTGGCTTCTCCTTCTACCGTAATCTCGTCCTCCTCGGCGCGGAGCCGCAGTAACAGCAAAATAACTGCCGCCCACCACAGCCACCACCGACTGCCATCTGGAAATTTTGGTTAGATTTTCTTAGAACGATTTTCGAGAATTTCAGACCGATTTTGCTTTTTTAAGAATTTTCCTTTGCCATTTGTTTTTGTTGTTGTTTTGGTTGTTGAGGCGAGCTAGCAGAGGTTCTTGGGGAAACCATTCCATTTTAGTAAATTTAAAAAACCGTGGTATTTTTGCTGGTCGGGGAAGGCTAGCCAACATCCTTGAGGAAACCGCACCGTAGTCTCAGATTTTTGTGCTTCCAGAAATGTAATTTATGGTTTTCTAGGCAAGCTAGCCGAGTTTCTTGGGGAATTTTTGCATATATAGATCCTTTTGATGATTTTAGTAGTAGAATTTTTGCTTTTTTAGGCGGCCTAGCAGCGATCCTTGGGGAAACAGTCTCGTTCTTCCAATTAATGGTATTTTCAAAAAAAATTTTGTGCTTTTTTAGGCGGGCCAGCAGGGATTCTTGAAGAAACGGTCACGTTATATATCCCATATTTCTTTGCGATTAAGAAACGTCAATTTTGCCATTTTAGGCAAGCTAGCAGAGGTGCTTTAGGACTCACATTTCTGTCTCCTCATTCCGCGTCAAAATATCATCGTCGATAGAAAACTTGGGATTTTATTTCTGATAGGGCCTGATTCGGGGAGGGCCTGAAAATTTTATCGATAAAAATAAGAAAAATACAACAATTAAAAATATAAAAAAATGCGGAAAAAAGCGCAAAACAAGGAGAATCGATAGTTCGAACCGATTTGAGAGAGAGGGAGTGGGAGAGAAAGAGAGAGAGAGTGAGAGAGAGAGAAAAAGAGAGAGAGAGAGAGAGAGAGAGAGAGAGAGAGAGAGAGATGAGCCTCCAATTCCGGCTGACTCACGTGGGAACGAGGCAAAGACAACAGAAAGCGTGATTTGTCTAGCCAGGAAAAAACGCGAAAAAAGCAAATTATTGGGCAAGCCCCCAGGGAAAACCAGCAAAAAATCAAAATACATTTCCAAAATTACAGAAAAATATCCTACTATTCCTACTATATATAAAAAAATAGTGTTTGTGTGTGTGTGTGTGTGCATTTGCATGCAACTTCCGTCCGTATGTTCCAGTCGTATCTCGATAGAGGAGGAAGTTAAAGCTACGTATGATACGTCATTAGCTGCGTAATGGTCATGACACGACTGCTCGCATATAAGATTTTTCAAAATCAGCTGTCTTCGACATTAAAAATAGGTTTTTGTGAAAATAGCGCCCGGCCTCTTTGTTAGGAATCAATTTACATGCACCGGAAGGGGGAGGAAGCCTATATAATGGGGGAGGGGAGGCGTCTTTCATTTTTTGCCCAGCAATTCAGGAGTTTATGCAAAGTGATGAAGCATGGGGGTAAGACGGGGCCAGGGTTGAAAAGTCGCGAAGCGGCTTTTCAACCCTGGTCAACGATAAAATTTTAAAGTGCAAGGATACGCCAGAATCGACTCCCATCCATCGACTAGGTCTAGACAGCTAGGCGCGAGGCTACAACAAGAAACCCGAGACTTTTCCGCCAGAAATTATACGTGTTTTGTTCTGCCGCGTGGTTGTCTAGATCTAGTCAATGAAGGGGTCGAACCTCGGGTTTTCTGGAGCCTTTAAAGGTCCCCAAAAGACACAAATCCATAACAAAACAAGCGGTTACATGGCTTCATGGCTCCGTTAAAACGAACCGCTGGCTAACTTAAGGGCAGGCTAGCTGTGATCATTGCGGATTTTGTCCATCGCAAGCACCTGCGAGCGGTGTCTGCGAAATAACGAAAAAGCGAGAGCGAGAGAGAGACAGAGAGAGAGAGAGAGAGAGAGAGAGAGAGTGAGAGAGAGCGAGAGAGAGATCCCGCAACATCAAGAGAACGTGATAACAGCCCAAAAATCGATTCGCAGCGCGTCAGCGCGCGGTTCGCGCTGAAATAATCCCGAGATGCCATTTCGCGCGACCTATCCCACCCCCATTTCAGCGGCCGTCGAAAAAAAATCCGGTTAATCCCATTATCCGGCAAGGCGGTCGACTGCCCCAGCTGCAAATTGTCGACTCGTCAATTGGTGCAAAGCGTAGGCATCGAATTATAAAAAGGAAATTGGGTAAACTGCCCAAATTAGTGGAAACTAGGCGGACCAGCAGAGGTCATTTGGGAATGGAAGGGGCAGGCTAGCAGAGATCATTTGGGAATGGAAGGGGCAGGCTAGCAGAGATCATTTGGGAATGGAAGGGGCAGGCTAGCAGAGATCATTTGGGAATGGAAGGGGCAGGCTAGCAGAGATCATTTGGGAATGGAAGAGGCAGGCTAGCAGAGATCATTTGTGAATGGAGGGGCAGGCTAGCAGAGATCATTTGGGAATGGAAGAGGCAGGCTAGCAGAGATCATTTGGGAATGGAAGGGGCAGGCTAGCAGAGATCATTTGGGAATGGAAGGGGCAGGCTAGCAGAGATCATCTGGGAATTGAAGGGGCAGGCTAGCAGAGATCATTTGGGAATGGAAGAGGCAGGCTAGCAGAGATCATTTGTGAATGGAGGGGCAGGCTAGCAGAGATCATTTGGGAATGGAAGAGGCAGGCTAGCAGAGATCATTTGGGAATGGAAGGGGCAGGCTAGCAGAGATCATTTGGGAATGGAAGGGGCAGGCTAGCAGAGATCATCTGGGAATTGAAGGGGCAGGCTAGCAGAGATCATTTGGGAATGGAAGGGGCAGGCTAGCAGAGATCATTTGGGAATGGAAGGGGCAGGCTAGCAGAGATCATCTGGGAATTGAAGGGGCAGGCTAGCAGAGATCATTTGGGAATGGAAGGGGCAGGCTAGCAGAGATCATTTGGGAATGGAAGGGGCAGGCTAGCAGAGATCATTTGGGAATGGAAGGGGCAGGCTAGCAGAGATCATCTGGGAATTGAAGGGGCAGGCTAGCAGAGATCATTTGGGAATGGAAGGGGCAGGCTAGCAGAGATCATTTGGGAATGGAAGGGGCAGGCTAGCAGAGATCATTTGGGAATGGAAGGGGCAGGCTAGCAGAGATCATTTGGGAATGGAAGGGGCAGGCTAGCAGAGATCATCTGGGGGAATTTTGCAGCTTTCGAAGCGCAAGCTAGCAGAGAACGCTTGGCAATTCCAGCAGGTTCCGGCAAACTAGCCAAGATCTTGCACGATTGCATATTCAGAAAAGAGCAGCTAGCCAAGATAATTTGGGTAATTACACGTTTCCAAGCTAATATCCATGATTTTCAAAGCTCGAAAACGAAGCCAAAAAGAGGCAGGCGGGCAGAGATTCTTATACAATTTTCAGAATTTCTTCACCGTCTATCAGAGTAATTTTAATATTTTCAAAAGCCCCTTTTCGACAGCAATTTAAAGTTAACAAATCGCCAGGAATAATATCAGACCGGAAGTGGGGGTGGGGGATCGATTAAAAAGCCATTGAGTGACCGCTGTAAAAAAAGGGGAGACTCGCCTGGCCGGGCGAGGCTTACGCCGGGGAATACGGAGCATGCCTCTGCACACCAGGGCCTATCGGGAGTCTTAAGGAAGAGCCTTGGGGAAAAGAAAGGTTTAAAGAAAGCGAAATGCTTCTCAAATTAGAAATAAAGCTGAAAACGTTTACGTAAATATTTCTTATGTAAAAAAGTGCAACTTTTTCAAAAGTTCCGCAGAGAAAAATTCCTCAATGGATTCTGCTAGCTTGTTCTTCGATAAGCAAATATTTGGGGAAAATAGAGAGAGAGAGAGAGAGAAAGAGAGAGAGATAGCGAGAGAGAGAAAGAGGGAGAGGGGGCGGGAAACGGATAGAGAGCGAGACAGAGAAATCGAGAGAAAGAGAATGAGAGAGCGAGAGAGAATGCTTTTCCTAAAGGCACTGACAAGAGCCTCAAATCCACCCCTTAAATCAACTGGGTCTAGACTCGCAAGGCGACACGCCAAATAAGGAGAGCCAGTCCGTTTTCGATCCCGTCTAGGGACGTCTGGTTCTTAAAAATAGCACTACTATTTCGCGCGTGTTTGCTTGGATTTTTCTAGAGCTAGCCGATCAAAGCGTCGATTTAGGGTCCCCGTCCCGGTAGACGCGTCGGGACGTGCTTTTATAAATTCTCAAGTATCCAAAAAAAAACGGTAATCAATAAAATGGTGAAATGATTGTGGGGGTGGGGGTGGCTTGCGGGCAGTGATTGCGTGTGCGTGTGTGTGGATTAGATGGGTGGGATGGATTTGGGGGGAGATGGAAAAGGGGGGAAGATGAGAATCCATCTCGTATTTGGCGGGCGGAGGGGGAGAACTGTTGATCATTCTTGTCCTCGTCCTCCTCCTCCTCTTCCTCTCCCACCAGCAGAGCCCATCTCCACCGGAAGCCATCGCTCAGCAGCTCGGACTCCCCCCAATGGACACCCGAACACAAACACCACTGAATTCTGGGGGGGTGAGGCGAGAACTAAGAATCTCTGCTAGCCTGCCCCTTCCATTCCCAAATGATCTCTGCTAGCCTGCCCCTTCCATTCCCAAATGATCTCTGCTAGCCTGCCCCTTCCATTCCCAAATGATCTCTGCTAGCCTGCCCCTTCCATTCCCAAATGATCTCTGCTAGTCTGCCCCTTCCATTCCCAAATGATCTCTGCTAGTCTGCCCCTTCCATTCCCAAATGATCTCTGCTAGCCTGCCCCTTCCATTCCCAAATGATCTCTGCTAGCCTGCCCCTTCCATTCCCAAATGATCTCTGCTAGCCTGCTCCTTCCATTCGAAATTAATTCCAAATTCGTAATGTCAAAGTTCGATCGGAAAAATCGCACCCCCCCGATAATGCACAATCACCGCGTAAATTTAAAAATTATGAACGTTTCGACAAACCCATAGAAAGTCGATTGTAAGAAAAGTGAAGGAAAACCAGGAAAAGAGATGAAATTAATTAAATTACGGAATTATAATGAATCAATATTATTGAAGCCTAATAAAAAAGTGTGAAAAAATCTATAGAAATTCAGGTTCGAAAGCATTTTAAAAAAGGGTGTTCTTGGTATGGAAAGTCGTAGGAAACAAAAAAAAACCTCGGAAAATGCGGTTGAGTCGCTAGTTTTCGACAATTTCGCTTATTTTGCGGAATTTTCTTAACTCCATTCGATAGAGCGTCAAAAAATATACTAAGCATTTCAATATAAGCCTGAAACAACGCAAAATAAAAAAGTTATAGCCAAAATCTCCCCGCTCGGGGATGAATTTTTAGTCAAATTTAAGCTTAACGAGACTAAAAAAAGAGGGTTTTCTTGGTGTGAAAATTATAGTTTACTGTATCCAAATAATTGGCGGCAATGTTAAAAATGCTTAATTTATTTAATTAATAGGGAAATACCCAAAACTGTTAAAAAAGGCGTCTGAAACCAGCGTTTCTTAACGATTTTAAAGCTCGCAAGCGAGTGAAATAAGGGTTTTCTTGGTGCGAAAATCGTAGTTTACCGTAATCAAATCATTGACAACAATTTTAGAATCGTAAAATGCAAATCAAGGGCCCGGAGCTGGGGGAGAAGCTCTCAAAACGGGGCTCGCATGCATCGGGCGGAAGCCGCCGCCGATGCGGGGGTCAGCCCCCCATTGCGGGCGGCGGGTGAAGTGGACGTCGCGCGCGCCACCCGAATTAGGCTGCGTGTATCGGGAGAGAGTGAGAGAGAGAGAGAGAGAGAGAGAGAGAGAGAGAGAGAGAGAGAGAGGGAGAATGCGCGTTCTCCTTACCCCCCGGACCACCAGCCAGCCAGCCTTGTCCCTCCAGTTGGCGTGCAAGAAGGGTGCGAGGGGGGTATATCCCCGAAGGCAATCGATAGCACGAACACACACCCCATAGAGGGAACGGGGGTACACCCCCTCCGTATGCTAATTATGGGGGACCCGGGGGGACCCGGGTTAAAGATATTTGGAAGGCAACCCAGACGAGCAGCGCGGCAACCGGCAGTGATCATTTAGGAGACGGGACATGCCAGTGGAGTCCATTTGGGAACCGAGTGGCAGGCTAGCAGAGATCATTTGGGAATGGAAGGGGCAGGCTAGCAGAGATCATTTGGGAATGGAAGGGGCAGGCTAGCAGAGATCATTTGGGAATGGAAGGGGCAGGCTAGCAGAGATCATTTGGGAATGGAAGGGGCAGGCTAGCAGAGATCATTTGGGAATGGAAGGGGCAGGCTAGCAGAGATCATTTGGGAATGGAAGGGGCAGGCTAGCAGAGATCATTTGGGAAGCGCGACAAATTTCATTACCGATTTTGCATAAGCCATATATAAATCTTACCACTTCCTGCACCAGAAAGCCGCAAATTCGCGGTACCTACCGTCACTTTCTTCCACTCACACAGGCCGCTTCCTCCTCCCGGATGGGGTACAAGTGCGAGGACAACGTCACCGCGCATCGCATTGGTGATGGGCAGCTGGTAGGGTTTTTTTAAGGGTACTGGCAAAGCTGTTTGTGTCGTTTCCGGTAGAGCGACTCCAATTTGTTTAGGTGAACGTCCACCTCACTCGCTTGGAGCTGTTCTCTTTCGGCGCCTTCTCCAACGTGTACAGGTTCGTTTCCTAGTGTCGAGTTGGGGGCTGAGGGCTACGAGACGCTCCGCTGGAGCTAACGTTGCCGAGAATAGTTTAGACTTGGATTCAGCTTCGCTTAGGCTTAGGCTTGGATTTAGTTTCATGCTTAGTTTTAGGCTTGGCTTAGTTAGGCTTGGCTTAGGCGTAAACTTAAGCTTTGCCTAGGCTTAGATTCGGGCTCAGACTTAGGCTTAGGCTTCGTTTAGGCTTCTCCTATACTTTGCTTAGGCTTAGGCTTCGTTTGGGCTTAGCCTTAGGCTTAGGCTTAGGCTTAGGTTCTCGTTTAGGCGTAAGACTAGGCTTCGCTTAGGCTTCGGCTTAGGCTTCAGCTTAGGCGTCGGCTTAGGCTTTGGCTTAGGCTTAGGTTTACTTACCCTTGCCGTCTACGCATCCACTGTTCATCTCCAGAGGCCAAGCCGAAGACGATCTGACGCACTCCGTGCACGAGGTGGCCATCAAGAAGACGTGGAAGCAGCACGGGCTCAACGAGGTGACGGACAAGGAGGCCGTGCCCGAGATCCGCATCCTCAAGCTCCTCAACCAGCTCAACCACAAGAACATTGTGAAGCTGCTCTACGACTTTGCGCAGGGCTACGAGCAGCGGGTAGCGCTTGATGCTCATCTACCCGCTACCGCCCGCTTTTTCTAGACGTGCTACTCCCTCGTCTTTGAATTTCTGCCCTCCACGCTGTACAGCTACATGAAGGTGCGAATTTCGGGATTTTTTTTGATCGGTTTTGCGTGGTTTTTAGAGCCGCCGTCGCCAGCTCGAGCTCATCGACATCAAGCTGTTCACCTGGCAACTCTTCCGGGGCCAGGCGCACTTGGCCAAGGTATGGAGGGGTGATTTTCGGTTCTTTTTTGGTAACGGGGAGGGGGATTTTCCCCCAGTGAGTTCGTCCGGCTCTTTAACAAAATTTTACGCATTTCTTATAGAAGGTTATAATTTTTTCGATTTCGAAAAATTCACAAAATTTAAAAAAGACATCTTTCTGCTCAGAAATTACCCAAAAAGTTTACCACAAATCCTCTAAAAATAGTCAATAAATTACTAGCAGGTAGGTATATCTCTCTCTCTCTCGCTCTCTCGCTCTTTCGCTCTCTCTCGCTTTCTGCTCTCGCCAGGCGAAATTCGCCACAATCTCTGCTAGCTTGCCATCCATAGTCGAAAATTTAGGCAAACATCATGCACCGCGACATCAAACCGCAGAATTTGCTCGTCGACCCGAACACGGCATTCCTGAAAATCTCCGATTTTGGCTCGTCGACCATCATCCGGAAGACGGTGCGCCATCCGAGTTACCACGTCACCAGGTGGGTCTCTACCTCTCTCTCCCTCTCTCTCTCTCTCGCTCTCTCTCTCTCTCTCTCTCTCTCTCTCTCTCTCTCTCTCTCTCTCTCTCTCTCTCGCTGTCGCTCTCTCTCTCGCTCTCTCTCACTGGCTCTCGACGCTATTTTTTCAGGTACTACCGCCCGCCCGAGCTTCTCCTCGAAGCGAAGAACTACGGCTGCGAGGTGGACGTGTGGTCGTGCGGTTGCGTGTTTGGCGAGATGCTTGCTGGCCGCACGCTGATTGCCGGCCGCAATGCTGATCATCAACTCGACGTAGGTGTTGGTCAAAATCTGGAATGGCTTGACCATGACGAAAATGTGGCTGGCGCGTCAACTAACCTGAAAGCCGACGATCTTCCAGCTGGTGATGACGTACTTTGGGGTGCCCAACCGCGAGCAGGCCGCTGCCATGCACTGCCCGGTGCGCACCTACAACAAGGTGCTCGAGAAGAACTACGACCGCGTCGGCCCGTTCCCCAAGTTGAAGCAGGTCAGCGCTCGACGCCACTTTAAAGGGAATGGGACAGCAAAAAAAAATTTTTTTTGGGTCTTGCTAATCCGCGGTCTTCTAGCTGGTGGGCGAGAGTGCGTCGGCGGACGCGCTGAAGCTGCTCAGCCGCGTGCTCGTCTACATGCCGAATGAGAGGTGGCTACTTGCGCCGGTGCCTGCCATTCCGAAATGATCTCTGCTAGCCTGCTTCTTCCATTCCCAAATGATCTCTGCTAGCCTGCCCCGTCCATTCCCAAATATCTCTTCTTTCCAGGCTTTGCGGCCTGCCCTTCCTCTCCAACCCCTTCTTCGCCGACATCTTCAACCCGGAGACGCGGCGCTCCGGCTCGCCCATTGAATGCATCACGGCGCAGGTTTGGCTTAGCCTCGGCTTAGGCTTGCATTCTAGCTTGCTTTGAGCTTAAAAACCTCACAAATTAATTACTTCTTCAGGACCTGAAAGACGTCGAGCAGGGCGACGGTGACGTGACGGCCGAATCGTTGACCAACGAGTGAGTAAGTGCCCCAGACGGTTTATTTGAAGCGGAGATCATTTGGGAATGGAAGAAGCAGGCTAGCAGAGATCATTTGGGAATGGAAGGGGCAGGCTAGCAGAGATCATTTGGGAATGGAAGGGGCAGGCTAGCAGAGATCATTTGGGAATGGAAGGGGCAGGCTAGCAGAGATCATTTGGGAATGGAAGGGGCAGGCTAGCAGAGATCATTTGGGAATGGAAGGGGCAGGCTAGCAGAGATCATTTGGGAATGGAAGGGGCAGGCTAGCAGAGATCATTTGGGAATGGAAGGGGCAGGCTAGCAGAGATCATTTGGGAATGGAAGGGGCAGGCTAGCAGAGATCATTTGGGAATGGAAGGGGCAGGCTAGCAGAGATCATTTGGGAATGGAAGGGGCAGGCTAGCAGAGATCATTTGGGAATGGAAGGGGCAGGCTAGCAGAGATCATTTGGGAATGGAAGGGGCAGGCTAGCAGAGATCATTTGGGAATGGAAGGGGCAGGCTAGCAGAGATCATTTGGGAATGGAAGGGGCAGGCTAGCAGAGATCATTTGGGAATGGAAGGGGCAGGCTAGCAGAGATCATCTATCATCTTCCAGGTCGTCTGCACGAGCCGGTGGCGACTTCCCAATTAAACCACGAGCCGACTCGCCCAGCTTCCGCTCGATGCGCTCGATTCGCGTGGCGCTGAGGTGATGTGCCTCTCGCGCCGCGTCTCCTGCTATGCTAGTTTTATCCCCCGCTCCCCCTACCTTCTCCATTGTTTTTGTATCTCGTCTCTACGTGTTTTGTGGCTAGAATGCTCCGAATGATTACTTCTATACTCGGCTGTGATTTTGAGTGTTCTCCCCAGTTTGTTCGTCGTTCTGGTCTGGCTTTTTGGTTAATAAATGGTTTTTGCTGGCGTTCGCGGTGAGCCAAGATGCTTCGATCCATAGACGATTTTCATCATTCGAATATCACCTCCTCCCTCCCGCTCCCCTCCAGCCCCCCTTATAAGAAGACACTTATAAGATTTTACAAAATCAGCTATTTTCAACGTTAAATTTTAGCTTTTGTAAAAATTTCGGACACCCTCTTTGTTAGGAAAAAATTAACATAGACCGGAAGTGATGATGGCCTATATAATGGGAGAGAGGCCGCGTTTTCATTTTTTGCCATCTGAATTCGGGAAAATGATGTAAAGTGAAGAATTTCGCGCGCTCGATTTCAACAAAAAATTATTTTTAACATCGAAAACCGGTAATTTTCGAATATTTTATGAGTGTGCAGTCATCCCAAGGCCGTTCCTTAATATTTTAAATGCGTTCTAAAATGCTTCTTTTATATAAAAACATGGTTTTAAGATTGTTGCAAACTGGCCATTTTAAGGGCTTTCCAATGGTGTAACTACCATTCCGATCCGATATTTGTGCGTCGAGTTAGAGGGGGGTGTTTTTTTTTTGGGGCACCCTGTATAGTAGGATCGAGCCCAGTTTTGTTTGAATAAGCGCCACTCTGGTGCGAAAGTACGCAAAACATCTGCGTCCTCGTGGCAATGCCGGGGTCACTTGCCATTTTTTTCGGTCCGCCCCTTCCGCCCCCCTCAACCACGCACTATTCGCCGACTGCCGAAATTTTTGCCTGCCCCGCGACTTCCGTTTTGCGCCTAAAAACCGGGCGACGTCTCCGTAAATTAGATAACGGCTTTTGCTCGCAAAAAAGTGGTAATATGCAGACATGGCAACGAGACAGACATTCGCAAAATCAGGCTTTTGTAAAATCTTTGGCCACCTTCTTTGTTAGGAGCAGGCATGGTGAAAATGGGTCCGAATCGGTCCGGTCCGGTCCCCGGCGGACCGGACCCTAGGGTCCGGACCGGACTTTTGGGTCCGGAATGCCCAATTTTCCATACGAAATGTGCTAATTTCCATCCGTTTCGGTCATTCGCCTAGTCAAAGCTGTCTGTTTTTTGGCTTTGCATTGCAATTTCGGATTTGCGTTTCCGGTTTATAACGATCCCAGCAAAGAATCGTGTTTATTGAGAGCGGTCCGGACCCAGGTCCGATTTTCCCGGACCCTTTCGGACCGGACCCGACCCGGACGGACCGCGGACCGGACCCAAAATGCCCAACCCTGGTTAGGAGCAATCAACATAGGCCGGGAGTGGAGGTAGCTTATACAAAAGAAAGCAGGGCGTGATTTTCATGGTGATGAGTTTTCGGCAATACAGGGTGTCCCAAAAAAAAAAGCACCCCCCTCTAGCGGCGCGCAAACGTGTCCGATTTTCGCCGTTTAGGTATCTATCGAAAGCTCTCGAAAAGGCGAGAAAACAAGGAGGGTTCATTTGCTTTATTATGTTTTTTTTATTCGCGAATTTTAGCTCCAAAAACCATGAAAACGGCTGATTTACGCGAGATCTGCATGCTAATTGCGAGATTCCTATTGAAAAGCTACATGTTTTTTACAAAAACGTTGAATATCGGACGCATAAGAATAAATTTTAGAAAATGAAGCCCGCTTGTTTTCTCGCCTTTTCGCGGGCTTTCGAATGGTATAAAAATCATCCTGATCTGAGTTTCCCCCGGACCGCTAGAGGGGGGTGCTTTTTTTTTGGGACACCCAGTAATGATGCAAGTAAATAACTTCAGTTCCTAGACGGGCCAGGGTTCGAAAGCCGCGGTACGGTTTTTCAACCCTGGTGACCAGATGAATTTTTGAGCCGCCCAACTTGAATAGTACCGGAAAATAAGGTATTTCTTCATCTTGCATAATTACCATTTCGCATTACGCTATTTGGCATAATTGCATTTATCGTAATTTTTATTATGCATAACGGTCATCTCGCATAACGATTATTGCGCATAACGCGGATTTCGCACAACGATTATTGCCCACTACGCTGATTTCGCATAACGCTTATTTCGCCTAAAGAGCATTTCGCATAACGGTCATTTCGCCTTACCGTCATTTCACACAACGATAATTTCGCATAATTTTCATTTAACCTAGCGATCATCGCCTAACATTCATTTAGCATAATTTTTAGATCGTATTGGCCAAGAGCAAAACAGGGCGTTTTTGATGATACGAAGTGCAGTCACGGTATAATCCTCCTATATACAGGGTGTCCCAAAAAAAACGAACCATCTGGCATTTCGCCGTGTTACATCCAATCGGGCCCAAATTTGGACCAGTGGTGTATCAGACCCTAAATAACAACAATCCTGACTTACAGCCCGATCCCATTTACGGTTTTCGAGAAAACGTCGAAAAACATCGGTTTCATATAAAATAACTGCTTTTGGGGCACTTTGCATGCATAATTTTGCAAAAAATATATGTTTGCATCAAAATTTGGCATGATTTGCGCCATTGTGCCTGGTTTCACGCGGCGATCCGGTTGTGTGCTTAGCCCATACACCGATAAAAGCAGAGGCACGGACAAGGAAATAACATTCGGCAACAACAATTTATTATATGAAGTCTTCAAATCTTGTTGAAGTAGTGGTCAATGTGCGAGCCGTCGACCTCGGCGCATTTCTCGACGCGTTCGATGAACTGCTTCACCCAGTTGCGCACGAAGTGGTCGGGCAGGGCATTCCAGTGGAAGAGGATGGAGGCGCGCAGCTCGTCGAGGTCACGGCACTGGTCCTTGGTGACCCGGCTTTGCATCCAGCTCCAGACCCGATAGTCCAACACATTGAGATCTGGACTGCTAGGTGGATAAAGGGTTTTGTCGAGGTACTCGATGCCCAAGTTATCCATTTCCGCCAGCGTCGACTTGGCACCATGAGCGGGGGCCCAGTCCTGTTGGAAGACACAGTCTCCGTCAGGGAAAAGGCGGTCCCTTTCAGGTACCAAGTGATTTTTCAACAAATCCTGGTAAGCCGCAGAATTCACATTCCCTTTGCCAGGGAAAAAATGGAGCTTAAGCTTTCCATGCCAACTAACCGCTCCCCACACGTGTACCGAGGTGGAATAATTGTACCGTTGCGAAAGCAATTTTTTCGGTGAAACGTCTTTCTTGCGGCCGTGAATATAAATAAAATTGTTGTTACGGTTGATGGGGGCACGCAAGAAAAATCGTTTTTCATCCGAAAAAATAAGCTTCGTAACAAACCGGGCGTCCAGTTTCGGCAAAAGCCGAGCACAAGCTTCCAAGCGCTTTTTTTTCTGCGCTTCGGTCAATGCGTGGACAGGAACTCGTCGGACGGCTTTTAGCCCAAGCTCCTTTTTGCCCCGGCAAAGAGAGGATCTGCTAACTCCCATGATTGTCGCCGCTAACCGAATGGAAAAATGGCCTCCTTTCCCATCGACGTCCCCCGTCAGAGCCACAGTCAGTCGAGTCAAGACACTGGATGTAAGCGCGGTCCTCGGCCTTCCGCTTCCCTTCTTCCGCGCCGCGCCCTCGTTTGTCTGTTTTTGGAATTTTTTTTTTACTGTTCCAGGATACCTTGAACGCCCGGATAACCGATTTGACCTGGTTCAGTGTGAACTGAATCCTTGGTCGACAATCGTGGAACTCCTTGACGATGGCGGAAGGCGTCATCTTGCGTCGGTGATGGTTATGGATGATTAGGACCCGGTATTCTTCGGTCATTCGCACCATGGTTGCAGTTTGCGAGTGGACCGGATCGCCGCGTGAAACCAGGCACCATGGCGCAAATCATGCCAAATTTTGATGCAAACATATATTTTTTGCAAAATTATGCATGCAAAGTGCCCCAAAAGCAGTTATTTTATATGAAACCGATGTTTTTCGACGTTTTCTCGAAAACCGTAAATGGGATCGGGCTGTAAGTCAGGATTTTTGTTATTTAGGGTCTGATACACCACTGGTCCAAATTTGGGCCCGATTGGATGTAACACGGCAAAATGCCAGATGGTTCGTTTTTTTTTGGGACACCCTGTATAAAAAAATAGTGTGTCTTTGTGTGTGTGCCACTTTGCATCCACTTCCGTCTGTCTGTCCGGAGGATATCTCGATAGGTAATGAAGTTTAAGGTATGTATGATACGTCATTAGGTGCGTAATGGCCTGGAGATGTCTGCGCGCATTTTGGATTCAACAAAATTACCTATTTGCGACATTAGAAAGCCAGAGAAAAAGTCCTTGATACACGCTCTCGCGCCGCAGGCTAAATTCGGAAGAAAAAGCAGTAGCTAGCGCCGCAGGCTCAAAGATTAGCACAACGCTGGCTCTGGCGCCGCAGCCCAAAGAATGGTCTGACTCAGGTTCTTGCGCCGCAGTCAAAAAAGAAGCTATTCAAATTCATGTTTCCTGGACGGGGTCCAGTGGAAAAGGGCCGCGAAGCGGTCTTTTTCCACTGGTATGCAATATGGCGATTAGGTAAAATGAAAATTATGCAGAATGAGCGTTATTCATGCGAAATAATCGTTAAGCGAATAGCAATTATACGAAATAGCGTGCTGCGAAATGCACGGAAATCGGAAAATAGCTATCTCTCTCTTTCTCTCTCACTCCTCGCACTTCCATCGCACTCTCTCTTTCGTCTACGAGGATCGTTTTTCCAAGGTGTCATCAGAATGTTTGCGACCTCGGAACTTTCGTGCCATTTGCGTTCCGTGGTGCTCGACCACCTCGGTTTCATCGATTTGATTGCTTTACTACGAGTCAACAAAATTTTCAGGTAGCTTAAGATCACCAGTCGTTTCAACGCATCTAAATTTCAGAACTGATGCGATTAGACGTGCATTGATGCCGCACAAAGTAATGAAGCTAGTCATTAATGCGCGGATATACAGGCCTGACGGTGTACACGATCCCTGGAACCCAATCGACGGCGAGGCCAATGAGCATAAGGTTTTTGGGTGCTTTCGAATTTCGTCAAATTTTTACGGTTCTGGACTGTTCGCAGGGGGCGGACCACGTTTTGTTTTCCCACCCATACCTGTTAATAATATATAATGTATTTTTATAGTGTTTTTAGTAGTGTTTGATTGATGCAAAGTTATCAAAACTCTTGTTCAATTTTTGAAAACCCGAAAATATTTATCTTTTTTGGTCATTTTACATTTTTGACCAAAAAAATCACAAATTTTCAAAAATTTCGGACCATTTGACCTGAGTATATTAGATATCATATATCATATAGTCTATATGGAACAGAAAGCCAACCACATAATATTGCCAATATCACTCCCCCCTGACCAGGACCCTTTTCCCAGATCCGAGTGCGTGAGACGGCGCTGTGGATTGTGGACCGACAGAGAACAGCTTTGTACTACCCTCTGTACGTTGACGTCCACCGCATCTTTCTTATCCCGGACGCGCCGCCCCGATTGTTGGTGCGCAGCTTGCCCCCGCATAGGTCAGTTTTGTGGCAGGAAAACGGGCGAGGAATGTATTTTCCAGTGGGGTGCAGTTATTACAGCTCTAGTTTTGGTTTTTAGGGCACACCAATAATTTGAATTCTCTATTTTTCCGCGCTCGGCTCGACTGAGATTCGTGCCGAGCCAAATGCCCGCACCAATTACGAGCCGATACGTCTGCGTCGAGTTAGGGCCGGGTGTTTTTTTTATTGGGAGACCCTGTATTTGAAAGTCTTGTAGATTTGTTTGTATTACGAATTTGAGGGAATATAAGTGTGACGTGCCTTTCGCCGAATTTCTCAAGTTTCTCCATCGCGTGCGATGTCCAAAAGAACTGTGGGTCGTCCTGAGAGAAGATTGGGAACAGGTTGGTGTTCGCGTTAGGCTACAGACAGGCTTACTGTAAAGTGTTTTTACTCAGGCTGGCTTTTTAGAATGGGACCAAGCCTATCTTGTGCAGAATTTTTCGCTGATTCCGAATCTGATTTCCAAATTTGCTGCCGACCTTTATTTAAAAAGTTATTCGAGATTTATACTAAAAAATTGACTAAATCTGGATTTTTTGCGGTATTTTTTAAGTTGTCGTCACCTCCGACGTTAAAACTGGCTCGGTAACAGTTTTAGAGGTCAAAGCGCGATTTTATGCAAAAAATCATTTGTTTTTGTGCAAAAAACAAAAGGAACTGTGCAGGGCAGGGGTTTGAACCGCCGCCCTGCGCTTGGCAAGTGTACACCTTGCCAGTGCACCATGCTGCCAACTGGGCAGGGGGCTTCGGGAGGATAGATAAGGGCAGGCCCGTAAGAGGGGGGCGAGGGGGGCGAGCGGAAATTTTGCCTGCGCCGCTATAGTTTTAGTCATATTAGTGAAAAATTTTTGGGGTCGCCCCCCCCCCCGAAATTTGGGTTTGTTACGGCCCTGGATAAGGGGCACAACAATACCTGGACCCTGACAGGGAATAGTGGGCCAGCATCCGAATTTATGCCGTTTTTAAGCTTAATTTAGACCCTAAATGACTTTTCAACGCAAAGTCCGCAGCAAATTTGGAAAACGGATTCGGAATCAGCAAAAAATTCTGAACTAAATAGGCTTGGTCCCATCCTAAAACGCCAGCCTGAGTAAAAACACTTTACAGTTAGGAATTTGGCAGGCCGGGCCGGGCCGGGCCAGGACCGAGATTTTCGGGATTTTTGGCCTGGCGGGCCGGCCCGTTCCCAGGCCTCGCTGTTTTTACAGGCAGGGAAGTAGCACAGGCCCCGCCCCTAGTGTTGGGCAATTTGCCCGGTCCGGTTTTCGGGCCGCCCGGTTTCAGACCCACACTTCGGGTTAATAACGGACCGAGCAAATTTCCCAACACTACCCCCCCCCTCCCTCCGCCCGCCCCGAATAGGCCGCAGGCAGGAAAAATGGCCATGTTTTTGAAACTGTTGTTATTTTTTTCGATTTACTGGCTGTTTAGATAAAAGATACGCCTAAAAACATAATAAAAAAGTTTGAAAGTTTAAAAATGCCGGCCGCGACCCCAGCCCCCGTCCCTGGCCCCGGGCCATATTCTGTCTGCCGCGGGTGCCACGCACTTCGCGGCGGGAATTTTTGCGGCGCATGCTTTTGCCGCGCGAATTTTGCGGCGGGACCTAGCCTTTACCAAGCCATTGGCTCAGAATTTTGCGGTCACAGTTAATTTTTAACATAATTTTAAGAGTGTTTTTGTCAACTGGTTTTAACGGAGTCAAATTTGCGCCGCAAAGGTCTAACCGCAAAATTACGCGCCCCAAAGTTCGGGGAGCCCCAGGCCTGGACGCGGGCCGGCCCGGGCCGGCCCGACAACCCCATTTTTCTCGGCCCGGGCCGGCCCGCGTTTTGTCCAGGCCTGGGGGAGCCCTGCAGCGCTATGTATTACGGTTATTACGCTAATATTTGCACCACTTTTGTGGATCTAAAATTTAGGTCAACCAAATATGGCTGAGATCCGCGTTCTTCGGCTGGGTTTTTGAGGTTGGTGCCGTGTTAGTTTCATTTTGTTGAAATCATTTGTCGAAATTTCAACGCGCCGAAATTCCTTTCGAAAAGGGGGACTGTGGAGCGAACCTTCGCGGGTCGGGCCGTTGGTTCGCTCCACAGTCCGACGCGCTAGCCACTACATACAGTGTGTGTCAAAAAGGATAGGAACACCTTTTTTTACTATCTCGGCCCTCGTCGATGTTGAGCCGCAGTCAAACAGTGGGTCGCGTAGTGCTTGAGACGGCGCATTTTTTCATGAGCTTGAAATACCTCTAAAATGGGTGACACCATTTTTATAAGCGATCGAACAAAACAGACCGAAAAACAGAAGTCAAAAAGATAGGGACACACTTTACATATAGTTACCATCAACTTCGCGCTTGCAAATTACATGCTAATGAGGATTCAAAGTCATCTCCGTTTCTGGCTTCCGGGTTTTCGGTGTTATTGTGAATGGGCTGACGGAGTCTTGTTCAGAATCGAATTCTCTATCGAATGAGCTAGGTCTCGTAAGGTTTTGCCGATGACTCAAAAAAAGCACTTCTTGTTAGGTTTAGCTTAGGCTTAGCTGAGGCCTATGCGTGCAGTAGGCTGACTAGACAAATTAAATTCCGACAAAATCAACTTTCGACAAAATGATAGCATATCATTGGTGCCTACTGCAGGGTGCGCAAGCAAAAGGAACGATCAGAGCTCGGGTTCTCTAGGATTTCCGGGGGGCGGGGAACCAAATTTTTTCGGCCCAAGCCTAAAGTTTTTTTCTAAATAGCGCATGCGTTTCTATCAGGTTGGAACGTTTCTTTTCTTCGAAATTCACATAAGCTAGAATGCACGGTAAAAGCCCCAAATTATACGCAAAAAAAAAAAATTTCGAAATTCGGGATTTCGACATTATGAAATTTCGACGTTATGGATTTCGTTATTATGATAGCGAATCATGTTGTTGATACCTTTAACCAGCTTAAAATCAGCCGAGTTCGAGGGCGCAACTCATCAAATTCCAGCTGACCCCATTTTTCCGACAAATATCGGCTGTTGATTGTCTCACCATATCCGTGGAGGACCCGGTGACGCTCACGAAGATACAAGGCGGTTATTGGGGGAACGCCACGCGACTGCGCTTCATGGACGTAAGTCCTTTCAGTACAACAACTTGGACTCAATAAGCAAGTACACACAATTTCTATCGGCATATGCAGGGTTGTTCAGTTTGGGTCCGGTCCGCGCAATTTAGCGATACGAACACGGGTTCAGGGTTTGAAAAATCGCGGAGCGCCTTTTCAACCTTGGTAGTAGGATAAATCGGGTCGTTTTCTTTATTCCGAAACTCTGTACCCCGAAATTCTCTATCCCGAAACCAGGCCTGGGAATTTTGCGGAATTTCCGAAGCGATTTTTCTCGGCCCGGGCCCGACTTTTAAGGGACAAATACGGGGTTGGCCAAAAAACTCCCGCCAAGCTGGTTTAGCGCCATTGCCAGGTATTTTGCTGTTAATACGGTATTAGTGGACCATTTTTGCAGCACTTCTGTCGTTCGTTTTCGACACAAACAAACAAAAAAAGTTTTCGTTTAAATAAAAACCAGGGTTGAAGAGCCGCGTAGCGGCTTTTCACCCCTGACTTTTGCGCGGGGATCCTTAAAAGTTGACATTTTGCATAATGGAGCGAATTAGCATTAGCGCAATGACTCCCAACTAGAGTGAGGGAGCGACAGGCCTCCTCAGGCTTTCTTGGGCCGAATTGCATTTCCGCGCCTGCCGACGCCTGGCGGAAGCCTAAGGATTTACGCAGGCTTTTTATGCAATGCGCAAAAACATGTTAATCTGGTTACTGCATCTAAAACGTTCGTATCTTTGGCGCAATAACAAATTACAAGGATTGGTTCATTCAGATATAGGCAGGATGTCAGGAGAGCCAATTGCATCCCCCACCCGTTCGAACCGACTCTTGACTTTTGTGTATCCGCGTGCCATTAACGTATCGTGCCGTAAGGTTTGTCAAAAACAGTACCCTAACTTTGTAAAATATTCTTGGACCCAATACAGCTCTTGGACCCCCCGGAAGGTTCAAAAAAATCTTTATTTGTTCGGCAAAACTTCGAATATACTACGACTTTACATAAAATTTCCGGATAAAGCCTGACTAATTAGAGGTCAGACGTACTTTGCATGGCCCAGGCTCAGCCTAGGCGATGCAAATTAGAAAAGCCTGAGGAAGCCTAGGCAAGCCTAGGCTTTGGCCTAGGCCTCCCTCAATCTACTCCCAACCCTAATGCTAGCAAAAGCGACCAAATGACGTATCGAAGATACCCCTAAGTACTTCCCTTCTTGAGATACTACTGTAACACGGTGACGGAAATTGGATGCAAAGTGGCCCACACACAGACACCTTTTTTTAATATAATCCTACTATATATAAAAAAATAGTGTTTGTGTGTGTGTGTGTGTGTGTGTGTGTGTGCCACTTTGCATCCACTTCCGGATGTCTGTCCGGAGGATATCTCGATGGGGGAGGAATTTTAAGGTATGTATGATACGTCATTAGGTGCGTAATGGCCTGGAGATGACTGCACGCATATCAGATTAAACAAATTCACCTATTTTCGACATTAAATTTAAGTTTTTGTAAAAACCTCTTTGTTAGGAACAATTAGCGTAGACCGGAAGTGGGGATTCGACTACATAAAGGGACTCAACAGGTAGTTTTTCATTTTTTGTCATCTGAATTCAGGAAAATTATGCAAAGTGAAGGATAAAACGGGGTCAGACGGGGCCAGGGTTGAAAAGCCGCTTCGCGACCCTGGTTTTTATATATACAGGGTGTCCCATAAAAAACGAACCATCTGGCATTTCGCCGTGTTACATCCAATCGGCCCCAAATTTGGACCAGAGGTATATCAGACCCTAAATAACAACAATCCTGACTTATAGCCCCGTAGCTACAGTAGATTTCGAGTTATGGCAAAAACAAACTTTATTTTCTATTTTTCAAAGGGTTTTCGTGGAATTAAACCCCTTAAATATTCAGTGAAAATGATCCGGTAGGCCTTCTTTACCTTAAGAAATTTTTTCCAGACTAAAATTAATTAAAAGCTTCGATTTAAGCGATTTTTAACGCAAAATGACCCAAGTTCTTAAGCGAATGTAGGGATTCGCAGCCGGAAGTCGATGCAAATCGATGCAAAGTCCAACAAGATAGCCGAAAAACTGTTCAGAATTCCGGAAAAAGCAGTATTTTCGCTATAACTCGAGAAAGTGGCTCCCGGCCGCGGCAAAAATCTTTGCTTTTTTCCAAAAAACGTCCCTGGACGTGCCCTTTAATAAAACGAGTGGGGGGCTCTCCCGGCAGGCCACGTCCCCTTTCCCAGCCCGCGCCCAGATCCGATTTTTTTAGTTCTTTTAATACTTTTTAATTAGTATTTTATTTCATGGTTTAAATCCTTTAAAGTATCGAAAGACATCTGGAAGGTATCTAAGTAGTCGGTTTAGTTGTTTCGGCTAGCGGAGGTATCTAAAGCCGTTAGCGCGGCTATTGATGGCGGTAGGGAAGGATGTGGTGGCGTAGGACATGAAGGGTAGCCCGAAGACCAGATGGTTATTTGATCAAATTCTTAAACCGAAAAATATCGGGAGAGAATTTAACTTCGAGGATTTAGTCTGGTGTTCGGTACGTCAAAGCTAGCTAGCTTGTTGCGGGATAGAGAGTTTCGGGATAGGGAATTTCGGGATAAAGAGGGTAATTCGGATAAATCATTTAGGCCGCGGAGACGCTGCTACGCTGGAATCCCTTGCTGGCAGTAAATCAGGTTGGTGAAATGTGGGCCCTGCACCTTCACGGTTGCATTAGGCGTTTTTGGGGTTCACTTGCTGCAATGCAAAGCTGGCAATCAAACGGATTTTGATTTTCGAGACTCTGATAGTAAATCGGGGGAAAGGGGGTCTCGGGCAAGTCACCGCTCTCCGCCCCTAATCTGTAGACCTGGCATAGCGGATAGCCCTCTGGGCTATGTGTCGAACGGTGACAGTTTTGAACGGTGAACGACGGTTTGACGCGCGGCTCCAACACGGAAGCACAAATTGTTGCCGCGCGCTTTGTTCATTTTTTGCAGGGCGCGACGGGGCCAGCGCTCCATGGGATTGATCTCGGATCGGGACGGAACGACATCACGCTCAGCGGTTTCTCCAGGGAGCAGCAACTTTGGGAATTGGTGGAGGTAGGAAGATCAAGGGACGGGCCAGCAAGAGGTCCTAATTTATCGACCGCCAAAGCCGGCGCCTGGATAATATAAAATATCACGGGCCTGTAGATTGTCGGGCCGGGAAGGACAGCCGGGTAAATAGGAGGGTTTCTATCCAGAATAAGAGGCGAGCCTGGGAGCCTATCGAGGGTCTGCCGAAGCGGTCTCGGTCCCCCACCAGACTGCTTTTTGGGGAAGCCTTCACCTGCCTGTTTCGAGGCAGGGGCGGGCTCCCGCCCCCCGGTATTTGGGGGAGTCCCAGCTGTGCCTTGCGGGCTACTCCCTACACAACCCTGGTCTGTGATAAAACGCAGCGGGAGCGCATAACGGTAAGAAAGTTATGCGGGTTGAAAGTGGACAACTTGTGTAAAACGGTAACTTTGAGGCCCTGGATCATCCCGGGTAATAGAATTTAACAAAAACCGATTAGTGCATATTGTTTAACAATAAAAGCTCTTTCAAACGACGTATAATTTTGGCTAATGTCTAGAAAACCCCCTCCCAGCCGCCACTTTTCAACCAGGCGTCCTATTAATGCGTGGAGTACCTAAAAAAGGTTGACCGTGAACCGTACCGCGGTGCGAAGTCAAAGGTCAAAAACCAAGTGGCTCTATCTTTTTAATACGCAGTGTAGTTAGAGCGCGGGGGCGCGCGATAGCTTCCCGTCAGCAATTGCTGATGGGACCCTTAAAGGTACACTAAAATCTCGTTCAAAAGTTCGGTTGCGGTACGAAATTTGGACTCTCGGCCGAAGCCAACCCCAGCCCCTTCTTATCGCCTCTCCCCTCCCCCCCTCCCGTCTGTCCCATGGCCTAGTGGTCCAAAGCGCTTGCCCCAGGCGAGGGGCGCTGGTTCGGTTTTGCTCCGCGGTGAGCCCCTACCGTAACCCTGTTTGCTATCCCGCGGACGGTTACCGGCCGGTAACCAAGCCAACGAGACTTTAGTGTACCTTTAAAGAGATGAGGACGGCATCTGTTGAACCCCCCCTTGGGGCAGGGGGGTTCAACAGGTCCCGCGGCGAGAGAGGGCGCCCAGGGGAGAGGCGCAGAGACATTTTCTTTCCCGCGCGTAATCGATTGATTTATGCCGCCCCTATCCATTTAAGGGGCCTTTGTAATATCCACCGCCCGTCGGAGCGCACCTTGATTATGGCGTTTTTGACAATCTCGAGTTTACAGTTGGGCGTTCGGGCGGAGCCGGCGTGTTGCCTCGGTAGACTCCTTGAAATCAACACCCAACGCCGTCTGGCGACCGCGGACCCGAATGAGCATGCGGACTTACTGATGGTAGGTTTTGGTTAACCTAAGCCTAACAAGGGAAGGGCAAGTGCACGAAGTGGAAACTCGAAAAACGCTCGCAGCTACGCTAAGGTTTTGGACCACGAGAACACGATGGCGCTGGCAGAATTAGCCACCAAGGCCTGTCAAACGAGATACGGTACTTCCGGAGAAGGGTTAATTTGCATACACGAAATTAGAATGCTCCTTGGGGGTTTATTAGGGCTTTCCCAAGCGCGGTCGTAAAAGCATGCACAAGCAAATGCACAAACCCATCGAGCTGCATCGATTCCAGTTGAAAAATTGACATTTTGAGAACATACCGTAAAGTAGAATTTTGCCCAATGCCGTTTTTGCAGAAAGCTGAATTAAAAATTAAAAATATCGACAACAAAAATGCCGGCACAAAAAATCCCCCGGATATCCTCCCGGGTAAAGGTTGCTTAACGGGGGGGGGGGACAAATAACGGGGGTGGCAGCAATTTAATTTTAGTCCAAAAGACCTTTTTTAACGATTTTTAATTGATTAGGCTGTTTAGCTTAATCCTACTATATATAAAAAAATAGTGTATGTGTGTGTGTGCCACTTTGCATCCACTTCCGTAGCGTTGTTCCAGGCGTATCTCTATAGGGAAAGAAGCTAGGGGTGGGTACGATACGTCATTATCTGCGCAATGGTCTAGGGATGACTGCCCACATATCTGATTTATAAAAATCAGCCATTTTCGATATTAAATTTAAGTTTTTGTAAAACCCTCTTCGCTAGGAAAAATTAGCATTGACCGGAAGTAGGAAGTCGCCTATATAAAGGGTCATAAGCGAATCATTTTCATTTTTTTGGTGATCTGAATTCAGCGCAGTTATGCAAAGCGTAGAACAGCATGCGGTCCAAGACGGGGCCAGTGTTGAAAAGTCGCGAAGCGGCTTTTCAACCCTGGTAAAGTAATAATTTTCAATTGTGGTATTTTGGGCCGAAATTAAATCTCTTGGTATAATTTTTGACGCTCTATCCGATGGCACTAATGAAATCCCGACGAAAAGGCTCAAAACGCCAAAACTGACGTTCACCTTATGGTTATGCCTCATGGACGGCCCATAGCTTTGTTTCTTTTTTTTCGTTTCATAGCCAGAACCTACGGAGCTGAAAATTTGCAAGGGGATAGCGAAACCAATTTTCTATGAACAAGGAAAGTTTCAGCCCGATCGGCCCGCGGGTTTTAAAGTTTAGCGAAAATACTTTTCATTTTTAATTTAATTGGGGATCTACGCAATTTGCATCAAAAATATGCGTTATTCTTGCATTTACGAGCCGATTCAAAATTGGCATTTTTTTGATGGAGCTTTTGGAAAAGGATTGCGTATGAAGAATAAAAAGAGTGTTAAAACAACTGTTTTATCGATCCAAATCACGTGTTATTGTACATTTTGGCAATTTGAGCTTCGTTGGCCCGAAAACAGAGTTCCACGAGCTCGAAAACAGTGTTGAAGTTTAGATTTGGGCTTATATTGGCGCGTATGCTGAAGTTTAAGCCAAGCTCAAGCGTTCAAAGATAGTTTCCGCCATGAGGGACTGGGAATTCAACCAAATTTCGCATTCAAATTTAAATTCAAAGTATGGGTGGGGGGCGGGCAGGGGGCCAGCGCTGAACCCGCGCGTAGCGGGGGGTGAGCGCTGGTCTATATTTAAAATGAGTGTTTAGGAAAACATTATAGGAGAGACTAGCGGCTCAGCTGAGCCGGGAACATGGTGGAGCAGTAGCAGCTATCCAAAAGGGAGCACCCGAGCTGCAAAAGTTGCAGCATTGGATGAACAAGCGGCGGCCGGTAGGCTTTAGTTTAAAAACTACTTGGCGTTTTGACCCTAGCATAGTCTGCAATGCTGATCCTGCAAATCGTATTGCGATTTTCAACAATTTTAGATGTATCGAGACCACCCGTTGCAGCGCTACTTCGAAGTCCAAGTGTTTCAAAAACGTGGGTGATGGAAGATAGTATTTTCAAGAAACACCAGCCGACCTTTTCAACAAATGCTCCTAACTCTTGCCCCGCTACGCTCGCTCCCTCTCTCTATCTCTCTCTTTCCCTTAGCTCTCTGTCTCTGCGTTCCCCTGTGTATTTTCATTTTTTTCAAAATTCCAAATTTGAAAATTCAAAAGAAATTCCAGCAAGAAAATGGGATTTTTTTGGCAAAATTTATGCAAAATCGGCTCGTAAATTCAAGAAGAACGCATATTTTTGATGCAAATCGCAAAGATCCCCATATTATTATCCCACTACAGTGAGTGTCAAAACGATAGAGCCACCGCTTCGAAGGCTATTATCTCGGCCCTCATCGTTTTTCATGCAAAACCAACTAGCAGGTCTTGTAGTGCTCGAAAAGGCGCATTTTTCCATGTACTTGACGTTTTTCGAAAAAAGAGCATGCTATTTCTATCAGCAGAAAACAAAATAGAGCCAAAAATCCGAAGTGTCAAAACGATAGAGCCACACTTTACATATCATTAGCATCCAGTTCCAACTTGCAAATTACATTCTAATTGCTGATACGAAGTTGAAATCTATGCAGATTGACCAGCAACCTAAAAATTCCGGAAGTCGGAAATGGTAATCCACTTTGAATGTTCATTAGAATGTAATTTGCAAGTTGAAACTGGATGCTAATGATATGTAAAGTGTGGCTCTATCGTTTTGACACTTCGGATTTTTGGCTCTATTTTGTTTTCTGCTGATAGAAATAGCATGCTCTTTTTTCGAAAAACGTCAAGTACATGGAAAAATGCGCCTTTTCGAGCACTACAAGACCTGCTAGTTGGTTTTGCATGAAAAACGATGAGGGCCGAGATAATAGCCTTCGAAGTGGTGGCTCTATCGTTTTGACACACACTGTATTATATAAAAAAATAGTGTCTGTGTGCCACTTTGCATGCAACTTCCGTCAGCGTGTCCGGAGGATATCTCAAGAAGGGACGGGTATGATACGTCATTAGGTGCGTAATGGCGCCGAGATGACTGCACGCACCTCGGATTTTGCAAATTATGCTATTTTCGACATTAAAAAACAATTTTTGGTAAAAAATCGGGCAGCCTCTTTGTTAGGAATTAATTAAACTTTTAAATTAAAATCAATGAAATCAATTAAATCAACCCAAGGCGCCCAGAAACATTCGATTTTGCTCGAATTGGCAATTTTGGCAACGAAACCAATTTCCTAATACTTTTCGGTGATAGCCCCCTCGTCTTTAGCCCGTGGATTTGGTCCCGGCACACTTGGTCCGTCTCGAAACTCTAATATCACCAAAGAAACCAGTCCGTTTCGAGCGCACTTCTACATTGAACACATTTTAGGGATGCTTCTGGCGTTCACCTATCAATCGTCCATCGTGCCGGAACCCCACGGAAACATATGTCTTTGCTTCTTCGAAATCGCGCCTACCCGATGACAGATTCCCTCAGAATCAATAATGATTTCATTCAATAAAATCTCCCAAAACAAGCCAGAACACAAACATTCCTGGCTTATTTGGGCCGCTCCAGAGCTCGAGAAGACTTCTTCTTCTTCTTCTTCTTTTTCTTCTTCGTCTGGTTTGTATGATCCGTCATTAGGTGCGTGAAGGGCCTGGAGATGACTACACGCATATGATTTATAAAACTGACCTATATTCGGCATCAAATTTAAGTTTTTGTGGAAAAATCAGAGATTCTCTTTGGTAGGAGTCAATTAGTACATGCCGGCAGTGGGGTTGTCGTACAGGGTGAGCAAAACAAAAAAGTACAGGGTTTGGGTCAAAATATCTCGCTAACGGTAGAGAATTGAAGGTGAGTTACCATGCTATGCTTAAATATGCTGGGTATCGAAAACATAAACCTCCTAGCTTTCCTAAAGTGTATAATGCTAAATGGTGTAAAGAGAAAAGGAAAGCGCAGGTGGCCACATTTATATTACGAGCCTCAACCACTTCCATATAAATACCAGCGCGCGTTCGGTGTTCAAATGGCAGTAATAGAATGTGGTTACCAATATACCTGAATGGATTAGAGAACCTGTTTATTGGTAGAAAACCGTGTCGAATATATACCACCCCATTTACATCCAAAGACCCCATTTTGACCCCCAACGCAACACCACCGGGAACTTGCCGTTTTCCAACACCGTCGAGGGACAGAGAGGGGAGCGTTTTAGTGCCGAAAGGTGTACCTGTCGAAGTTGTCACCGCACTAAAACCATCATATCGTCGATCTGCACTGCGAGTCAAGAAGGGCATCAGTCGAAACACGGCCGTTCAGATGTATGGGAAGGCGCGCATGAGAGGGGCTTCCCCCACTCCCCAAAAATGTTAAGAGCACCGCTCTTCTTTAGCTCATAACTTTCCCCCCTGACCGTATTTTGAAAATCGCCGCTCTAGTTCGATAGAGAAAAAAATTCTGCGCATTTTAGTATAAAAAACTTAGAGGAATAGCGGCTGACAGAGTTTTCTATAGCGTTAAAGGGCACGTTCAGGTACGTTTTTTTGGAAAAAAGCAAGGATTTTTGCCGCAGCCGGGGGTCGAACCCGGGCCCCCCGCTCGGGGGGCGCGGATGGATACCAGTCAGCCACAGCTACAACCTGGCGAGGGGGCGAGGGGCCGCCCCACGCCGCAACTCTGTTTCGAGTGGCGCGGCTGCCAGCACACCTTCGGCACGGCTGCCGAATGTCGCGCCGGGCAGCCGTGCCGTGGCACGCCTGCCGGCACGCCGCGCCGGCAACTGGGCCGAAAACGGCTGCGGCACGGCTGCCGGCGCACCTTACGCTTATTTTTCGGCATATAAAAACAGCATTGCTTAATTTTTTTTATTGCGTTTAAGTTGTGGTTGAAGCGTGTCGCCGCCACCGTCGCGTAGTTGAAACGGAAGCCGCAGTAATAACTAAATTAGTTGGTTTCTTTGATTTTCTATTGTTCATAAATCGGAGCCAGTCTTTTTCTTGGTGGCCTTACGATTAAACGTGACGATAGACGTGTCGAGCATCTTGTAGCGCTGGCCTAGTAACTAGATTCTATTCAATGATTGCTCAAGCAGTTCAAAACGACTTACTTTCTTCTTGCAGTCATTGCGGCTTGTCTAGTGGATCCCTCAACATTGAAAAACTAATACTAGCGTCAGAAAAGCGCCACTTCGGGTTCAGCGCCTGAAAAAATGGTAAATTATACCCACCAAACAATCGTTGTTTGTAACATGGGGCAAATATCCATATTTTCAATCTAAATAAGTTACCGGGCAGGATTGCCGATCGAAAAGCTTCTATCTAAACTCGATTAGCAATGTACCTGCTAAATAGCATCACTTCAGTCAGTTATTCGACCATGAAGCGTGCTGACAGACTTTTCTTGCCTCATAATTGTGTCTAAAGGTTTCACCTGAAATCTCGAGCGTATAACAAACAAGTTGTACCTATTAGTAAGCAAGCAACCGCGTAGCTGATGGCGTAGTACCTATTTCTTGTTTTTCCTCTTGAACATGCGGCAATATAAAAAGTTTTGAAGAATTATTATGACAAAAACAATACTTAGCGCGAGGCCGAAATTTTTCTAAGTTATGACGCGTTGCGGCTCAGCGACAGTGGTCTGCCGGCAGCCGTGCCGTGCAGCTGTGCCGGCAGCCGCGCCAAATACCGTGCCGGCAGCCGCGCCAAATACCGTGCCGGCAGCCGTGCCAAATTTGGCCTCCCGGACCCCGTCCGAGCTGCGCCGGCAACCGTGCCGAAGGCTGTTCCGGCAGCCGCGCCGGATTTTAGCTCGCCGGCAGCCGTGCCATCGTGCCGGCAGCCGTGCCAGAGGGCGTTACCGCGCCGGCAACCGCGCCACTCGAAACAGAGAAAGGAGGGGGATGGCCTGTCACAGCACGGGCAGGCCGTGCGCGCGGTCCCTACGTCCATAGGGTGTAGACGTTGGGACGAGTACACGGCCCCTCCCTGAACGTGCGCTTTAAGAAACCAGCCAGAGAAAACCCTGGGTCATATTTCGAAAATCGCCGCTCTAGTGCGATAAAGCAAAAAAATTCGCCACAATTTCGTAAAAAAAAGTTTTTATCATGAAGTGTTGGAAGCGTTTTCTATAGCTTTTAAAGCTCGTGCACGCTCTGAACGGCCGTGGAAAGAGCGCGAAAATTTCTATCTGCCCAACGAGTTTCAGCTCGTTCGTTAGCAGCTTTGCCCAGCCTGTTACCGCGGTTAGAAAAAAAACGTCTCGAAATCGTCCGCCGTGTTCAACAACCTCGAACAAATGCTAGCAAACGACCCCAAAATGAGTTGCAATCGGATTGGCGCCGAGTTGTGCGAACTGCTCCAAATGAAAATGAGTGTGAACCCAGGGAGTCGCCCTGCTCCACGGCTCGCGAGATGACACCTATGATGAGAACGTATAAGGAATCCTCATAGAATTTCTGTATTTGATAATTATTAACCTATACGGAAATTTTTTCCAACGGCAAGTATACCGTTGGAAAGAGCGTTCAAATGCAACCTTCTCAACCTCTTGAAGCAATTCTATCAAGCTTCTTTACGCTAGCTAATGCATTTAATGCTAGCGCGGTTAGAAAAAAACGTCTCGAAATCGTCCGCCGTGTTCAACAACCTCGAAGAAATGCTACCAAACGACCCCAAACAGAGTTGCAATCGGATTGGCGCCAGGTTGTGCGAACTGCTCGAAAATGATGTTCATCTTTCATCTTGCATAGTAAAACCGGATCGGGCAAATTGCCCAATACTACTTGTGGGGGCACCGTGAGGGGTTTGGGGGGTTCTGTTGGGGGCCGAAGGGAAGTATGGGGGCCAGGTGGGGGCGGGTGGGTGGTCCATTGGGGTTGGCAGGGGGGTCACTTGGGGGGTGCGGGGGGGGTCCCGGTGGTGTTGCGATGGGGGTCAAAACGGAGTCTTTGGATGTAAATGGGGGGGGTTCGGGAGGTCGACCAAGTTGGGTAAAAACCCTAAGTAATCGAAATGCAATAAGAATACTTTGCTTTATTCTACAGGATGGCTGAAAAGTTCCCGCAATTTCTTGTAACAGGCCGATCATTCCAAAATTCCTAAAATTCGACTGAGGCAGAGTAACAGATACTTCATTTACTACGTAATCAACAAATTATAAAACAAAAATCCGCAGGAAATGTTCAGGATTTTTACCAGTAGCTACACAGAAGTGCTCTGGCACCTGGGGAAAAGAACCGAGCCGGAACGGGCAAAATCATCGTCAATTTTTCAAAAAAGGTCAATACTAGACTCTTGATCTAGCGTTTTCATTTTCCGAAGATTTTGACGATTTTTGCGGGAATCTAAAGCCCGACAAGTCGTCACCTGTTTTCATTCCAAAAAAATCAACTATAATAATTTTGCTGTGGTCTCCGTCTGTCCGTCTGTCTGTCTGAAGCCGAATTCAACTCGAAGGGGAAAGGAGCTAGAGCTTAGCTCTCTTCGGATTCGGATAGAGCGTGCTCGGAAACCCCCAAACTGATAAAAAAATTATGAAAAACTTTTAGTTTAATTTATTAAAATTAACTTTGAAAGTTTTTTCCTTAGTAAAAGGGGTGGGGGACGGAGGTTGGGGTGATTTTGGACATAGTGAGCCAGGTCGCGCGCGTTTCGTGGATGAAAATTTTCACGGGGGATTTCATTTCTTTTTTTTCTATCATTCCATCCGGTCGGTCGTTATTTTTGTTTTTTAAGGGGATTTCGGCTAGCGGAGGTATCTGAAGCCATCAGGAACGTATTTGGGTAGTTTTTGAAGGGGATTTCAGCCATGGGGGGTATCTGAAGCCATCGGGAAGGTATTTAGGTAGTTTTTGAAGGGGATTTCAGCCATGGGGGGTATCTTAAGCCATCGGGAAGGTATGTAGGTAGTTTTTGAAGGGGATTTCAGCCATGGGGGGTATCTTAAGCCATCGGGAAGGTATTTAGGTAGTTTTTGAAGGGGATTTCAGCCATGGGGGGTATCTTAAGCCATCGGGAAGGTATTTAGGTAGTTTTTGAAGGGGATTTCAGCCATGGGGGGTATCTTTAGCCATCGGGAAGGTATTTAGGTAGTTTTTGAAGGGGATTTCAGCCATGGGGGGTATCTTAAGCCATCGGGAAGGTATTTAGGTAGTTTTTGAAGGGGATTTCAGCCATGGGGGGTATCTTAAGCCATCGGGAAGGTATTTAGGTAATTTTTGAAGGGGATTTCGGCTAGGAGGGGGTCTAAAGCCGTCAGGAAGGTATCGAAGTAGTTAGTGGAAGCAGGTAGATAGGTAGGTGTATTACATGGAGGGTAACCCGAAGTCCAGATGGTTACAGTCGCGAAGCGACTGGAACCATCTGGTGTAACAATGAAAGTCACCGAACATAAATAGTAAACCCTTCGGATTTTTTCAGAGCCATAGATCAAGTAACCTTTCGGTCAAAACGTTTTCACCCTTAAACAAGACTGG